AGATGTATAAATCCATGGTAACTAGGTACCTATGTTATTTTAGGAAAAAAGGGGGATCGCCTCGCTACCAGTCTGTCGGTGCACTGTAGGGGTTAGTAGTGTGATGGATGAAACTTTGATCAGATCATGATCAGGGATATATCCGGCCGCACTTTCAAAACTGAGGAGCCCGCACATACACGCGGGCATGTGGGCCAGAAAGTGCTGTGCCTGAAGGAAACTTTGGATATTCCGTAATTATGATTCAAATACCCGAACCATCAACGCTGACACCGACGCATACACTTACGCAACTGCTGCTGCTGGCTACTTAGTATTGCCACTCACCGAAAGCACACTAAGAAGACGGGGAAAGGGGGAAAGAACTTCCGCCGCGTATGTATGTAGGCCCGTGATTCGAGATATCCTGTATATGTAGGAAGAGGTAAGAGTAAGAAGTATGTGTACGGCGGGCATAGGCAGGCCTGTAGGCGAAAAGAAACCTGTACACAGCTGCTTAGCCCAAAAGAAAGGAAAGTAAAGAGTAATAGGAAATGTATGTACGTCGGCTCCGTGGCATGATTTATTGATTTTGTTTAATTGTTTGATTACCTACTCTATTTTACTGAACCCCCCTTCGGCTAAACACTCGTTTGGCCCTACAGTGACGCGCCGGCGTGTAATGATGGGTACCGGGTGTGTCATGGTGGTTCCTGTAGCATTGGTGAGTGGAATCCTTGTCAGTAGAAGCCAGCCTATAAGACCCCTAGGAGCCGGAGTCCCAGTAACGGAGGGGGGGAATGATAATTTTCCCGCCGCCACGTCCCCAAATTTGTATGGGTGGTTAAGAATTTAAAGTGCTGTTGCCTTCTTCGCGAATGGGTTTTGTTGTGGGATGTTCCAATTAGCGTGGGGAGGTACATGCTTTTGTCCACTGGCTTATGTCGTCCAGGGAAAAAAGAAACATGATCTGCATGCTGCTGCTGTTAAGATTGGCGAATAACGATCGTTCCTGCACACAATAGGTACCTCTCGTTAAAGCAAAACATCACGCGGTCCTCTCGACCCCTCTGATCCATTGTTTCGACATGCTAAACCTTTACCTAGCTACATAAGTGCTTGCATGTTCTTAGTGTATGTTAGTACAGCATTTTTATTTTTTTTATTTTTTTTATTTTTCCCACTTCGCTAAATGAATTTATTTTACGTTTTTCTGAATAGCGGTGAAGATCTGTTACAATGTCTCTCGAGCGAGGATCTGTACACACATATGTACATGTATGTGCATCATTGACACGCACATCAAACAAAAGACCGTTCACGATATCGTATGCAACCAATCGGCTGTCTAGGGTTACTAACTCTGATCACTGTTTTCCTCAAATTTCTGTGAGAAGCAAGTGCTCGCGTGCAAAAAAAAAATTAATGTACAAAACACGACCAACGCGGGGTCGACTGCATGCAAGGAGACAATTGCCTTCATGGTAGGGGGCCGGGGGCACAAGAAACTATCCGAGAACTTGGACAATGTTATAAGGCTTCCAATGGGATTTGTTGTGGGGTAAAATCCCAGTTGAGCATAGGTTCGCGCGGTCCACGAGATAGATCTGATGACAAAGTATTGACTCGAGATGCTAAGGAGGTAAATGAGACCGACTTTGTACCTCTTCAGTGGCTTCACACCAAAGACAGATGCCACTAGCGAGCTTTAGTTACCTCGGACTCATGCCTAGAGACATAAACGTACGTGCGGCGATAAAGCAGGGTATCATTTTTTTGTAGCCTCTTTTCCAACCCAACCAGGACTGACGTAGTGAAGCTCGCCCCTGACAGCAGTCAGAGTAGAGAGAAAAAAAAAATCCCACAGCGGTCAAATGAATGCAGTTGATGGAGCATCACCTCATATGAGAACGTAACAAGAGGCCGCCGCTCTATTGCACGGGTAGTTAGTTGCCATTTGGCACTGCAAAGTGTCATTGCGGGCATCGAATTCACTGGCTGACTGGTTTGAAAACGTGAATTTTGTTGCGCGATTTTGTGGACCTTGCATCTCTTGATCGGTCAGTATTCAAATCCTACAACGTACGCACCACAGACAGGCGTACATGCTGTATATTCGGATAACCTGAAATTGTTCGTTCCTCTTAAGTCCTAAAGTTCCCCGCAATCCGAGGAAGTGAGATATGTTCTTCAACGCCTTCAGCGTAGGCACAGGTAAACTTACATCCCTAGCGCCCACCTATTCGAGTCTAGGAATACAGCACCAAGTTAAAAGAGCCCTACCCCCCCCCCCCCCCAAGTACATAACACACGTGGAAAAAGAACCGAAACCGCATAGAATAATCAGCCTACTTGTAATAAAATTTGTCAAGAGAAATGTTTACATCCACTCACTCGTTGGGCAAGAAAGCAGAGCCTCTGTGAGAGCTTTCCAGCTGAGATCAGTCGTGTCGACCATTTTCCTTCCCTTTAAACACAAAGATTGAAGTCCTATCTAAATGTGACACATCTAGGCTTTCTAAACGAGACGTCTCAACAAAGTTCCAGAAGATTACCAGATTCATTGGTCATTGGGTAGGCTGCCACTACTAGTGGCAGCATGAGAGATCCGGTTCTCCTCGCTAACTTGCCGTATGGTGTGGCTATGATCGATGACATTATAGCAAAAGGTACTTATACACAGCTGAAAGAATGTGTTAATGTATAACTAAGCCCGTTATAAGATACCACTCAGCGGTTGCGAAGATGGGAGGTGTCCATAAGACGAAGGATAGGGCGAATGTACCTACATGTAGCTTCTCAATTTTAATTCCCTAACCCTAACATGTAACCCTATCTAACTTTCAACTGCTACAACATTTTCAGATCTAACGTTGCCAAGAATTATATACCATCCTCGCGCTAAGTCCAAAAACGATATATTATTAGCTTGTACCACAACGACGAGCATACTCTTAGTAATCGTGGCTTGGAAAGAAGCACAGATATGCAGAACAGCGAAGATAGATTCTCCGGGTTCTCCGACCGGCAATTAATGTGAACGTGGGGAACGGATGGATCTCGGCAATTGGTGGATGGTGCGGAGAGGTTCCGCTGAGGCTGATCATAGAAGGCCAAGGACCGCACTGCGCTGTATGAATGTAAAAGGAAAAAGAAAAAGAAAAGTAAAAAAAAAAAAGGGCAGCATGTATTACCAGCTGACATATGCAAAGGAGTGTCAACGTTGAAAGGTACTCTAGTCAAAAATTTCTAGTAGGTAATGGTACAGTTAGCTACTGTAGCTACATGTACTCTACCTAGGTAGAATGCCTACCTACGTACTTACATGTAGCTAGACGTATGCAATATTTGCGCCATGATAGCTGTTTTGCTTCTTCTTTTTCTTTGACACTTTTATCATGCGTCTATCTGTCATGTCTTAGGTCTTGTGCTTTTCTAGCTTCACGATAATCGATAAAGAAGAATGTAGGGGATTTCCGCAGAGTGGGAGGCGGTGGGGATAAGATTTCCTGAAAGAGGGACCGGCGCGGCCGGTACCCTATCAGCTGCGGCGAAAAAAAAAAAAGAGACATCCCGCGGGGGCATGCGCCAGCGGACAGGGTAACCCCATCTTCTATTATTCCCGGAATAGCCCAGCTAACTGCACTTTAATTAGCTTGAGCTAAGCTTATAAGTACATGTATTGAGTGCATGTCACGCCTAACTGTCGGGAATCTTCTTCACTCCCGAGCTTCCTGTTTTTTTTGTTCTCTCTCCGTCTATTTCCTTTTTTTGAAGGACTTGTTTCTTTTTTTGATATCGCCGTCAAGCGATCACCCGATCTCTAAACCCTGAGACGTACTCTATATACCCGGATGAATTCACTAGAGTTGGCTAGTTTAGTAACTACGGAGAAAGGGTGGTGGGCAATGTGGGGAACTTTATCAATATATGTTTATTCAACTATTTATCAGTCGTTCATGTTAGTACATTCATTGACAATTACCACAGACAGCCAGAAGTTATTTAATACTTAATTATAATCCTCGAAATTAAGGATTTATTATGCTAGTTTACGAGAAATAGCCATTGTAGAAAACCTTGAAAGTTATTTATAGCTATATACTATGGGGCGGTAAATGTGTCAAAAGCAATTTTACCACCGGTGGTATAAGCATTGAATTTCAGCCCTTGTGCCAGTATCAACACTGAATTTCAGTCTTTATACTGCGCTATACTACATAAGTAAATGTTCAAAAAACTTATGAAAATTTCCCACTGATGGTGAAATTCCCCACCGGTGGACAATGTTCATATATAGTGGCATTATATGGTCCCTTCTGGCCATATATTGGCATTCTATGGCCCATTTTGGCCATATATTGGCGTTCTATGGCCCCTTTTGGCCAAAAGGTCTGTGCTTTTATCATAAAAGTTTGTATTATTTTCACCACCGGTGGTAAGATAATTTACTATTGTTGGTAAAATTACTTTTGACGCATTTACCGCTCCATAATATACATGTGTATTCTGGGTTCTCAAGTTTTCTAAGCTTATATTTGCATTCATCAATCGATCAAATGTTGGTTAGACTACGAATTGGAGAGTAGTCACGTGAAGGTTCATCCGAACTTATGAGTTGTATCAAAAACGAATCAACCGAAATTCTTATTGGCATATCAAACCCCAATTTCATCCGGCTCCAAGGAAACAAACAAACAAACAAATGCATGACCAAAAACTGCACATCGTAACCAAAGAGAAACACTCCCAAGAACAATCTTCAAAAACGGAAAAAGTAAAAACGAAAAATGAAACCCTGCATGAAGTGTTGCGGACCATATCTAGTGGCTATCCCGTCCGTATCTACACTTCATGATACCCCAACCAACCAACCAGCCACCATAGGCATATGCAACCCCCGAACCAAATAAAAAGAAACTCGTGAAGAACTCCCAAAAAAGCTATGAACACCGAAAGGAAATAGATACCACGAAACTAAGTTGTTTCAATAAATACCCAAAAACCCAACTAATGCCCACTTAGATAAGCATGCGTTCAAGATCAACGAGCTGCGGGTACTCGTTTTTCTTGTCGTAATGGATGTCCTCCTCGCGGCTACCGTTGCACAAAAACTCTTCGAGTAGCAACAACTCTTCAAAGTCGGCCTTATACTCCGCAGCTCTCTCCGCACTTGGTCGAGGAAGTGGTGCCCGCCCGTATCCTCCGTATCCGAAGTGAGCTTGCAGACAAGCCTTCGTCCCAACAACACCTCCCTTGATTGCACCCCAATCACCTCTTCCGACTACTGCTTGCATCTTCTCCGCCTCGTCCATTCTGCCAGCAGCGTAGAGATTGAAGACGTCAACGCAAGCTCTTGGTGCAATGTTCACGAGTCCGCCAATGACACCCTTGCCGCCAGCGATCAAGGTTTGCAAAGTGAAGTCTGACGATCCGCCAAGAGTCATGAACCCGCTTGGCGCTGCATTTGCGACTCTCCCAAGCTTTCCAGTGTTGCCGCAAGTGAGCTTACATCCGACGATATTAGGGTGTTTTGAGAGCTTGGTGACAACGTCCGAATCAAGATCAATGCCCGAAACGGCGCCGGGGTAGTTATAGATCAGGATGGGAACTGGGGATTCATTGGCGACAGTGGTGAAAAATTCGAATTGCGACTGGGCCGTGTAGAGGGACTTGTAGTACGAAGGCGGTAGGATCATAGCATAGTCACCACCAGAGACCAGAGCGTCGTGGCATAGCTCGATTGTTTCACGGACGGATTGCGCGCCACATCCAACGATCACGGGCATATCCCTAAAGCCAGCATCATCCAAAGCCTCGCGAGTTGCCGCAGTAACAATTCTCCGCTCCGCATGGCTTAGATGCACTGCTTCTCCATTAGAACCCTGGGTAACGAGTCCAACAATTCCGCCTTGTGCAAGACGAACTGCATGCTTTCGGGTTGTAGGGAGATCGAGCTCTTCGGTGGTGGGGTCAAAGAAGGCGGGTGTCGGGGCGTAAATTCCTGCACGAAGGGGGCGGTCGGTACAAGACTGGAAGTTCCCACTTCCGCTAGTTTTGGTGTTCGAGTATAAGGCTGAATACCCACTCTTGTTGTGAACGTTTGAGACGCTCCCGTGGCGCCCACTGCTAGCAACGTGAGGAGCGCCGGCTTCACTGTGAAGGGCCAAACCGCTCAAAGCAGAAGTCATTTCGTTTGTTTCAGGAGAAGAGGAGAGCTCGTTGGTGTGAGGCATTTAATAATTGACGTTTTCGGTGATATATGGGCGAGAAGATTGATCCTATGTGATATAAAAAGCTCTAGATAATGATGAGGGATTGAAGCTGGTAGTTGAGGGAGACGGAGCAGTGGTGGTTATAGACAATGTATGATGAGGGAGTAAGTCTGAATGAGAAGGGGACTGATTGACTTTAAATAATAGTAGGTAGATGAAGAAGACTAGAGTGGGGCGGAGGCTTGAGAGGGAACCTGTATGTATGATGAGCTCTTTGGTGTAAGCCCTGCGTGATGAGGCGAGCTAACTCTTGATCCTCTCACCTAGGAGGACCCCTTCAACACCCCCTCCCCCTCTTACCTTCCATTCACTCATCCCCTTCCATCCAAAACCTTTGAAGAGGGTAGTGCACGAGCCAATGTCATTTGAACTTCAATTGGCTCCTGCGTTACTTCTTCAAAGGGTTTGGATGGAAGCCTCAGGCAAGGTATCCACTTGACGTCCGAAGCCTCCTTCGCCGAGACATGCCAACCCAGTAAAAGCCCTGGCCAGTGGGGATGCAGAGAAAATTTGGTGGCTCTAACATCCAAAGCATGCAAACGTCACGAGCGTAGAGATGAAATGGAGGGGTGGTGAAAAAGAAGGTTCATGGTCGACGACAGTAGAGCAAAACTCAACGAAACGCCTGACGAACAGCATACATACCAGCGGTATTGAAGGTACAAAATTTGACCCGTACTTTTGGAATGTAGTCTGGTCCTATCCGATTGTCTTGATCTTTTCTTTTTCTATCTATTCACTTCGGTATCCCTGCAGCGGACCACAGCTGATTCACAAAGATAAATGAGCGGTGGGTGGCAGAGCTAGAGTGTGAGCGAGTGTGACATAGGGACGGCGACAGACACGAGTGCGCGTGCCCGGCATCGAGTACATGAAGGTGAAGCTAGGTGTTGGACCTGAGGAGTAATGAACGACCCAGCACTGTGGGTTGGTGATGGTGCGTGCTGGCGTGGGGGGTTACTGTGGGGCGTTCTGCGGCGCCAGTGAAACATGCTTCTTCCTCTTTTGGGGGGTAGTTGCCTTCACGTCCTTGTAAACTTCAAGAAAGGGTAAGAGATAATTCCCAATACCTATGTTGCTCGGATGTCTACAAGTCTATTCTATGATTCCCTATGTAGTTCTCTCGTTGGTTTAATACTGTGACTATCTAGGTACATGTACTTGTATCTATAGAGTGCCTACTGCCAACATAAATTGTACATAGATCAAGTAGGTATTGGGTTTGTATTGACGACCTAGACCTAGACCTAGGCATTACTTTGCTCCTTTTCTTACCTTACCTATCCTTCTCTTTCTTCCCTGAGACTTTAGGAGGGTATCTTGTACCGAAATAAACGAGGGTAGGTAAGTGTGAAAGAACCATAGGCGGGGTGTCACGCAGCACGGCGTGCATCCAACCGCATCTGCGAGTTGATTCGTCACAGCCGTCGTCAAGTACTTCCGTGTTCAAGTAAATAAAATAAAAAAAGGGGGGGGGGGGGGGAGGAAGAGCAGCCACCAGACGAACACAGCAGTGGGAGACAACCTGCATGGAATGTAGAGTACATGTACCTACATGTACCTACAGAATTGAAAACTTGAGTCGGGTCTACTGCAGCAGTCTGACAGGTGCACATCAACCTCTCATACTGGCCGCGTTCGAGACTACATACTCTACAACCACACATCTACTTTCTCGAGTATGTATGTAGGTACAACATACACTCTAGAGTACTTGAATGCCGCTTACGCAAGGACACACATACATGGACAGCAATAGAAATGGTGAGTCTACCTCAGCAAAGTAGCAAATGAACCCCCCCGTCAAGGTACACAACAGGATGCACCCCGCAGTTCAAGGGACAGCGTAACTCGCCGCGGATCAGGCCCGTGCTTGCGGACCTCCCTTGTCGCTACAAACCTCTCAATAGAGTACATGTAGTTAAGTAAGTACATGCATGTATCTACCATACATAATCTTTGAGGCTCGTGATTCATGTGTTCCTGATGACGTTTTTTAACAAAGCAATATGGAGCAGGCCAAGACGCGCAGTCACGAAGATCTAGAACTTTTTCGTCTGTGGAAACATATTTCTTTTTCCAACTAATCATACTCTAGTGAACCATAGAAACCCTATTCAGAAACCACATTCAGCTCTTTTAATCACCTTGCATTCATGCGCAATCTTAGAATCAGAAATTATTCTCGAATTTAGATCTTCAGGCTACCCTTACTGAGAGTGAGATTGCACATAACCAATGCAGGATCGATTCTAATTCGCCCTCAACGAGACATATCAATCCCAACGGAATCTAAATAAGATGGCCGTTTGATATCATGGCCCATGCTTTCCTCAAATCCCTTATTAAAATTAAAAAAATGCATCAATATGCCAATTCGAACAGTTGTACGCTTATCGATTGACAACTGGCATTGAATGACACATGAATAAAAAGAATACCACTCTCGTTTTTGTTTCTAACTGCACGGGGCTAAAGTCCGATACCTATTTTCCGGGCTGTAGTGCCGGTTCTAGAAGTTGTTAAGTGTTGTATGTGAGACCGAACTCGTAGGAGCTACATATGTGCGTTACTATGTGGTGGATTGTCGATAATAAGGCTGAAGGTGAAGTCATTCTAGCTGAGAGTGAAATAAGTTACAATCTGAACCCTCCTTCGCTGGGTTTTTACGGTGGATGTGACTTTGATAACCATCGTCCTTGATGCGATGTCGGAAGGCTACCTCACATGACCGATGACATGGCTGTATGAAACCCCAAGGAAAGGGTTTTTCCGATCTTCACAGCATCTATGATTAGCTTCGATGTTTTTTTTTCCCTATTCTTTTTTAGGTGGTTCAAATTTTTTCTTTTTCTCCTTTCCTTTCTTTTCCTCCTTGGACAGCAAAAGAAATCCCCCCCACACGCCGTTAACGCGTCTAAAGGTTCGGTTCCTGAGAACGTTTGTCGAGGATCTAGGGCATTGACTAACAGGGTTTCCTGCTCACACCTTTATCCCATATATATATGCCTGAAATCTTGGACAAAGGGTCCAATGACGGGCCTAGGCCTAACCTATTTTCCGAGTGTAATCAGCATCGAATTCGTAAACAGAGCCTCCTCTAACCCCCTTGTTTACCGTGTACCGTCATACAATTCAAGGGGTTTTTTTTTTCCTTCAACCCCCACACAAAATTCCGTCCGGGACCAACGATGTTGACAGATCTGTGAACGTCATCCCGGCCGCCCTTGAAATATTGCCAAGACAAGCTCATGATTAACCAAGTAGGCACAGTGCCATAGGACGTACTGAGCAACAGATATCCGGACCAAAAAGAACAAAATCTCTGTCTTGAAACATTCCGGAAGAGTAAGTATTCACATGTGCGGGATTCGCCAATCGCGGCAGCTCTCGCTCAATTCCAGTTCCCCGGGTTTTCTGTTCCCAAGATTTTTGACACCAACCAATGCTATTGCCTTGCTCGAGGCAAGCCGCCCTAGCTGCAATGCAATTTAAAGAAGCAAGACTGAGCACACAGCCTTGTCCTCCCACGCTGGAGCTGCCTTATCAAAAGTCCTTCCAACAGTAAAAGTACTGCCTTAACGACGATGTTGCTTGATAATCTACGGTCGACTCGGGTTTCCGGAAGAGCTCGTTCGGGTCCGCATGATAGAATCCGGAAAGGGGAGGGGAAAAGAAAGGAGACAAAGGTCACGGAGACTCTACTAGATAAGAAAAAGAAAAAAATGAAATGTTTTGGGGAATTCACCAATAAACACTTCGTTCTGACTTTCTACATGGGGAGACAGTCCGGGGGGCCACTTGACGTTCAATGTGAGACCTATCCGCACCTAACCAAGTGAGCGGGAAAGTGGCTAGACTCTTATTTCCTTATTATGATGTCACTTCGCCTAAGCCTCAATTCTTATTAGCAAAGTTGAGCCGCAGCTTGGATCCCGCATGTTGGGATTCGAATGATTTACAACCACCAACCACCTTCACTGGAACTCCGACTCCAACTTGACTACATCACCATGCAAGGGTTAGCAATAATCGCCTCGACTCTTGAGCAATGGGACTGGAGGGAAATGGCTCTCCGGATCGACTGATGTCCTTGTATAATGCCCTTGCATGCACATGTAGGTATGTATCTTCCTTTTTCCTACTTAATTCTCACCTCACGAGCTAGGGAATCTTATTGAGAAATAGATATTGCTTATCTCCTTATTGCCACGGTACTTTCTGTCAGTAAGAAGATCATTAATTAGTGGCCTCCCTTTTTGATTCTATTACTAATTTACTATTTAAGGGAACACGGCAAATATTTGAGTAATCTACTAAAATCAGAAAGCGTGGGGGCACACAGACGGATGAATGCTCCACGCCCATAGAACCAAGTAGGTGATAAGCTAGACTCGACTAGATCATATATTATTAACTAAGTAGTATTCAATAATTCAGTAAGCTTTCCAAAAAGGGATCAAGACACAGACATCCTCGGACACTTACCTTGGATTCACTTTTCAAAAACAACGTGTGAGATCTTGTGCTCTTTAGACAAATCTTCACTTTCTTACTACCTATGTAGCATCCCGCTGATCCTGGTGAACTTGGGGCAGTTTTATTCCCAATTGAACTATTTTGATCTCGACGATGACCGTGCTGACGGAAATTCGTAGAGAAATAAATGGGGGAGGAGGACCGTGCTGCACAGTGAATATAATAGTAGCGTTATGGACAGTTTTTTTTTGGTCGTACTACTCCACTACTACATCTGTGTTATTTACTCGACGATAGACACCTTGAGCATGATCGTGACCTTTAATCCAATGCACAGTAGTGACACAACAGCTCCCAAAGCAATTTACTGCAATTGAACATCCGAGGGGTCCTGGAATCGGTATTATTTTCTGTGGTCCAATGACAATACGCCCTAAACATCCATCTCTTTTCATCACAAATACTAATACGGGTACATGCTCTAGCTACATGCTGCACCCCAGAAAACATCACGGGTTTTCTCGGCTCATCGTAACATCAGTCGACCATGTGGACAAATCGTATGAATTCGGTATGTTATTACTAACTATTCCATATCCTTGTCAATGGTCAAATATCGGGGATTAACCTTGAGAGTATAGTTGCCCTTTTACGTACTGTATAAGCATCTCTGCATGAAACTCTTGGATTAGCCACTGGATCTTTCATCTACAAACCACGATATCTCTCATACATAGAGTATATCGAATCTGAATATCCACGGGGACATCCCCGGGGTGACCGACCGGTGATACTCATATCAACAAGTGGCGCTCTGTATACAACATTCCTTCCTTTGGAAATGAACTATTCCCGTACTTGAGGTATTTTGTCTGTTTGCAAGCTGAAATGTTGCAGGGAGAGATTTGTCGATACGGCTGGTAGGTATATCATGTACCTACGGAGGCGGATTTTTCCCACATCGAAGCAGTATCACGCCGATCATCCTCAAAGATTGCTCCCCACGCCTTTGTGTGGCTACCTATTCTTACGTTTCGGAAACAAGGGGGCGCTGGCTAGGCGGGATTATATAGGAACTATTACTACATACACATCGACATCAAAGCGTTGCAGGAAAGGCGTCTTTTTTAACTGGTTTTCGGACGGGTCCCACTTCGACGGATATATACCTTGGCAAATCCGGGGAACTCATGCATGGGTTTTCGGTATTCGGGCTAATTGGATGGGGGTACATCTTGTAGGGCGCTAAGGTGAGGGAGGCGGAAATGATTATCATCGAGGAAAGTACACACCAGAGGATCGTGAGTACAACATACATATCGACCTATACTTTACTACATCGATGGGGGCGTGATTTTTGCGAAAGGTTGTATTGAACGAATATTAGGAGTTTGATCTCGCGAGCTCGGTAAAACGGGTAGAAACGAATGGACAACTCTACGCATCTCGAAGAAGGCGGAAACACATACATATAGGTGACCATCGATCAGGCCTATCCTGATACGACAAAAGTTCACAAATTGTCTTGCTCCCGGATCCAAGTTCCCTGTACGTCTTTAACGCCATCCAATTCGTGGAGGTGATCTTTACCTGGCGCGTCGAATCGCCGTACTGGCTTCGATGGGGTTTGGGGCCGTTTTGGCCGCCCTCCTTTTTTGATCGAACGTCAAACGTGGGGGGCAGATATTGAAATAAGTCTTTCGTTTTGAACGGGCATCCTTGAGCGTTTTGGCTAGTTCCACGCATGGAGACTTTGTTGATCTTACTGGGTATCGACATTATTGCGGTGTTTTACCCGGTGCCTCTTGTGGCTATGAGAAAGCGGGAAAGAGCAAAAAGGTTTGCAAATTTGATTCAGCAAGCCCAATAGATATTACATTCAGATAACCCGGCTTAGGTTCATATCAAAAAATATCTAATACCTAGTCCCATCATCGAGGATGTCGGTCATAATGGTTTGAAACGCACAGAAACCTACAAAATTTAAAAAGGAATTAGAGCCACAAGTCCTTGTTACTTCAATTGAAGGCTGTTCTTGCGCGTTTATTGCACCCAGGCTAAATAATAGTCAATAGGTCGATCTTTGACTCAGGCCGTACACCTGGACCATGGAGCTCAAGTAGGTACAAAGTTGTATCCGTGGGTTACCCAACAGTTGCGGCCAAGCGACGAACTTCCTCGCCACTTCTCCGCATATTTCTCAAGTCGGCAACCAATCTTGCTATATGATCAGAAGATGTCTGACGGGTAGGTATGGTACAGACATGGTCGTGCCCAAGATTTAAGTTTGGGGGTCACCTGTATGAATTGTCTCCGATGGTTTTTGCCTTATCTTACCTCGCATAAGCTGGGTCTCTCTATCGCGATAACGTTGAAATAGCCGGTCACCTATCCTGATTAGGTCACGATACCATAAGTACTCGACGTGAATTTTGGCCTTGGCGCCCAGACTAACATCTGATCGCGACTCGAATGATACCAATCTCTAGGCGCGAAGACTTCAATCTAAGGATGCCCTTGAGAGGCGATGTATGTAAATTGACGATCGGCACTGAAAGCTGAGAACTTTTGGCAACAAACTAATGCATCACCCAAGTCTGTGCTCAGGCCCTGCACACCTACATATGTAACCTTTTAAAAACCCTGTGCAGAATTGCTATACGTGTTCAGCTACGTTCAACGGAGTTTTACTGAGGTTGTTTGTTGGCTTGCAAACAAGGCCGTGAGACGTCATGGCTAAAAGCTGGAATACTTCTATAATATCCTATAACTGGTACGTTCGATAGATTTAATCACCGACAAGGTAGGGATATTATATTATGTAGTCCTTTTCCTAATGCTCTACATGTATACAACTAACGTGCTGCAAATCATAAGACATCACTCGGAGATCCTGGTGCTATGACAGCCACTGCACCCGTGACAACCCTTCACATAACCAATGAGTCGCAATGACAGCAAGAGACCGGTTCCCGATAAAGATATATTTCTCATCTTTATATCGGGTTTAAGTTAAGGGGTAGAGTGGCCACAATGTGGCACTCAACCTCTCTTATGATTGTTTAACATACATATATATCACTCACCCATGCACTGTCCCAATAAGAATTTTTCCCGAAATCACCCCGAACTCGCGCTTAGTAGATAAACCTCATTTCTAGATTGAACCCAAGAAGATCACGGCATTGATTGTCCCGCTATCGAAGATAAAGCACTCTGACTACTCTAGTACAAGTGCATCTAGCTGTGCTCAAGCACATACATGTAGTCACGAACTACATGTACCTTAGCGAACCATGGAAGTGCACATTCCCACATTAGCTTAGCTCGACATCTAGTGATCCTGACCCCCACGAGCCCCGTCTTCGACACCTGTATTCCCGGATCGACGCACCATAAATCCATGACCTGCGATCGAAGTGCGCTGTTATAAAAGAGTTTTTATGAGAAAGATCTTTGTGGTGGGGTTGAAACCCCGGTTATGGGTAGCATAGAAGACTACATGTAACTACATGTAAATAGCCTCGGTGTCACAACAACTGTACGTACATTTGTCCGAGATTATAGACCTAGGACAGTAGGATCCGAGTTCTATAAGTTTCATATTACTGATGCAACACTACTATATTGGTATTTCCTTGCTTCATGATCAGGTCGTATGTTTTTATTTATTAAATTGTTCTAGTTGGTGAGTGTACTACAATAACTATCCCCGAGGGGAGTAAATCCCAAGAATCAATTTCTATGACCTATCATTTCCATGCAAGACTACCATTGAAGCGGGTGCTCTAGAAGACATTGCAGTCGATCTGTGCAGCTGGGTATGACGCTCATCTCATACTATATTTACTTTTGCACATTCCAGAAGTAAGTGTCAAATGACTTTATGGAGGGTCCTATATGTAAAAGAATAATTAATCAATGCGAAGGCTTCCGATCTTATAGTAAATATCCGATCATCATTCTCCGCAGGTTGTTTGAGGTTACAATTAATTTGCAATAAATTCCTGTGTCGAGTGCTTAGACGTGACGCACACAGGCCTAGCGGCCCACTCCTCAGCGCATGGTAACCGCACAGCTTCCCATGCGCTATGCATGCATGCATGCAATGAATGTTTTGAAACAATGTGCATCTCCTCAGCTCCAATCAATCTGCTGTTAATACCCCCACTTGTTCATCCTCAATAATCATGTCATACTCTTCACACATGTGCTCACCCCCACATCGCCCCCTCATCATCATCATTATCATAGAAAGGGGAGCACGTGGTTTGGAGGAACTCAATTATCAACAGGGCTATTACACCATCCCTTCTTCCTATCCTTTGGACTTACTACTTGGGCGATCGATGCGATGATGCTTACTTTCGGTTCTTTCATGGAAGACAGGACTAGCTATGCAGTTATAGCTACATGTAGCTAACCGCTCCTTCCATGCTCTTTATTTCATGTCAAAACCAATCAATGATTCCTTAGCACTACTTAGAAAATTCAAAGCCGGATTTCCACCATCATCTATCGTATTCCGGAATCTAGGCAATACATTTCAGTTGATATTTCAATGGCGTACGTAGATACATATTCACATGGATTCATTATAATCCAAAACAGTGACCCTGTGAATTGGCTTAGTTGCGGCATATACGGTGGGTTACTTTCGATTAAACACCCACATAGGAATCTATACAGTACCAAAAGCAGCTCGCAAAAGTAACACCTGCACAGAGATGTCTAATGTTGCGGCTCATCTATGGAGGAATCGATGTCTGGCTGTTACTCGGTCGTCTCGTGTTGTGATATGTCTATCGGAGTGAGAAATTCATCCCACCTAGCTCAGCGTGGGGAAAGGCGCCCAGTGCTATGTATCTTATTTAATATAAACCATTTTCTTGCGGCCCATATTCGAATGTTCGTTGTAAACCATGCATTATTTTACTTGTCCCCTTCGTGCCCGCTTTCCTATTCATACCATCCTTTGTCATTACTACAAGCCCTATCATCACTGGTAGTGCTAGGAGTGATACATGTTAGTACACTCACTCAAGGGGTGAAGGCGGATCCTGTCTGATAGCGGTCAGGGATTTGAGGCCAATAAAAGGGTTAGGTTATGGACGCTAAGGGCAAATCACTGCAAACAGAACCATCAGACAGGATCAGCCGTCAGTAGGTGAGCGACTGTAGTTATCAATCAAGCTTATAGAACAGCTTCTGGAAATATGGAGGTTTGGAATTCACTGCGTGATGCGTGTTTGAGTTAGCTATTGATTGTACGCAGATCTAAGCCTACGATGCAATATCTGATATTTTATCCCCAAAACGCCCCTCAACCACCGCGATTATTACACCGACCCAGAAGGTAAAAAATGAAGAAAACAAATATGAATATTCCAATACAATTTTGGCTGTCTCTCTCCTCCTATCATCCATTAATATTTGGCCACGTATAACTCACCCGAGTCTGAATTTTTTAGGATGTATGTACCTGTGAACAGTTTCTCTTTCAACTTAATCACTCCCATCTCTCTCTTCTCGATGTCTTCTAACTCGTTGTCAGTGTATCCCGATTCCTCCTGTGGAATTCGCCGATTGGTAGTAAATGGTTTAGATTATTAATCCTGACTACATTTGTGGCTACGTAGGTACAAACTTGGACCTAGTGAGACATGCAGACACAGGACCCAAGGTAGGTAGGTTTAGGCAATAGCCCGGTGACTTTACGCCTTCCATGGCGGCGTAGGTACATGGTTGATCGATCAGTCATGCATATATACACAAACTTCACATATACCTGGGGGTGCCAGAAAGTGATGCAACTCTTGACCTAGCAACGCCGAAATGTACCCAGAACTTCAGGATAGATATTTTAGTCATACCCATGATAAATGAGTCTCTAGAACAGAGTCTGCAATTTTTCAGGTCATTGGTTTGGGGTTTTTAGCCTGGGGAAGGACAACTTGTGACAAGAGACAGTAATAAAAGGAGAAGCAACAGTCAACCACACCAACTCTCACCATAACTATGGTCTCCAGCTTCTAAATTACCATAGATTTGCTCCACATTCTGTTAGCTAGTTTGGTTGTTGAGAAGTATGGATTATTTGATCGTTATATTACTTTCCGGTACTCCTGGGTACAATCACTAGCTGGTCACAACAGATATGTATATGCATCAACATGTGGGGTCCGATAGGTTAAAGTCAGAGTAAGCCTTTTATATAAGGAGGCTTGATTAGGATACTAGGTGTGTCGGTTTACAGCAGAATGAGCCCAAGTACACTGTGTTTTGATATTGCATTAATGATTTAGATCATAAACGATCACTCGCAGTATTCCAAAAAAAATTTTTTTTTTACTTTTTTTCCTCTTCTTTTTTTGTTTAATTCATTAATTGCATGCATTCAAAAAAAAGTCTGTGCCCATAGTCATTTACATATTTACAGAGATTCGACGTACTGATTATATGAGATACCCGTTTAAGTATCTGAATTTAAACTTTCGGCCGGATTCCCTATTGAAGCTATGGGAATTATATACCTAGAGAGATAATGGACTGAACAGCCGCACTATGTGTTACGGCGCTTGCTTGGGTCTAATATTGTGCGAACAGCTGCGGGGGGGGAGAACAAAGGAAGGGAGTCTTACTCGATCGAGCCAAACGAAGACTACATGTATACACGTAGGAATCAACCTCCATATGTGGATTCTTATTAGCATGTCACGTGGGTTCGTATTATATTAGTGGGTTGGTACTTAGGGGGTGATTCACCAAATCCATCTGGGCCGTTGACTAAACGGGTTACGACAACAAATAGGCGCTAATCACTTGTACTCTTGGTCTGCATAAGATTTATCAATGCATTAAATAATATTACGATAAATAATCAGAAAGACAGTTCTAATCAATTTTGGCCTAGTACAGCGCTAGTTTTGGTGTTCTAACGTTCGGCATTACGACCTGAATTGACAAGTGTTATATTTCAAAAACTAAGAACTAGATGTAAGGTACCAGCAACACAGATATATCTCTCATATACTGTCAAAATCTTGAAAAACGAAAGGATTCTGCCTAAAGTTGGTATACACTTCTCCACCTGGGCCTTTAAATCCAATCATGGGATATAGTTGACCTGCGATATCTTCCGCAGAATAATCTGATGAAACCTCATTATGTTAATGATGCTTCGGCTTTGCTTTATCCATAGAGCTAGAATCAAACGGTCGGAGGTTCATAGATTCAAAGTCTGGCGTACCTAATAAAAGTTTACCATTTTTGGTAAAGAAGATCCTTGACCGGTCGAAATTCACACCGCATCCGACTACATCACCACTCGAAAAGGTCGCATATTGCTCACTGTTGGCCGTAGGAGTGACTTTGCGCGCGAAAAGAAAACCCTCGTGCCCGTGGTAGCCATATGATCCAGAATGCCAGCCCGGCATGCTTTCGAGGATGAGATAATCGCTCGAAACCCTGATGCAGATTTTACTAAGCGAGTGTTAGAAGATTATATACCTGCACATCGAGAATCAGTCTTAAATATATATACCCGGCTGCCCCTTCGATTATTTTGACCTCATAATAGCAGTTATCCTTCTCTGCTGGCATACAAAAATTACTTCTTACTGCCGTAATCCCATTCAATCTTGCTATGTCTTCTTGAAACATTAGAGACGCCACGTCATTGCTAGACCAATGATAGTTCTTACCTGAAACTCTTACATGAAGATTACCATCCGAAAGATCAACGTGTATAGATTTGTCTTCTGGGCTCCAATGTGTGGGTGCCTGAATAACGATTTGATGATCGTCGGGAGAGGAGGTTTGTAATTGAGATAATCGCTCAATTACTTGGGATTTTCGGCTTTTCCGGGCACAATCGATTGGTGACCATCCCTGTACGTCTCTCATGTGGGGATCCGCTCTATGCCCTAACAAAATTTCAACGATGTCTAAATGTCCACAGGAAGCAGCTACATGGAGTGCAGTACAACCCCGCTGAGTGACTATATTGACATCTATCTCATGATCTAGAAGTAACCTAAAGATTTTGCGATTCGCTCTCAGGATGGCCAGCTGTAGAATACCTGAAGAGACACTGAACGCGGACTCCAAGGTGGCTTTGTTTGATCTTGCTAGATTATCAAGGATGGAGCTGACAACGTCATGGCTATCATATGATACTGCGAGGTTTAGGAGTTTTGATAATTTCTGTGGATTACTTTTGATATGTGCCCCCCTATCGAGAAATAGACTGACAACTTGGGCGTGGCCCTTATATGCAGCTATATGTAGGGGAGCGAAATCATTCAGATTGAGCCTGGCTTCGATGTCTGCTCCACTATCGAGAAGTAGACTGACAACTTGGGCGTGGCCCTGACCCGCAGCTAGGTATATGGCAGTTGCACCACCTCTTTTGGTTTTAACGTCTGCTCCCCTATCGAGAAGTAGACTGACAACTTGGATGTGGCCCTCATATGCAGCTATATGTAGGGCAGTGGGGTCGTTTTCTAGGGCCTCCAACATCCAATCGTAGATACCATCTAACCCTTTGGGCAAGCCTTCCATGAGGGCTTCTAGCTTTTGGGCGGTCAAACCTTGTGCGCTGTCCAACTGCTTAATTACCAATAATACTCAGAGAAACGTTCCTTCCGAGCGCTCCACCAACATATTCCAAAGTCTGTCCTTGACATCCTCCTTCAAGCGCAATCGTCTTTGCAATCTCTCCATTCCATCATCAACCACTTTTTCGATGTCTGTCTTGACAATTTCTGGAGTAAGGTAGATAACTCGGGCAGTCGCCAAATCCTCCTTTAAACTCTGAAAAGGCCGGCTTGTTAAGTAGAATTTAATTTTGGAGAGTCCTCTGATTCCTTGGGTGCCTCGGTCATTTTTGTGATTAATAGAGACAACTCGGAGATTGATTCTGCCTCGCACTCATCGAGGGCATCTAATATGCAGAAGATAACATTTAGGTGAGAGGCTGCCACCATAATAGTAAATATGTCCCAAAGTGATTCTAATGGCCATAGAACGACCTCTGAGCTGGATTTATGAAGGTTTGCCTTTTTGGCGATATGAGAGAACAAGGAAGGTATCTGGGAAAGGAGCTGGTGAACTATAGCTGCAAGAACATCGGTCGCAGTAAGGTTAGGATTATCTCTGTTGTTGCAAAAATAGTAAAGAACCCGTGTGTTTTGGGGGCTTGAGCTGGAATCCGGCAGACCTTCTAGAAAATGCCTAGAAAGGACAGTTTTCCCCGATCCAGGCTTTCCAATAGAATACAAGACAGATGTGTCCTGGCCTGTACACCAAGCTAGGTACTGAGAATGGGTGAAGATCCATTCGCAAGTTCCGGGCTGCGGAACTTTTATTTTTCCTTTTTCGCTGTAGTAGTCCGGGTGTTTTAAAGACAGCAGAAAAACTTTAATTATATCAGTTCAAGTCCTATATAGTGTATGCGGGTACAGATAGGTATATAGGACCCTTTTCAAATACCTTCGCGTTCTCAATCATGGACCATCGCTATAATATAAAAGTTTAAGAGATCTTATACATATCAGGAATAATTATATATTCATTCATACCTTGAAGTTTTCGGGCCGAACTTAAATTTGTTGCCCATAAATTATCAAACTCTACGCTTTCAAGCCTCAAGAAACCAATATCCGTCTCGGGCACTTGCATAAATTCTTCTTGAACCTTTCGTATAGTTCGAGAGATGATTTCCTCTAGATTCGTCGTAGAGATCTGGCTAATCACATCTTTGCTGGTAGATGATTTAAGCGAACTGCTTGTATCCCTTTCCAAAAGCTTGGGTTCCCATCTCCGATACTGTGGATGGTTAATTCATCAATAATCATTTTTGAATCCAAGCAAGGTCATGAGGATATGCCAAACCTTTTGGACGTATCCACGATCAATACTAAGCAGATAGATAGCTTCCGTGACTGCAGCGCAGTTACCGCTTCTCTAATATCATCGTCTTTGAAGAGCGCCTTAGTCTCTTGGATTCCCCGACGGTGTAGTCTGCTGTTACCACCACATTGCTTTGAGGTAAGCGGTTCAAGGGGTGTTTTAAGTCGTTTTAATTCAGCCCCGCAGGTGTTAACGGCATCTACCAGAGGGCTCTAGTCGGAATTGATCTTTTGGTCATATTTGGCTTGGTTTAACTGTGTGAGTATGAGTTCTAGGTCCTGGAGCTCCTGATGTAGCCTTCGGAGAGTGTGAGGAGCGTCAACAATTTGTCCTATCAAGCTCGATATGGATTTAGCAGCTTGTAGAGTTACCGCGATAATCCCAAGAGCGCCAGAAACTGCGCCCAAAACCTCCATTGTGAGTGTCGAAATTGCCGCCTATTGATGTTCGAACGTTCCTAGTGCGGGGCAGGTATCATAGAACCGACAGATGCAGCAAGCTTAGGCTCTTCTTGTGTAACACAGCCGCAGATGGGAGTCGAGAACTAGGAGACATCCCGGTATGGAAATGTAAATCTACCGCATATGTGTGATACTTAAAACCAGGGCCAGACGTTACAACAGGTACAGGAGCATTAGCTTCTAGGAATATGTGCCTTTATAATAACGCTGCATTATAGCTGCTTAAGAACACGTATTTGAAGAAGTTAATATCCCAAATGAAGTACATATCTACTATACATAATTTTAAAACGGACATATATGTATACTTGTAATTAACCTCTATCCCTCAATTCATTTTTACGGTAAAACGCTATTGAGGTATATATCACGCCAATGAATCTAGCGACTTTGAATTATATAAAGTAAGTGCATTTACTACCTAAGTACTTAAATTAAATCAATAACATAAAATGCTCTCGTTCTGGCAAACATACATGAGATCGAGAACATCCGATAAGATATAGCTAATGCGGTATTTTCATCGTGGTTGGAGTATAATGGAATACGGTGGAAGAACTCTTGTCCTTTCCTTTAATGCAGCGGGCCCGTCATGTTACTTGATGGTGCGTCCCTATCTGATTTGTCTACTGTTCACTTTAGGATTAGGATCGTACTTTCAATGATATACATGTATGTATAATACCTGGATTCGCTACGTTGTTCCCGTTAATGCGCTAGTAATGTAGCAAGAATACGGTATTACTACGATATTTTTTTTTTAATGCCGTATTATTTACTAAATCCCATAGTTATATAGTACTCATATAAAGGTGATGAATTGACCGGTACGCTATTCAGATTTTTGAAAAATCTAGTGTCATAAGCGGCGTTTTAATGCAGCATTATAAAGGCACATATTTCTAGAAGTGAATAGTACCCCTACTGACTACAATCAACACTTATTCATAGTGTACTACTCGGTTGGCTTTGCTTTTTCTCTTTTATTTCAGCCCCACCCCTCACATAAGATCGTGTAGTTAGCTGCCAAGTTTTGCCAACCCGTAGCCCTACTTCTCAGCTGAATTTCATCTGACCCATCTATTCTTTCACTATGTTTCGCCCTAGGACGTAAGCTTTTCAACTTGCCTCTCTAGCAAATTTTAATTGCGGGGAGATTCTAGACTACAAAATCAGGTACTCTCCATATCTAAACCTCTCTAGTTTTGAACTACCACTCTTTAATTCAAAACCGGTCAAAATCTAGATTGGTGCTTATTCTCCCAGAAACCAGAACCAATCACCTCGACGATCATAGATTCAACCGAAATGTTCTTTACCCACAAGTACCAGCGTGCTCAAGATCTTCAATCCCAACTCCCACCTATCACACTAACACGGATATCCCCACAAGAGCGGAGAAAAAAGATAATAATAGTGTTCGCGGTGGTAGTCTGCTTTGCGACATTATTCATCGTCTCTGGCGTGATCCTTCTGACCCAAGGCCAAAGCTTCAGCAGAGATCTCTGCCCTGGGTCTGGGACGCCTGTGAACTACAATGCAGGACAGCAGACAGCTCGTGGTAGACACTATTCCCCACTAGGAAAGGGGATCACCATCGACCTCTCATTTGGAAGCCTGGATTTCACAGTGGCCAAGTCGATTGACATCGCCTGGGACATCATTGTTGGGCGCGGGGGGCAGTTGTTGCTTCTCTGGATTGCGCACAAAGTATATGTTGCTACCCTCGACCATGTTACCGAAACCTCCGCTGTCGGGTACGATTTCTATCTTGCACTTGCATTCGATATAGGTCCCTGGGCCATGGTTCTAGCCATTAGGAACCAGATCCTGGCCACAAGGAAACATGTGATCAAGGTCTTATTCATTCTATACTCGGTGGCATATATCGCCATGTTTCCAACACTGATGTCAGCCATGACCGGCTACACCAACTACACATCTCCCTACATCGTCTTTGAGGACCAGTCCATGATCCCCCTGGAGGACTTTATGGGCTCTGCCGAGAGGTACGGCGATACGTTGGTATTGAACGGAACATGGTACCCTCTTGATTACGACATGACCAATTGCCTCGACCACCCCTCTGGTCATTACTCGTACGGGTTCTCGAAGCTTGTGTGGAAGCTTGTTTGTGGCCTGCACCTATACTGGGTGCTCGGCATGTTCTTTCTCTGGCTGGACGCATGTCTCCACTCCCAGCTGTACCAAGCCGGCCACCGGATCGGCAAGATCAGAGCCATCCTCGACGTTGCTGAGTCTCTCAAGGAAGACCTAGGCCCGGATACATGTGCATACACTGGGGCTCAGTTGAAGAAGGAGCTCCAGAAACGGAACCCCAGACTCACGTACTACCAGACACGCAAAGGAATCCCACTACAGATTGGACTATCTTCGCAGTCGAGGGGCGGGCCTATCGATCTCGATGCCGCCAGGGGTTGTTTGTTTGGGAAACAGCCGGAGATCATGAAACATGCTATTTGGGATAGAGATACGGCATCGGAGTTTGGAGGAAGTCCGGCACTCACGAGGGATGCGCAGTTTGGGAGAATGGGCGGTTCGGATTTTGGGAGTCCTGCGTTGACTAGGGATGCGGAGTTTGGAAGATTAGATAATTTTGAAACTGTTGATACCGGCGACGAGGATCCCCGTGAGGGTGACCTTTCGTATAGTAGACAATAGTTGCAGGGATGATAGAGGGTCCGTTTCTTCTTCCTTCTTTTTCCTTGGTATGTTCTATCATTTCCCTTCCATTGTTGGATGGTGGACAAAAACAGTGACGAGCTAGGCGGGCAGTAAGAAAAGAAACTTAATGTTATTTCATTTGTTGGTGTACCATTATAGGGGTTGTGTCAGGCTAGTATTGGGCGTTGAAGGTGTTTAAATTGTAATTGTATCGGGGGACAGCTTCTTTAGGCTTTACTATGACACATTTGTTTCTTTCACCCTCTCTTTTTTATTGGGAAAAGGTCTAAATGACACAGTTTTCTCTACATTAACGTGCTCTGTAATAACACATGACGGGTACATGTATTATACTTTTATGGGTGGCTAAGAAAGGTTAGGGTTTCTGCTTCACCTTAGCATGTGCACACTGCTAATGCTAACTAGTACTACTACCCCAGCACAGAATCAACCATGGGCAAGCGCTCTAGTGGGTAGACACGATAAGTGTGGGGGAGGTCCAATTAAGGTTCAAGCCAGGGGTGGGGATAGTTTCGAACACTTATATCCATAAGTCGACGTACTCTATCTTTTGTTTTGTTTTTGTAGTGAAATAGATTAGGAAGCTGTTTGAATTTTTGATTTCTCTGGCTGGGCGCGGAATGGGTGAGTGAGTGAGGTCGAATATACTCCCCAATTTTTGATCATAGCGAACTGCGGCATTTTGTATCATGTGTTATTGCAGAGCACGTATAGGGAAAGCTGTGTCATTTTAAACCTTTCCTACTTTTTTTTCATCCCACATGGTACTTCCAGATTCTGATTTTCCTTCTATTCTTTGTTCGGATTGAATTGTTCCGGAAGGTCAATGAACATGAAATACTCTGACGTTAGGGACATGAAGGTCCGAGACCCCGAGACCTATTCCTTGCAGATACAAAAAAGAATTGTTAGTTGAACCCCCGTGACAGAATTTTTAGTCAGAGAATTGAACTCAACACCGCACGCTCCCCTTCATAGATTTCGACCAGCGAACTGGAAAAGCTATATAGCAAAGACAAAGGAAAAACGCTCGATCCCCATCATGCCTCCACGATCATAGAAGATATTGGTAGCAAGCTGTTTATGTACTCATATCATCTTGAAGCCTAAGGGCCCGTTCGGACAACCCAATAATCTAGATTATTGGCGATAATCTGACGGATTATCGACTTTTGGATTATCACAATAATCTATGCTGTTCGTGCAATTGAATAATCCAACATTCGGAACTCCTGATTATCCCAATAATCCGCTAAGGAAACAATCACTTTCGGAGGTAATTATTCTTACACAACACAGATATCCTGAGAGCTAACGTTATCCGGACATGTAGATTATCCACTTATTATGAGTATTATGATTATCACTCCCGCTACCTGATAATCCAGTCTGTCCAATAACCCGAAGAAATAATCTAAGGTTGTCCGAACGGGCCCTAAGTCTGTAACAAAATCAAAGCTGCGGGTGGAGCTTTCACCATTCCAGTAGCTTTCAAAATCAGTAGAAATAACTACATGTAGCTAGCTAGCTACATGTAAGTAAGTATATATGTAAGTCCAGTTGTGTGTACATGTAGGTTTATTTAGCTGGCGCTAAGAGTCCTAATGTTTCGCACAGTAGTAGTGGAACCACGATCCTCGTTTCGTCGATTGATTATTAGCCTAGCTAGCTAGCTAGACCACTACTCTAGCTAGCTCACCAGGCCTAGGACTGACCGGGAAACTTCCATTACGATATCAGAACTGCTGTTATTTACATTTAGTAATCCAGCATACATTGCCAATTGGAATAAGTGGATCTCGATAGATTCCACAATGTCTGTGTCTACATGTAGAGTTGTAGAGTAGGCACTCGAGTAGAGTACTCGTGAGGACATACGGATACTCGAGCTAGCTGCATCCCTGCCAGCTTTTATTGTGCTAGCCAGCCAGCTTGCTGTCACGAATCAAAGCTAACTACAAGCCATGCCGTGCCAAGGCTGAGAAGCCCAAACGGGAACGATTACTTGAAGGATAGTCGGATGCGGCAGGGTCCACCCTACCCTCGCTCAATTCTAAATAAACCTTTGTGTCAGCTCTGTTTTGTTTCTGTCCCTTACAGTAGCTACTCTACTAGCTATACACCGCGATGAATGGGCCGGGTCATAAAAATCAGCCTGGCCAACGGAGGAATCATATTTTTCGCAAGTGCCGTCTGTCTGTTACTAATTGCTACGCATCTGTGAAGTAAATGACCTCTACATCCGGCGGAAGGGTGCTCCTCGACCCTGCCCAGCATGCAGAATAGTAAGTTGTAGCCCCAGGTGGCCAGCTAGCTATGTGTGGATGATATTTGAATCTCATCGTGAGGTGAGCCACGACCCGGATCCGTGGAAGTGGATTCGCTGTTTCTCCACGATGCTTTAAGGTGCGTCTCCCCTGTTGATCCTGGCTTGACATGACTGTGCCTACTCTAGAGTCTAGAGCCCTAGCACTCTAGAGCACAATTGTCTCCTCTTTCTTCCCGCCCTCCGTCTGTAGAGTTGAGTGGGTACATAATGACCAATGCCAACAACATGCTGTGAGCGAATAACCCCCCAATTCGCCTGTTCCCATTTCCCCTCCATGGATACATCCGCATCCATTCCCCCATCCATCCACGCACGCACGCACGCACGCATCCATCCATCCATCATGATCACCTCGGAAGTTCAGTATCGACGAACTGCAAGGACCCATCTGTAGCACTTCCTAAAAGCCGACGAGTGCCGAAGTTCTTTACGTATAGAGACGTAATACTAACACCGACCTACATGCGTACATATTTTGTGGTTTCTTCCTCGAGGTCTCTCTCCCGGTACCTACCAATCTAGGCAAGTTGTTAGAGAATATCCACTCCAGCAAGAATGGGGAGCTAGGGGAAAGAAAAGAAAAAAGTAGAATCCCAGTTCATCGATTTCGTAAGAAAAACCAGGCGGCGATATTATCCCCTCCCCCGGACAGCTGTGCCCGTGCACAGGCCAGCCAGCCAGCCAGTATTTCTTCCTGCACCCCGGAATTTTTGACCCTGCCGTAGCCGGGCCACCGAATGGCAGTGATGGATCCGGGTGGGTGTGTCGAATACCAGGTACGAGTGGGAGGAAGGAACCGAAGGATAGCATGTTTTCAGTCAGGCAGTTATCGTGACGCATTGTGATTGTGATGATTAGTATGGAGAGGACCTTGGTGGGGAGTATGTAGTTAGTTGAGGGAAAGAGATGTAGACGTGTACAATTGATTGATTGCGTGGATGGATGGATTAAATTAGGAGGAGTATGACTTTGAAATATCCGCTCGAATTGCGCTCTAGAGTACGTAAATATTCCCCACGGCGTCAAATAAGTATCACCTTCATCCGCTGTGACTGAGCATCAATAACAGGACAGAGCGTGCATGAGGGACTATGGATATCTGTAACAGCGTATAAACACTCTCTTAAACTTGACTGCGGATCAATCCAACCAGCGCACATAAACAATGCCTACGTACCAAAGAGCACAATCTGGATCATTGGTTTCTCTTTCAAACACATACAGCAAGCTGTGTCCGTTAATCGATACATGCAGCACAGCACAACTCCCCGAAAGCTATAGGAAAAGCAAAACAAAAATCCACCAGTCCATTAAGCTACCGTAAGCTTAACCCCGCAGAATACAACCAGAAGGGAAGGAAAGAAAGAAAAAAAGGAAAAATCAACAACACTCACTCACACAAATCAAGCTAAGGACAAAAAGTTATTCGATGCTTCACGATAAATAATCTATAAACAGTCGCCTGGTTATAATATAAAAGAACCCAACTTTCTAAGAAAGAAGAGTAGGAATCGAGAAAAGAAGAAAATAGGAAGCTTAAGACAGACAGACACTGCCGAATTCGAACGCACATCCCTGGATGATGTGATCATCTTCCCCTTACCCAAAAAAAATCCAAGCTTTTACCCGAAAGAAAAAACAAATCTGCTCATGGTAAAGATCGGAAGAAAGAAAAAGTAAACAGGAAAAAGAAAAAAGAACCATCTGAGGAAAATTTCGCCATACACCATCCCTTTCACCAATCCAACGCTCCTGCGAGCCTCACATGAGTGTTTGCGCGTCTGAGGCCATTCCCTCGTCAAGTGTCATCATCCACCCATGCTACCAAGAAGCTCTGCCACTAAACCCAAAATGCTCATACCATGCCAAAATAAGAGCACAGTTGACCATCTCCGCGGAAAGGCTCGCGAGATGTTAAGGACACCAGTCTCCGCTCTTTCTTCTCTTCCCTCCTCTCTTGTTTCTCGTTTCACTTTCTTTTTTGATTTTTTAGTTTCTACACACCAGTATAGGCCTAACCGAGGATTGCACCGGAAAAGCCACCCATCTTAGTTACCCACGGAGTGTTGCTCCTAAACAGCGGGGTAGGAAGAACTTAATCATCCCCGTCTCTTCGACTATGCCACCCCGCCGTGGTCGCCAGGAAATCCAGCTCCCCACCTCCACCTCCGACAGCTGATACAACATTATTTCTTGTCATCATGTTATTATGGGGGATCATAAAGAAGTCCATTGCAGAGGAAGTGGTGGATGTGGGCGTGGAAGCGTTGGTTGCCAACGGATCATTGTGCGGGAAAGGATTATCAGTGTGGTGGAATGGAAACCCGTGGAACGCCTTCATGCTCGGTGATTGACTGTTTGTTTGGTCGCGAGTACGCCTGGTTGACGTGCTAGATCCATCCGTCTCTGCGCCCTCATCGTCCATCTCGTCTCCACTGTCCTCGTCGCCAGTTCCCGGGGGGGTATGCCCACGTTCATGAGGTATAACGTTGGAACGCCATTGTTGAGACATGATGATGGATGGATGCTGTTGGATTTCACCTCCAGACATTCCAACACCCATTCCCAAACCGAATCCCTCTCCAGCTCCTACAGTGGATGTGTATCCAGGTGCCACGCTTCCTAGCCCCTTCTTCTTGAACTGCTCTTGTTGGGAGTGCCCGGCGGAGGCATCTAGCACACCAACAGCATATTCCATGAATTCTGCGCCTCGTGATGAAACGCGAAGCGTCCACCTATACTCACTGAGCCGTGCTTTATAGAACTCGGCCTCCTGTGCACTCGGGGAAGTCGCCCAAAGCAACGATCCGAACGTCCCGATCAGTGCAAAGTTAACCTTTGAAGCAAAATACCAGAACGATTGAAGATGTTCGGGTTTGAGACGGTTGACAAAGTCCATGGCGGAGATGAGACGAGTTTTGGCTGCAGAACGGCAAATGTGCAACAGGTATGGGTCGACATTGGTTGGTGGGGTAAGGGAGCGGAGAATTTGACGGTGGAGGGTTATTTCTGTCGCAAAGTACGCAAGATGGAGATAGCCTACAGATTCGTCAGAAACTCGTTTGAAGGAAAGGTATACGTTATTTCACGGCATTGCGAGAACCCCTCCAGGGGTGATGTACATAAGGAAAAGTCGCCCCGGTCCTACAAACTCTAAGTCACGGAAATAAAACAGAGAAACTGATTCTTCATGGCAAAGGTGGCCTTTTGCGTATCGTTTTTCTTTTCGGTTCGGCGTCAAGAGGGAGGTGGGGAGGCTGTGACACCAGGATACAGGCACCCAGTCCTATTCCTCAGTTTCCAGTTACGCTCTCTTGCAGCCAGTTTCTCTGTTTAATTCCATGACCTGGAGTTCTGCAATGTGTTGAGAAGTACGTTTCCGCATCGCCGATTGGACCTTCTCCAGATTACTCATCTACATGAGGAAATCACCCCACACTCAATGCTAGCTTATCCCCGCAATGCCGCGAAATTCGGTATCAAACATGCCTAACAAAAATCCAAGCACTGGGTTCTAACCGTTAGAAGATAATTTTCTCAACCTTGTTGAATCCATCCTAAGACAATCCGGCAGTTTCGTGAACCACTCCTTCAACCGTATCTGAATCGGTTTCGCCCTCTCCAGAACTCTGTTCGTACCCCCGCGTCCACCCAGTCCACTCTGAGCTTCAATCGTGAAAAATGTCTCCAAAACATCTGCCATTATTCCACTTAGCACAATCATCTGTTCGAATAGCATCCGACCTTTCTCCACCTCCGATGATCCCCCTTCGTCGTCAGATTCGTCCTCTGCCCGTTCCGGAAAGTCGTCCGAACTGACGGGGGGTACTGCCCAATTCGCTTTCGTGATATGGGAGGGCCGGCCATGGGTTAGCGCGCCCCATTTGTCTTGCATGAAAAGTCCCCATGCTAGACGCTTTCGGAGTCCGCGCTCCCAACTAGGGATCTTCCACGAGGTGCAATCTAGATGCAAGCCTAGGTCTTGCCCAACTGCCACCAGCTGCGCCGTTAGTGCCCAACTTCCACTTTTGAGATCTGAGTGCTGCTGGAGAAGCAGAAGGCCGGCTTGGACGGTAGATAATTTAGGCCGGTGCATGACGTCAGAGATTGTCTTGCTAGCGAGCTTCTCGAGTGCCTGAGCATCAGGCTTCTTCAGTGCAGAGAGGTCCCTGTCGTATGACCACCAGTTGAGGGCAAGGATGTAAACTGCGGCTAATAACGGCGGTGAGAACTCTCGGTATGATCGGGAATACTTTTCAAGGAATACCCTCTTGTGCAGAATCGGAAATGAGGGGTGCACGATTCTGAAATACAATTTTATGAGCGATAGCCCATGTGGTGCAACGATGCGTTCAATAGCATCCAGGTCCTCAAATGTCTCCACGTGATTCTGGGTCGAGTGGTCAGGAAACACAAGGAATGTGGTTTCTTCGGATACCCGGCGGAAAGATCCCCCCATGGAGGAGAGTGAATACTCGTCCTTGCTGTCGAATGGGCACAAGTCTATCAAGCAAGACTCATATTCGCTCGTGGGGCCTATCAACTGAGTGTGCCGGTTACTCTGGAGACCCAAAGTCTCTTTGAGGAGCGATTGTCCACGTTGGTTGGAGTGGTCATCTACCGAAACATTGCCGCGAGTTTCTTGCGGTGAATCTGGCTCGGTAGACCTGCTTCTAGGGAATGATTCCCAGAGATGAGCTTTGCACCAGAAAATTGGAGAGGGACTAAACCAAAACGAAAAAGAAACATGGGATCTATAATCAAACAAGGGATTCTGAACGATGTATTCCTTTCATTGCTCTTTCCGCGTTCTTATAAAATCTTCCAGTTACAAATAACAAGACAACATACCGCTTCTTATTCACAGATGGCTCTTCCGAGCCTTGAACACTGGAAGATGCCAATCGTCGCTTCCGTGGCTGTGGCGACTGCACGAAGGTACATTCCTGACTATGGAACTGGCAAAGTACACATATCTCTGCGCCCTCGTTCATGACACACCTGCTCTTTCGCCTGCGGCAAGCATCGCAAGGCCGGTCTTTTCGACCCCGACTCGTCCCATTCTCTCCATTGACACTGGATCCAGTGGACTTTCCTGCATTACCGGTTGATTTCTGGGGAGGATTCTGAGCTTGAGAGGCAGCGGATGTCGAGGATGATCCGTTTGTGGATATCGTCGCGTTCGCTTGGGGAACAGCGCTAGAGGAAGAAGTGCCGGAGGTGTTATTGGTGACTGTACTGGGGGCAGCATTAGTAGTAGTTGTTGCTCCAGCAGTTGTAGCGACTGCTGTCGCTCCACTACTACTAATGCTATTACCGCTACTCCCATTTTCGCCCGACTTGTTCAGACTCATGGCCTGTTCTTTTTGCCTTTGGTGGAGGATAACCTATGGAATTGTCTAATTCCGGAATTATTGTTTTCTTGTTTGCTTTCCTTTCTTTTTTTAAACCTGTAATTTCTCTGTGTCCGAGGAGGTGCTATCGGTAGCTAGAAGATGAATAAAAGCACATACAACCCCCGTCCAAATCCAAGAGCCAAAACTTTGTGTGGGACCTTTTATTGCACTGATTGAACGTGAAACGCGCGGGCCGGAAGGATGAAGATGATGGTATCGTGATAACGGCAAACGAGATATGTCAAGAGAGGACAGCACACGCGCTCAAAGACCAAAGAAATCAAGGCAAACAGAATAGCAGTAGTATCAGTAGTAGCAGGCAGTAGTGATAGATAGTAGTAGATAGGTAGTAGTAGTAGCAGTAGTAAGTTATGGAGGGGCGAGAGTGGGGGGGGGGGGGGGGGGTGAGGGTGCGCAAAAGTTGGGAAAAGAAAGATGGAGGAAGGGGAAAAAGATTGGTCGTGTGTTGGGCTTGTAGTCTGTCCTGAGCTTATCGCAGTTGAATGAAACCAGGCAATTGGTAGATTAGATTACGGTAGGGGAATTATGTATGTAGAGCTCTCCGGCTTCCAGGATCCCAGGATTACGGGTCTCTCGGGAGAGGTGAATAGCGAGATCCTAAATGGGGCAAGGGAGAGAGTAAACCGCCCAAAAGGGTGCGATGAGGAAGGCCTACAGATAAGTCTTTCCCTGCCGATGAGGCTAGGGCTGTTGTATGTATGTATGTATGTGTATGGCTGTGTATTGGTTTGATGGGAACGGGTCTGGATACTGAGATAGAGAGGATTCAGGATACAGAAAACACTCAAAAGACAATACAGCTGTGAGTATAAAGTGTTCACGGCTTCCCGAGTGTTTACAAATGGGAAGTTCTATAAAGAGGGGCTTACCTATGTGATTGTGATTATGGAAATGTCCGATTGAGATAAGTCTACACCCAAGTAATCTGTAATACAGTTGTATGGATTGGAGGTAGCGATATTGAGGCTGATTACAGTGAGACGAAGGATATGGTATGGTATGGTATGGTATGGGTATGGTATGGTATGGTATGGTATGGTAGTGGTACAATACGGCTTGTTTCTGTATTACTGAGGTACGAAAGAAGGGGGGTTAGTTTGTAACGTCCGTATTTGGCCGTGATTCACGAGATCAGATGTTGTCAGTGAATGAACAACGACGACGTGACCATGAACTTTGAACCCGAGAACAGAGGGTGCCCCGATTACTACCAAATGACGAAGAGGAGGGGAAGAGAAGAAACCGGGGAAGAGAGAGAGCAACCCCCAAAAGAATAATCACCTTGATAAACAACGTAACGTGTACTTTCCAGGATGGCAAGCAAGCACGCAGATAGACAGCAGGCAGAAGACCGAAAAGCGCAAAGGGTCCAACGAGCAATAGCATAGATGAATTGTAATTCAGACCTAGGAACAGGAGAAAGCGAAACCCACCCCACACCCACGCACGTTGCTGTTTCCTTACTGAACGCCTTGACCCCCCACACAAGGGCGATCTCAATGGTCCGTGGATTAAAGTAAAGAAGGAAGGAAAGAAGTGAGAAAAAGAAAATAAACGAAAAAAAAAGTGAATCAAGAGAACGTGGGGTACGTATTGAAAGAACAAAATAAAAATAGGTAGGTGAGTGTAATTCTTCACATCACCCAAAGGTGGCTGGCAAGTGAAGTGCACAACACTCAGCAGGTATGGTTATCTCGCATTTTCGCGCTGGTGTTTGTTGATAGCGGTTATTTTTCGGGTGTGACAGAGATAAGGGACGGACCAGAAATGGGCTAGTTGGGATCCGAGACATCGCGAGGGTTCAAGTTATCTGTCTATGGGAAAAATTACATAAAGGCGTAGACAAGCCTCTGTCATCTCTGGGTGAGGAATATGGGGACGGGGGTGTGCGGAAGAGGTATTCGCAGCGGAATTACTTTTTGACGATGGGGCGATCGAATCTCCCGGGTTTTGGCTGGGCAAAACAAAGTACTCTACATTCTTTATGTACGTGCATACCGTTACTTAGAGTGGGTTCCTTTTACAGAGTGGGGATAAATATTTAGGCAGGAGAACCTATCATAATGGACGTATTTATGATACCTGCATATAACAGGGAGGGTGAGTGGAATTGGGGTAAGGAATCGACTGGAGGAGGAGGAGAAGGGCGTGGAGGAGGAGGAGGAGCTCGAGGAGAAGAGAAGAGCAGATGCCAGAAGTTGTTTTTTCCCGGTAACTGGCCGGGGTGTTCCCCGTTCTTTTTCGTCTTGGTAAAGATTGTACTCTAGTAGTGGATCAGTGGTACTGACTTCTTGGGGAGTAGGGAAGATTAGGAACGAAGCTCGCTCTAACTGAAGGATAAAAAAATAAAAAAAAAGGTTGTGCGACAGTAGAAATAGAGTCTTTCAGTACACCCAGTTACACCCCAGTTACACCTATATGGCCATACCATATCTTCTCTTTCTGAGTACGTCCCGCGCTCTAGGTATGCATGTACGTCACCGCGCAGTTATCATCGTTTAACCTGCGCATGGCGCGACTGCATCGGTATTCCCCACAATAAATTCAATTGAGAGAATTGAGAGAGACGATACCAGTGAGGTACTCCCGAGTCTATAGATAAACAAGAAATAAATAGAAGAAGCATTTAATGTACTTATTGCTTGAATTTTCATGAATATTCCTCCTACCAGATTGTGCTTCTCCCCTCTTCTTGGACACCTTCAACCTATTTCTCTTACCAATCTCGATACATATTACCCCATGTCCAGTTCTATTCTGTATCTACAAATCTTTGGACGAATATTACTGGTTGTATCACATGCATAACCAGTGGTGTTGATTCAAATGACAAGCGTGATGAAGACTGTCTGCCTGCAGGAGTGCCCGTCACAAACCATTGCTTACTTGCATCCCCATCAAGCAACTCCATTCATCAAAGGATAGATCTAATAAGCATTTCCCTATAGAGCTATAAGTAAAGGCGTCCTCACCTATAAATAAAACAAAAAATTATTAAATATCAGCGCCCAAGAGGACAAGAAGGTATCGAGAGGCCTAAGGGAGTGATAGATATCCCAATGCCAAAATACTTCTGATCTTGGATCAACTGCTCGCTCTCATCAACGGCGATCTCTACCGCTTTCCCAAGGGGCAGATCCTTGTTCAGCCTCGCTCTTGCCCGATAGTAACACGGGGATGTCGACAGGCTTTCCAGCAGTGATGGGTGCATAGAAGAACTACTTTTTGGCTCAAACAGTTGAAATTCTTGCCAAATCTCATGTCATGGTATTCAATATGATACTCGATCATCTGATACCTACCGTATTGTAGGTGTGTAAATCGAAGGAGTCGGCCCGACCCGACTCTCTTTTCGCAGCAAATGGACGTATGTAAGTCAGAAAATATCATGGATCGACAGCCCAGGAAATCATCAAAGCACTTATGGCTCGAGAAGCTATGGTGGGTAGGTGAGTAAACTTCGGCGTTTGCAGCCAATCAATCTATAGAAATTGGGAGATCTACTCCCATAATGGTACTAGCGCCTAGCCCAACGGTGGAATTTTCTCTAATTCCCATACAAAAAAAGTTCCTCTGAAGTTGACACACCCAACCCCTATGCCTTCTCGCGCCATACAAGATTGAAAGATAGCCAAAAGTAAAAAAAAAAACGACGCACGTTCCATGCATCCCCCCACATTTAAGGTTGGTTTGATGCTCTTGGCGAAGCTTAGTAATGTGCAAAGAAGGGGAAAACCTGCCAAGAAATTATCGACTGTACCTGTAGCCTTGTCGACATATATATATATCGTAGCTTTTATTGACGTTCCAGAGTGTTTACCAGCCGGTACTAACAGTATGAGAGGACTCATTTCGCAGGTTCAGCCAGGAAGGAAATAGGGAAAGCTAGGGTCGTTACTTGTTGTGTTCCATGGTATCTGTCATAAATTTATTTGAAACGGGGGGGAGGATATGCTGTGCGCTCCTCCAAAGTCGTTCCAAGAAACCCTAACCCTGCGCTCAGATGATACCCAACAAAAAAGACTGGCAGAAGCAACACGAGCACCTACATAGAGTATGATGTTGATAAAATACTACAATATAATCAGGGGCGGAAATACTAACAACTATTCCCATGCTATAACCGTTAACGATTTACCCGCAACGTGTCCGATTCAAATGACTTTGAAAGATGGCCGAGTCGTCTATTAATAACGAACAAATCCCACACTGTTAGCTAAAAAAAATAGGATTTAGTCAATACATATCCAGAAAATTTATAACTACTAAACGAGGGTGGGGGTGTATTCCAGCGGCCCAATAGCAGCCAATATAAATCTTCTCCTCGTGAAGAAGCCATCAGCCTTTCCGGCTATTGCCGGCCTGTAACATTCGCGGACTCCGCTCTGTATCGGTGCATAGACTCACAGTGTCAGTGCGCTGAGATTATGTTTCCAGAGAATTGGCAAGATCTCTGGCGAAATTCCTACGGTTGAGTTGTTTGGTGAAGGCTGAATGATGAACTCTAGAGGCAGATTCAATATCTTTGACTTGGTTAGATAACTACATCGAAACAACTCAACATGGAGTGTGTAGAGCCCGCACTTGTTTTAAGAACATATCTCGTCGCGACTTTCGCTTTCCATCCGCTTCTATTCTCTTCTCCCAGCACCTCATTCCTTCCATTGTTTGGCGAATTACCATACCTATAAATGAATAAGCCCAAGGAAACATTGTAGGCGATTTCTGGAAGAGAACAATCGCCTTAATTCTACCCTTTCAATCAATGAAAATTGCGGAGGATCTGTGTCCAGAGACGAAGATCCTTGATAAGTTTTCACTCAATCGATATTCCCCATATTATAAAGGCCAGGCCGTCGTTTTCCACGAAGTATGTTTTGCAAATATCGTAACTCGCTTGCGGGAGGCTTGGGGGGGCTTGAAGGAGATAGAGGTTTATTTAAATGGAGGTCTAATAAATCTTGTGTCGAAAACAGCCTGCCCGCTCACACAGGGATGATGGCTTTTATCGTCAGTAGATGATATATATATGGTGACGTACCGGTGTGGATTTCGAGGAAACCTATCATTACCCGACAAGCCCAAATAATTCCAAGGAAACTTGCATAGGGTCACGTCATGTTCTCATGATCTAGTTTGCATTCCATCAGCAAACTCCAATTATATAAGGATAATTTCCCGTACTTGAGTGTTTTGGCTATCCTCACCCGCCAAGCCAAGCTCTTGATTCGTCAGGGATAAAATCGATCAATCGCCTGAGAGATACTGTATATATGCATCTATCAACAACATAAGCGACACTTCATAGTCACCAGCGGATTGAGCGCACACCTTGAGATTCCCCAACCACCGGAATTAGAAACACATGAACCCATATTCTTTTTTTCTTATCCTTTTGCCCGCTACTACCTTCCAAAGAAGCTCCAAAGCTTCAGATCGCTCTGCCGAGCCATGAAGTAAAAGCTGAACACCAGATTGCCGCATCCACTAGGTTTGTATAAGGCTGCATCTTCTCTTAAGGAAGTTGAAGTCCATGGTAGCACCCCAAGACACAATATCGGTACCTAGCTTAGGATTGACGAAACAATGTTAAAGCTATGATTGTAGTCAATATTTCTCAAACAAAACATATTGAGTGATTCACTCTTTCTAGAGTACTAGCTGGTGTTCCGCACAGGAGCCCTGTGGTGGCTGTAATGTCGAGACATAATAAGACAGCAGACTAACATTGGCCTGAGAAATCATGTAGATTGTGATCTTCACTACGGCCCGATAAAGTTGTTCGGTGTCTACATGTATGGGTACCTACTTACATGTGATGTGGTTAATGTAACTGGAGGATGATGACATCGATGAGGCATTGTGGGGAAGAAGAAGCTTTTCGCTTATGTAGCTTATCGATAACTGTCTAGTCAGTGTAACTTCCTAGGCTGATCAGTCACATCAAGCTCTTGCCCCACCGTCCCCAACCCTCCCCAACAAAAAAAAAATATCTCTACAATGTTTGGCTGTCCTAGGCCTGCATACATAACATCAATCGATTCCTTGGTCTGGGTAACTAACATTTAGACGCTACGTACGAGAGGTCTCTATTCGCTCTCCGACCCGGTCCAGCTATGAAACTCAACCCATACCAGAAACTAACGAAATACCTTATAGCTTAGGTGATCTAGTACATAACGTCACGAAAATCATAATGCTTTCAAAGTAGGCCAATGAAAGTATGAGTTATTACATTGGTTTAAGAACGTTGGGACTGTTCGGAGCGTTTTCGGCTCAAACCCCTCTTTAGCTCAATTGCCGTACGTATATACCGAGCTTCTTCATGTCCTCCAAATTATATCGCTCTAGGTTCTATTTCTGACCAAGAGAGAAGCTCAATGTGTGCGTATATACGCTGTGACTTATTTCAAAATCGCACTTCCTACTAGTCATTATCACCATGTCAAGCATCGCAGACTTCACGGTACCAGCAAAACCAAGTGAATACTCGTTCCCCGCGTCATCGACTGCGCTCATAATGATCGATTTGCACGGAAGTCGGAACCCCCTGTTTTTAGATGATCTCGGTTCTCTTCATCCAGGCATAAAACCCAACATCTCCAAATATACTATTCTTCTCAAAACCTTTCGGGAGCAGAATATTCCTGTTTTCCACATACGAGAGTCCCATAGCCGAGTTATATCAGGAAATACGCCATCAAAGCTCCCCGAGCAGTCAGAGATCCAGAACCCGGAGCAGCATGAAAATGTCAGAGAGAATACACTCGAGGGTGGGCAAGCGTTAAGTGGAAAGAGAAATGAGTATCACCTGATCGATAAATGTGCGCTAAAACCGTGGGAAATGGTTTTGGATATGCCTGGTAAGGAGGCATTGTGGAGTGCAGCACTGCATGAACAGTTGATTATATGGGGGATTACCCATCTCATAATTGGGGGTATTACCACGCAAGGTTGTGCTGTGGTCACTTCCAGAGAAGTTAATGATCGAGGGTTTGAGTGCTGTGAGTTGGGATCTCCGATTATTTTGCATGAAAAGGTTTTATTTGCAAAGGATATATTCTAAAAGAACGGCTTACTTCTTTTTAGGTGTTATAGTTGATTCCATAGCGGATTACAACGAGGCACCTCGAACTTCCTCCTTAGAACATTGGTCTCGGGGACTGGTTGGCTCTGTTGCTAATCTCGAAGGTTTCGTTTCACAAGCCCATGTGCCTGTCCCGGTCAATAAGCATGTTTCTACAACTAGTGGTTGGAGTGGCTCCTTGGACTTGGTCTCACTGCGCCAAGCTTATAAATCTGGTGTTTCCCCTGTCACGGTGATAATAGATGTGTATAAAAGGATCGAAACACATCTCTCGAAAACATCCTCCACATTCATTGCAACCGTACCCCAAGCCGCCACTATCTCTACCGCACAAGATCTCCTCAACAAATACCCCGATCATGCATCTCGACCGCCTCTGTTTGGCGTTCCATTTTCTCTGAAGGATAACATCGATGTTGCGGGAATGGCCACAACTATAGGCTGTCCCCCGCTCGCCCATATACCCAGAATTTCTGCAAAGATATACACAAAGTTAATCTCTCTTGGAGCAATATTCATCGGGAAAACGAATATGGATCAACTCGCCACCGGAATGACAGGATGCCGCTCTCCATACGGCATTCCCGCTTCCGTTTTCAATCCACTATACATCGCCGGTGGATCATCCTCTGGCGCCGCAGTTTCGGTCGGTGAAGAACTGGTCTCTTTCGCTATTGGAACCGATACTGCGGGCTCTGGCCGCGTGCCCGCGGGCTTCAACGGCGTCGTTGGATGGAAGCCGACGAAAGGGACCGTCTCGTTATCTGGGGTTTCCAAAGCATGCGAGTCCCTGGACTGTATAGCGTTTATGACCGCCCGACGTGGTGGTGTCAGTGATGCCAGGGAAATATGGAGATACGTCCGGGGATATGACCCGGAGGACGTTTACTCTAAGCCCCCGAATACTTGTTTGCCACTGAGGTATCTTAGCGCGACCAGACCATCTGCGAGAAAGTTTCAGTTTGCAATACCGCCACAAAGCGTTATTGCCAAGTGTGCACCGGTCTTCTGTCAATTATTTTATGAATCTGTCGCAAAACTACAGGCAGCGGGGGGTGAGCTCATGGAGGTTGACTGGACGCCATTTGAGGAGGCGGGAAGGTTGCTGTATGAGGGTACATTGGTGAACGAAAGGCTCGCTGCGATGCCCTTCTCGGGAAAGGATTGGTACGAAACGAATAAGGACAACCTTCATCCAGTTACTAGAGAAGTTTTCGGGGGGGTGTTGAAGAGGGTAAATACCACAGAAGACGTATTTAGGGATTTAAAAAAAATAAAAATGCACGCCTCCTCCCTAAAACCCGATCTTATAGCGTCAGCACACTACTAATATGAGTCTTATAGCCTCACACGGACTGTCCACGACACAATTTTCAACCCTTTCCACGCAACCGGTATCGACATCCTTATAGTGCCGACAACACCTAACCACCCCACCATTGAAGAAGTCCTAAAGGACCCAATCTCGCTCAATTCGGACCTGGGGACTTTTGCGCATTTTGGAAATGTGCTTGATCTTTGCGCGGTTGCTATGCCGGCGGGAACGTACGAGTTGGATGACGGGAGACAGATGCCATTCTCGGTAACCTTGTTGGCGGGGTCGGGAGATGATGCGAGACTGTTGGAGTTGGCTGCTGGCTTTGAAAAGTCGGTTGATGTTGCGGCTGGGGCTTTGGAATGAGAGATGTTTTGTCAAATAGTAATTTGACCCTAGAACTTCTACGTCGTTCTAGCGGAATATCTAGGGTATCGCTGGATATTAGTACCATTTTCCCGGTTACCCAGGCGCGACTCACACCTGTATTCGCGTCCTTCACTTGATCTAGTATACTCCCACAACAGAAAAGGCCAATTAATGAATTAAAATAAAAAAAAAGAAAACCCCGAAAAGGCCCAGAAGTGAGTGATCTCTTGTGATTCAACTTTAACACTAGTACTACATACAATGCACTTACCAGTTAATGTGTGCTTCACTTTGCAGAAACATCAATGTTTGGGGAAGATTAGCGGAATAGGTGTTAAGACACGGTACAAAGGCTACGTAGTTATAACCGGTTAAGCATATGTGTTGCTTCTGAGAAATGAGATCTTATAAAGTTAAGCTGCGGCGACTCAATCCAAGCTTCATCATCATCACTCTCATCTTCCTTCATTCGAGCATTAGGAGCGCTAGAGCCCCCCAGACCTCGCCCAGATAGCGAGACCTCGATCAGCAACAGCCTGAAATAGTGCATCCCTGCGCCTCGGGACGTTATCGAGTGATAGCTCATGACACTGCGTCACAGAAGATCACTCGACGCCGCCCCATATCGTCATACACGTGGTACCGAAGCACCCCACCCACTCCCGCCAATATATTTTCACAGGTTTTCGTATTTTATTGGTTATTTTCTCTCTCCCAGCTCTCTGTCGGAGTGAGGTAGTTTGTAAACAAAACAGATTCACTGTGCACACAAGAATCGAGTAGTAATTTTGCAAAGCTAGATCGATCTAATCCTATTGTACAACCCAGTCCCCCACCAAACCCAGTAACTAACCCAATCAATTACCAGATATATAACCAAGTCTCCACCAACGCAGTACCCACACACTACACACACCCCGTCCCATTCGGCGGCGACCCCCTCTCCCCTCTCACCACCACGGCGCCCGGGTTCGGAAAGTCCACCGGCACGCCCTCCTTCACCGTACACGCATTCGTGCCGATCTGGGCCACGAAGATGCGCGGGTTGTCCACCATGCTCGCGAACCCGCTGCCGCCGCCAGTGATGGTCACGACCGCGCAGTTCATATACATCTCGCGGTTGCCGATCTTGTTGAACCACGTCCAGGCGAAGAGCGCGGCGCCAGAGGGTGCCGAGGGCGGGATGGCGAAGTTGAAGGGCGTGTTCTCGGCGGGGCAGGAACCTGGGAGGGGGTTGTTAGTACGGCAGAGTGGGACGGGGGACGGGAAAGGCGGGATGGGGGTTGGGGGAGGTACCGATCCAGGATTTGATTACGCGGAAGGTCCCCCCCCGTCGTATGACAGCGACACCTGGCAGCTGCCACCACCGTGGACCGCGGCACCTTCAGTCCTACATACCCAACTATCAATACCATAAAAATAAAATAAAAAAACACCCCCCAAATTCACACGAAGAAGCCTTACCTAAAGCTCTGCATACTCCCCGCGGGCCAGGTAGCCACGCTCCTCCCGGCGCCGCGCGCAAAGTCCTTGTGGTACTCTTTGCACGGGAATTGCGCGCCCTTGATAGGGAAGTTGAGGTCGTAGTCGGGCGAGGTTACGTATTGGTTCTTTGCGTAGCCGAGCGACGGCGGGGAGGACATGAGTACGTGGGCGGTGGTGAGGAAGGGGAAGAGGAAGAGGAGGCCTAGGTAGTTCATTTTGGCTGTGGTGGGGGAGTAGATGTAGGATTATGAACGTCAGATTGGTAGACTGGCTGGACTGAAGAAAGAAAGGAAGGAAGGAAGTAGGAAATAAAGGAAGGAGAAAAGAGCCTGGCTGGCTAACGAACTGGTGGCTGGATCAGAGATCTTTGAGAAACAAAGCTCCCAAACAAGTTCTACCACAACACTTATATACTCTACCATTTCCCCAATCAAGCCTGTTCCAGAAGCGCCCCTCTCAAAAACCACACATACCACCCTTCCACCACCTGCTAGTATCTCCAAGAGCAGGGGAAAGAGGGACTCTAGATTTCTACGGAAACAATTAACGGCGGTCCCCTTCTAGATCTACCGGCCATATATCCTGCGCGATGGATGAACACGGTCCACGTACCACATCTCCAACCCAACCCCCTCCACCAACCCCTCTGGGCCTCTTTCAACATTCCATTCGACACCCCCAATGCGGAGAGGCTGGTTCGTGGAAGCAGCTAGTGTCTAACATTCCAACCATCCACCCCCCACCCCCCACCCCTCTCCCCCCTCGTGTGGTAATGACTAAGCTATTGGGAGAACAAAAAACGGGAATATCGATCATTGACAGTGCGGCGCCAAGACAACCAACTGGAAAGAAACCACATCTGTACATGCGATTGAGCAACTGGCAGAAGGTTCTGGGTATAGTAACATCAACTCTGCATAATCTAGGGCGATTGAGGTTATTTATGCGTTGTTGTACTTACACTGGTCGAATTTGATAAGGTGAGGGTTAGGGTTTTTTGTAAATCAATTGAATAAGGATTCCCGCAGGTCAATTGGTTGGGTATCTATCTGAATCTTGATCTATAAACCCATCACAATGCGGAACTTATACTTATGGTCATAGGCCACGGATTCATGATCAATGGAGGCGCGTCTCTTCTACTCTCGGTGCCTGAATATTACCACCGGAGGGTGCATCACCAGGCGGAGCTACATATATATGTATTACGATTCAAGTTACGCCTTATCTATATCCATCTACTACCGGAAAAGCACGAGCTAACGAACTACAAAGTATCTATCTGAAAGGGGAAAGAAAAAACGAAAAAGAAGAAAAACACACCATCACCGGCCTCCCCTACTTCATCTTCCTCTTCATCAATACCGCCAACGGCACATCCTCATCATCCCCCTCCGCCTCCACCTCAACCCCATAATCCGCCAACGACTCCCCCTCTCCATTCCGCCACTCCCACCCCTTCTCCGCAATCCTCGGATACCTCAACTCCTCCTGCCTCGCCCCCGTCTCCCCACGCGCCCTGCGCCGGTCCAAGTCCTCCCTCTGCCGCCGCCGCACCCCCTCCACCCACTCGTCGCCCTCCCCCTCCGCCACCGTCGTCTCCACCGCCTTCTCAAACCCGGCCGCAGAAAGCTTATCCGGGTCCACGGGCGGCCACACCACACTCAGGTCCTCATACCCATTCACCTCCCACTCCAAGCCTCCCTGCATCACCACATCGCCGCTCCCACGGATCGTCTCGCCGACGGAGCGCGTGCGGCTGAGTGGCCAGGCCCACGACAGGATGTTCCCTGTGCCGCCGAAGGCGCTGCAAAGGTTGTCCCAGAAGCCGATGTCGTAGGGGAATTCCTGGCGGGGCACCTTTTTGCGTGCCACGAGCGCGTCGTGGCGGTCTTGCTCCCAGGTCTCGATGGTGGTGTAGCCGTTGGTGACGGACCAGAAGGTGCGTAGGGAGAGGATGGAGAGGGCAAAGGTTGTGAAGATGGTGATGAGGGTGAGGGCTGTGAGGAGGAGGAGCTGTGGGAGCGTGTGTGGGCTTGAGTACTGTGGGGTGTTAGTGGCGCCTAGAGTGGAGGGGGGAATGGGGGGGAGAGGGGGGAATGGGGGGAGAGGGGGGAATGGGGGGGAGAGGGGGGAATGGGGGGGAGAGGGGGGAGGGGGGGGAGGGGGGGGGGGGGGACATACGGCGGGCGTGTTCCGCGCCTCCCAGACGACTAAGCATCGCGAGAAGAGATGCGTCAGTAGATACAGCGATGTAAACGCACTATAAGCCAAAAAGCGCAAGAAATGCGGTAGGTTCCGGTATCCGACACAGTTGTTCGTCCACGGGCAATGATGGTCCATCCTAAGCACACACCTACACCACACACGCACCCCCAATCAGCACCCCACTCCCCACAGAAGACCCAGAGACCAAACCTACACATTACACGTCCGACAATGATGCGCCCTCACAGGCCTATACCCCATACACTTGCGACACCACTTCCCCGTCCCCACCACCAGCCGTCTCTCCTCCGCCCTTCCCCGTCCCTCCTCGGCATCCTCACCGTCGTGTACAGGCGGCGCCCAGTCCTTTGGAGGCGAGCCAGGGTGCGTGGTGATGGAGCGGTAGTAGCTGATCCAGACGCAGGCGACGAGCGTGTTGAAGAAGATGCACTGCGCGCGCGAGAGGTGTGGGGAGAGCAGGAGGAGCTGCGACGCGTAGGCGAGCGTGGCGATGAGGAGGGTGGAGGATGCGACGGCAAGGCGCGAGAAGCGCGGGTCGATCATTTTGGGGGGTTTTGTTGTGGGGTGGTGCGATGAAGGTGGTGGGTGTGGTTTGAGAGTGTAGGAACTGGAGCTCGTGAGGTGTGGTGTGCCAGGGGTGGGCTTGGCGCATGGGGTGTCACTCGGGGAATGATTGGGATGCGTGTTTTTGCGTTGGCAACGGGTTTGGGTGGGACAGGGCGGGGTGGGAGGGGGTGGGTATGGCGCTGCACTATCCCGTGTTGATGGGGGGGGAAATAACTGACCAGCTAAGTTTATGCTTTTAGTCCAAGTATCGGCGAAAGCACACCTATAGACCACACCACGATGTAGCAGAGATGTAGGTGCCAACAGGAACTTACTACTACCTGAACCTGCGTGGCAGTTATCAGGGGCTGTAGGTTGGGTCCATATACGTCTAATACAGAAGTTTAGATGGCCTGGTCATAGAGATGTGTTCTGGCGTCGCTATATAGCACAGATGCACGTCCCTACAGGTACTCAGAGAAAGCCACAACTAGATCATTGACCTTGGAAAAAACATACCACCTCCGGAGACGAAGGGCTCAAATGAACTGGACTCCAAGGATACCCGGATCATCTTCATCCCTGTTGCTAGAATTAAAGGCTTTCAATGCTGTCTCTGTAGCCATAGAACAGTGCGCGCTTCAGGTTCAAACCCTCATAGGTTTTTATAGGTTCCCGGACTCTATTCCAGGGCGCCGTACCGCCGGTTTCAAATACTATCCCATGGAGGCATCAACGGCAAGACAAAGCGCTTAAAGAATGAGGAGAGAATTTCAGTAGTAAATAAGTGGGATGTGGGCTCAAAAACAAACACAGCGATCGACGGTCAGGACACTAACTTAAATTCCTAACGGAGGTTTTGGCCAGTCTCTGGTCTCGACGGTTCTAAACAGAGCAGAACAGAATAAGAATAAGAATAGGACGGGTGACTGGTGGAGTGTTATACTTATGGATATACGATATACAATAGAAGCTAAAGATACTCTAATACTCTGACAACAAAATACATGGATTCTACTACTGGTTTGATTGTGGCCTTAAACTCTCCTCCACCCCAGGAGGCTAGACAAGAGCCATGAATGTGCTTTGACTCGGTGACTTAAATACTTTATTAGTTTTTAAGAATCTCTATGATCACAGTCATCCGGGATTCCTGAGCTGAGAATGTGGGATTCAACTGATTGGTTGGATGTATTCATGCGCACCCAGGGCTCTATTCGGATAGGTGCCGGCCTGTATATCTGTATATTGAGTCGTGATATGACTTACTTAATGTAGTTTTATATAGATCTCGTATCAGGTCACAGTACCGCCAAATGCAGCCAGAGACCATCTAAATCACAACGAGATCAATAGCCGCGGTTCAATAAACCCCAATTCTGCAATTAATTCCGGCCTTTCACGGCGCACTGCCAGCATTCGAATGACTCCACAATATGTATAATCTGTAGAGTCATTCGCATCACTACTAATCACCCGTTTAGAAGCACTCCCACTTCTTACCCAGCATCCCCGTCAGACTGCCAAGACATATGCGACGGGCATCCTTATTACTCACGTCCCGTCGCGTCTCGACACTTTACGCGTCTGCTAGAATTCTCGAGACATTCACAACCTACCTAGCTACACTACCAGCCCAACGTGCAACTATCAACCAATTAATCACGAACTACTCTATCAAAGCCAGCAACAAGCAATTAAAAATGGTCACCGAATTCCAGGAAGCACGTCTACCCCCGCAACTCTACTTCACTAGAACCCCCCAGCTAACAAACCCTAGAAAGTCTACACCCTCCTAAAACAGGTACACCCCCCACCCCCATTACACTTCCGGAGATCTAGACATCCCCACCTAACCACCAACACCACAGATCCCACCCGGGAAAGTAAGCACCTACAAAGCGCTCTCCACCGCGCTGTCCTCCTCCCCGCGGGCTGTCGGCGGTGCTTGCCGTACGTTCATCCCCCCCCCCCCTCTCTCTTCTCTGCGTGATTCTAACGGACGTAGGGAATAATCCATATGCGCCACAAGTGCCGTGTCATCGCATCATTGCCTCCACCGGAGTATATACCGCCTCTCTCCTCCTACCTAGTCTTTGATTATTTGCTGACAGACTGGCGACGGCACGTAGTACATCGGCGGGTTCATGGGCGACTGGGGCCGCGACTCACCGGGCGAGGGGCAGTGCGCGAAGAAGCTGGAGCTGCTGAAGGGGGAGGGGGTGGAGTTTGATGGGAGGGGGATGTTGGTGGATAAGGGGCGGCTGTGGGATGGGTTTATGGTTTAGGGTAGGGTATGGAGGTTGTGTAAGGTAGTGGTGTGGCTGCTGTGGGTTAAGGTTATACACTTTTTTGAAGTCGAGATGGGGGTGGTGTAGAGCGTTAGAAATGGATTGGATGTGTGGATGCTTATAGTGAGTGGGGGAGCTATTGTGTGTCTGCTGCCACCATGCTCACTTCAAGGGCGCGGTCTAACCAATTGACGTTTGAGGTTTCGTATTGGTGCATGTGTCCGTGGTGCTCTAGATTATACAGCTGCATTTAATCTGTATTCCCATAAATGAGTCAGACCTAAGAATTATCATGTCCACGAGCGCTCCGATTTTCCCCCTCATGATATCGATTCCGAAGCTAGACGGGTTTTGTGGTGTGTAGATCCAGAGGTCAATGATAGGCTGGCCAATATATGGACGGCCTATCTGGCTGCGGACCAAGACTTAGTGGACTGGGCTGGTATAGGGCTTTAGTAGTCTGTACTACTGCCCTGTGCTTGGCTGTTTTTGGCCCCGTAGAGATTGAAAATTGAAAATATATATATATATATATATATATATATATGGGCCTCGATCGTCTATCCACCTTCGATTCCGGTATGCACCTAAAGCCGGCAAGGAACTCAGGTCGATCCGACGAAACCCTTATCCAAGTAATTATCGCCTTTCCAAACTGCCCTACTATATCTATGCATAGGAAGGCGTATTAAAAGTTATATATCAAATGCTATATAGAGCCGGAGGTTACGTATACACGTGTGGTTCCAATCAGAAATACATTTGTACTCGAGGCACACAGGTACAACCAGCTTTACGCTAGGGGTCAATGATCAAACCACACTTTATTCACACCCCCCCCCCCACCAACGCTAGTATTACCTCTCCCGCTTCAAGATACAGGAAGACCGAAATAATTTACTCTATGGCCTCCGCGCACACACTTTGCCTCTGATCCGGAGGTGGACACATGGCCCTAGTTAGCATCGTATCCTTCTGGCCCGGACGTACCTGTATGCCGGTGGTGCGGGCTTTCGTGCATCTATTAGCGCTAGCATTTGGGTAGTATATTGAGAAGGGTATGTATGAAAGGGGGATTATGTAGTGGATTGCTACACTGTGATTATAATAGCTTCATTTCCTATCTCTTCAGTTCTCACGTACAAAAATTAATAACTTTTCAATTTAAAGTAGTCAACATCCCGCAGCCGCCATATAACTACTACCTTCGCTAAAGTCTAGGGAACAATAATGGGTAAGGATATATGTAGACACTCTCTCCCCTGTCTTTCTCATTATACCCATTGGCCTAATAAGACATCGCCCCCCCGTAATAACTACAATTTAACCCCACACGCACCACCACCGAGTGACACCCCATGAAGGCAATCCCAGTAGTCTATACAATAATTTTCAAAACTCTACTATACATAAAAGACGTCTTTCCTCCCGACTTCTTCGCTCTATTACTTACTTCTTACCCAAGCACCTCTCCCCACTACTTTCTTCCCGCAGCCCAGTAATCGTTAAAAACAGATAGTATAAAATTGCGGAAAAGAGAAGAAAAAAGAGAGGGTCATAAAAAAAAGGGGGGTTACCAATAAAATACAAAAAAAAAAAGGTATATTGAGTACAAAAAAGATACTTACCGCACTCAAGACAAAACCCCCTTTTTCAGGTATATAGTCATATTAAAAGCATGCCTCCACGGACAACCTAACAGCTAGCCATCGTAAAAAATATTCCTGTCCCGAACAATTCTGTCTAAATGACTACCTCTAATGAGAATGTCCGTGGCCATGTCCCGAATCAGCAGTCTCTTGTCCCACTGGTCCACAGCATTTCACAGTCGCGCACCCATCTCCACAGTCCAACAGGCATGCCGAATCACTTCCTGTTACGCTTCCCGCACGGCTGCCGTCAGCCGTGGCACCATATCCCGTGACTTGCTCGCCACCAGGGCTCATGTCAGCGGCGATGACGTCGCCGCCGACCGGCTTAGTGTACTCTGGCTGGATTGTGGATGAGTGGATACCATAAGCGTGAAGGCAGGTTCTGATTGAGCGTGCGAGTTGCATGTAACGGCCACCCTGGTCAGGGTCGAAGGCGATCTGAATGTGGAGTGAGGCGATCATCTTTACGTCCGAGAGCTGCCAGATGTGGAGTTCATGGACAGACTCAACGCCAGGGATGTCCGCGATGTCTTCCTTGACCTCCTCGAGCGAGATTCCGGTTGGGACGGCTTGGAGTAGAATCTTGGAGGCGGATTTAACAAGCGGCAGGGCGGACGAGAAAATGATTACCGTAATGACGAGGGAGATGGAGGGATCTAGGTAGTTCTTCCATGTGTACTCATCCGGGATGTACATCAGGCAGAGAGCAACAACCATAACACCGACATTTCCGAGGGCATCGCCGAGAACGTGCAGGAAAACACCGCGCATGTTGAGGTTTGCATGGGAATGACCGGAGGTGCCTTCGGGCTTAGGCTTGGTGTGGTTATGGCCGGTGTGGGTGACGGAGTATGCGCGCCTACGAGGAGAGGAGGAGGAATCACCATTTTTAGATACGAGTGGGGTGCTTTCATCACCACCTTCTTCGTCGTCGGAAGTGCCGGAGGTTGCTTCAGTGTCGCTGACAGCGGCGGCGATGACCTCTTGTCGGTTACGGGCGGGGTGGACGTGAATGTGTGTTACCGGCGATGCGAAACGTGCCTGCCTACTACTATTTCTCTTGTGTTTCTGAGTAGACCTGGAGACGGGGTTCGCATCGGACGCGACACGAGCTACAACATTGGCGGGGAGAATTTCTTCGATGTCGCCACTATCATCTTCGGCGGGGTTGTGGATGTGACCGGGTAGACCGTGGGTGTGTTTATGGTGCTCATGGCCATCAATTCCAGCTTCAATATCATGGCTGTGAGAATGGCCGTGGCTATCACCACCTCCATGGGAGTGACCATGGTCATGGAACAGGAATAATCCAAGAATATTTGATGCCAACCCAGCACTCCCGACAGCGAGTACGAGAATGGGCTGACCAACCTCTTGCGGCTCGAAAAATCGCTGGATAGCTTCAAGGAAGATCGATAAACACAGAGCGAGGAGGAAAACGCCATTGACCAAGGCGCCGAGGACTTCCGCACGTTGCCACTATAGGAGCAAAAATGATCAGCCTGAATACCGAGCGCTAACAACAGAAAAATACTGCACCCCTCCAAGCAGTAGTAGAACAACCAGGAACAAACCCCATATGTATAGCTAGAAGTAGACTTCTGTTTTGCAAGCTTGATAGCCCAGAGTGCGACAAGTAATGAAAAAACATCATTCAGCTACATAGGTACTACAGTCAGCCCACTATCAAGAGAGCAACGACCCATGGATCAACCCTACCATATGGAACGAATCCGCCACCAGAGCCAGTGAATGCACGGAATAACCAACGATGATCTCGAGCAGAAAAAACAGTGAATCAATCACTAACAAAGTGATGATCCGCGCAGAGCGTGAGAAACCCATAGTTCTGGGTTAAAGGGAGGGGGGTTCCTCCTGTCTATCGATACGAAAACTTAGGGTGCAGCCGTGAGGAGGCAGTTTTATGTATGCAAGCGGCGACAAAGCAGACAAACACAGCAAAGAAGAAAGAAATACCGGCTAGATGCGCATACAATGGAGTTGAACCGTCGGGATGAAGCAGAGGCGAAGAGTTTGCAGGCTTGAGGTGATGGTGTTGAATATGACGAAATGGCAATAGCAAGTTAGACGTATGCAGGGTTAGGTGTGAGTTAAGGGGTGTGTGGGTTAGGGTTCCATAGAGATAGGGTCCAGACCACGAAAGAAATTGCGAGGTAAAGGAACAAAGAGAGAGAGAGAGAGAGAGAGAGAGAGAGAGAGGAGATTGGAACTAAAGATATTCAAGATAAGAATACGGGGAAAGGGATAAAAACAATCGGTAATTGTCGTGTTACTCCCAACAGCACTTGCCTCCTCTACCGAGTAGATAATGGCTGAAAGCTGCAGATTAGATGGTGACACATAACTAACATTGCGAGTTTCGCCTCACTACAAAACTCGGGTGTTTCGTTTACTCGCCCCTCGGAACGCTTCCACTTACTTTGTTTTGTCCTTGCCCTCACGCGTGAGAGGGAAACCCAAAACTCAAAAAATACACAGAAGCCCTATTCTCATACATACATTGTTTAGAATCTAGATGCCTCACACATGAGGCGCTTATGCATTTGATGTTGTGCAGCCTGTCAGTATCCGAATATCGCGTTCCTCACTGGTCGAGGTACAGAACTAAGCTTCATCCCAAGACATATTACCCCGGCTAATGCTAACAAAAGGTGTTGTCAATGATCAAAAAATGAAATCTGACACCGCCCATACTGTTTCGTCTTTGTCGTATTTAGAACTCTAATTGTAAATGGATCTGCCTTTCTTACCGTGCTAATTGAAACCTTAATCCACAACCTCAATATTCCGGCGTGACCATATGTAAGCATCCAGATACATCATCGGATGCATGTAAAACGCATATAATATCGAAATATTTCAATTATATGTGTTATTGCTAATAGAGTATGCGCCTGAGAGTTTTAGCTATATAATTTGGACAGAAACTCCTGCACCTCCTATTGGTTGCAACGTGCATGAGTTTCTTATATATGGTGTTTCTTTGAGACTGCACTTAACCCTGAGAATTCCGGTACAACGCCAATGTAGGTACGCAGGTAAGTGTTAAAATAAGTCCACGATTCTGTGCGTGTTGCAAGGCCAATTCAGTAACTACTTCAAGTATACGTGCTATTACATGATTTGGACAAGTAACGGTTGAATTTTTTTAATATTATGCTGGGCTTGATATTTTGAATTAATGCAAAACCCTTTTCCCTAGACCTGAATTGTTCAGCTGATCAGAATTAAGAAGAAGTAACATTATTAGAGGCATGTAGATATCCTCGACGCATGTTCTCATGCAATGTAAGTAAGCTTGGGATCCTACATAGCCAAAGGACTTCAGCAACCATCAATCACAGGCAGTGACCACCCGGTAAACCCAATCCGCTTACGGTTTGTGCGAATGAGGTTTTTCTTCTGGGGCTTAAGGTTTAGCGAATGGGTTGATCATCAAGCATCACTCGGATTACCCATACTTAGTAAACCCAGATCATAAACCTACCTCCGACCATATGCACGTAGGCGTAGGCGGTTTACGGTACTAGAAGCTCGGGGAAAATCCGAGTGACACACTACGGTTTATCGAGAACTTTAATAGCGTCTAGCCTTTTCTCTCAGCTCTGTCTACGCCACCGGTTTATCGATCACCGATAGTCCCCAGCGACAAACGCCGAGTTGCCCCTAGCACTAGAAAGGCGGGGATTGTATTAGTGCCAGAATTCAAAGGCCCGCACCAAGCCACCAAGAGATGCCGCTTTCTCTACCGGATCAACATCGGGCCGCTAGAACGCTATCCTTAGCGCACATTCGACATCAACCACTAGCGAACTCCGACCTCGCCTTTCCCCTAAACGAATCCGCGAAGGAAAAGAAAGCTCCCCGAGAGAAAAGAAAAAACTTAACTAAGACTTTGTAGCAGCACGAAAGACGTCATGATAATATTACGTGAGATATTTTCAGGGTGTAATTGGACCCTGCTTGACTAGATTAGATAATAATGACCTAGTTATTTAGGGATCAAGGAAGTCCTGAAGAGGTGAGGGATCTGCAGTGCGGGTGATGTGTCAGCATGTGAATTAGCAGTGTGAATTCGCAGAACCGGTATTGGATGTGCGGATTCAATGTTGAGATATTCACAGGCAAGGATATATGAATGAGGATAATACGAGTAGATCTAGAAACAGAGCAAGTTGACTATGGGCCACTCACATGTATCTTGCGGGCATACATGTGTATTCCGACGCTTCAACTCCGTAGACAACTTAAGGCATCTTGGTCGGCCCCGAAAAAGCCGCCGACGAGCACAAAGAAATAAAGATCCTCGTTGAAGATGCCCTGATACTTACCAAGTTGGTTGAATGGAACCGTAGATCTATCTGCCATAGTGCGGCAGAGGTGGGGTTTCAACTCCTCATATCCAAGTCTGTGCCTGAGCGGTTCGGTGATGTCCGGGTCAAAATCTCACGATGAACCGGTTGGGTAGTGAACATGTACCAGCCTGAAAATGGAAGAGCCTGCTGAGAGCATAGATACATGTAGATTTGTATGGTTTGGGTTGGAACCCGGGCTGATGACTTGCGTCCCCAAAGCGGGGGGACACATACTCGCGTCAGGGAAAAAGAACCAGAACATGCAAGTGAGAAAGCAGGGATTATTTGTATGGAGTGGCGCTGAGCTGCCATACAAACTAGGCATTTGCATGTTCTGGTTCTTTATCCTAGACGCGGGTACGGGATTGGGCGCTCGACGGATATACAGGCCCAAGCAATCGTAGGGCGGCCAAGAGCAAAGTGTAAAGTACAGGCATAATCCTGGGAGGGAGATCTTTACTCGATTCCTGGAGTGAAGGAAAGCTTGGATAGGTGGTGCTTCGGAAGACACGTCGTGCATATTAACATTACAGCAAAACACACAGAATAAGTGCATGTAGTGGCGGTTATGATACTCTAACTGTCAACGTAATTGGATTGTAGAATTAGAGATAATGCGGGTATGCCATGCCCACTAGAGTAAGCTGCGGTCAAGCAAGCCTTGGTGCCAAAGTCGTATTTTGAGACAGTTTGATATGCGAACTTCCCTCTAAAAGGAAAGACTCATAGAGTACAGCAATTTGACGGGTAGAAGAATGGTTCAGCCTACAAGTGAGGCTTGGAGTCGTGCGTGAAGTCCGGATGGGTCCGGAGAAAAGACCGACGAATGATGAACCCAAAAGCCTTCTTCTGATGCAACTATCAGATGCATAAACGTAAGTTGACAGTTTGCAAATCTCAGCTGGCGTAAGTGCCACCAGGAGGTGTTAGAGGCTAGTACTAATCGATATTCGAGAGATGGGGTTCTTAGCATGCGTATTCTTAAATTTTTACTGTACTGCCAACCATCATAAATGATTGACCCTGGTTCCCTCGATAGTCCTATCGTCGATCGATCAAGTATTTACACCAGGAAATTAGAAAGAGATGTAGACGAGTGATTTTTTGTGAACGTGATAATAGGGAGAGAAAATTCATTCAGAAAGATTCATCGATAACAGACTGGGTCAAAGAACGGCTTCACACACAATATTGGTTATATTTCAATAACGTGATGTTGGGATCTGCTGTTATCTCATTCCAAGTCATAGACCTTCATCTGGTTCATCACCAATGAATGACTCGCCAAATCCCAGTTTTAACCCAATGGACTCTTTGTCTAAGATGAAGGGATGAAGGAGCATTGAGTGACTACATTTAATTGTGAGTAAATAGGTATCAAATCTCCGATAAGTTGAAGGAGACGAGGGGCCAGTCCAAGATTCATTACCCCTCACGAATGCAGTTGCCATAAACCACGTTTGAATCGAATGTTCCTTTCAGATGGACTTTCAGCAGAAGAGGGGAAATCAGATCATCATTGAAAAGCCAGCTAGATACACGCTTTAGGGCTGAATGCGGCTCCATTCATCATCACAACTTGACATGTTTGGATTTCTGACTAGTCTGCAGTCTGCCTTTTTTACCCGGAAAGATGACGACGACCGGGGACAAAGAGCAGGAACTCGGCGTCCGTTTGTGGGGGGTCGGTGACGGCGGCCGCGGGGAGAGCTGTGGAGACCCGGTACATACATACATGTACCCTGCGGAGATAATGACGATGGTGAGGAGAAGGTCGGATTTGAGGAAATGACGGGTTGGTTGTATTAAAAATAAGCTTTCCCCTCTATGTAGGCGGAAAGGGAAATTTTCCGATTCCCGAAACCTTATCGCGGCTGGAGTGGGAGGCTACCTCACATGGTATGACATCATCATCGCGCTAAACACCATGCGGCTCTTTTTATACGCGCAGCCACCATTACATGTATTTACTCTACGTATACAGCTGCTGAAAGAAAAACGAAGAAGGAAGAGAGGAGGGTGTGCACTGCGCATCTAAGTTACGTGGCAGACATGTGAGGACCTGGAAACTGATGTTTGGTTCCTTTTGTGTCTGAATCACATGATGTATACAAAACCGTCATGGAAATGTGAGTACATACAAGAAGACAAATCACCAGATCAGGGGAGTATCAAGTCTTAAAAGTCGCACGGGGGTGATTTTGAACGTCCAAGGCACTGACTGGCTGAGCGTCCAAAGCGTTCAGAGCAAAACAGTATTCTCCCCTGGCACCATGACCAGTTGACTTTTTACATCCTCCCCCTCTTCCCCGCATAGGGTGACTGGGTACCCTGCATAATAGATGTACCGTAGAGTACATGTATGTACCTTTAACTTGCAATAGCCAGCCGAAGTTGCTGTTTGCGTTCTAGCAAGTGTTCTACTTTCAACGAAACAACACTCTACCTTTGGTGACAAATGATGTTTTCAGGTTATCGTCCGTTCCCTCCCTTATCCTTGTATGCCAGGATTACTTCATAATCTGCATGGAATGTTCGGGGTTCCTGATGCCTACTCTACATGTGCCTAAGTACCTACTACGTACATCTAGCCTACTTTACCTGATTTAAGAAGCAAAATCAATAATACTTGTTCGATTCAGACACCCCAAAACACTCCACGGAAATCGATTGATATTGCTGCCCAAAGATATCGGTACCAATACATGTACTCATACATTGTACTCGAACACGACCAATATTGCATGACATACAAAAAGGTGGATTTGGCGCTTTTTCGTATGTCATGCAATATTGGTCGTGTTCGGAAACGCTATAAAACTACGAGTAGATTCTTGTCAATCGGGTTCCCAAGAACTGACCCTGGCTTTTGCCTCCCCCCATCGATGGTTACACGAAGCTCTCTGGTTTCAAATCTAGGAGAAAAAAGAAAAGCGAGAAATGAAAGAGAGACCTTTGCAGGATCCTGATCATGGGACTTTGTGATGTTGCCTCAGCATGGGAAAGCTGCAGGCTCGCAAGTTTTCGTAGGTGACGATCATGAGAGAACCGTACCAGTGCGTTAGGAGTAAATGTTTTGAAAATCCAGGGCCCTGAACAGTTGGTAGGAGGATCACATTTTTCTGCAGGAAAGGGGTCTTCGCTCTCTCCCGGTAGTTAATTTAGGCTTAGATTAGATGGGTGAGCGGGGCGCCAAGACTGCGGCGAACACTTGTGTGGCCCGGTGCCGTGGGTGATGGGTCGAGACTTCACGCTACAGTCCGCGGATTCGGTGCGGGGAGGCGAGCCGCAGGAGGGTTGTGGTTGCAGTGGTGGTGGAGGTGGTAGTGAGGGGGTTTAGGAAAGCGACCATCCACTGAGTTCAGTTGTTTGCTCCCCCCCAAGTTGCACAGTTACCCATCGTGTGAGCACAGTACCAGGACGTACAAAAGAGCTTCGGCGACAGCAGTGGCAGCTTGAATTGCTTCACAGACACTCGGCCACGGCTTCAAACAAGTGAATGAATGGTGGGCAAGTACCTGCTTTTTCCAAATCGTCGACCGTTGTCTTGCTAGTAACCAGTGAGTTGTCAATCTTGCAGGAGTCTCCCAGTCCCCCCCAGCTAGCTAGGCAGTTACCTAGGCCAGCGCCCCTCGACCTGATCTGAGTCTCTATCCTCTACATAGGCAGCCCGTTTTATCCGTTTTTGTGGCATTCCCTGCACACTGTCCATCCGATCAAAAGGGTGAGTGACCAAGAGTGAAAGCACTCGAGTTGCCACGTGCTTGGGAAGAGAAAGAGCTGGCCCACGAATTCTTCTTGATCTAGTCCCCTTCCCCAACTGCAGAATTCAGAGATTCGATCCCCCATCGGTGTGAAAAAGTGAAGAAAAAGACCCGGACCCTTCTAAGGTTGCCCCCCTCAACATCCATTAAAACGGCCGCGCAGATCATCATCGAGCATATCCTGGAGAAGCGAGGATCGACATCTTATGTAACTCGCAGCATCCACAAGGGCAGTCCCCACATCTGAGTTCTCAAAAAGGAAAAGGGAAAAACAGGTTCATTCAAGCCGCTGGTGTCCTGCTGCCAAACGGCACAATCTTGAAGGGACGACTAGTAGTTTAGAATAATTAACCAAATTTCCCATCCTTACATGACCTGCTAGCAACCTTTACTTTACACACTACATTTCCACAGTCTAAACAGAAAATCGGTCACATCTGCGTCGGTTTCCACCACCATCGGTGGTTGAATTCACGCTAAAGGAATTTCGAGAGGGAGGGAGATACGGAGGCATTCTGGGGAGGTCAAGATGGTCCGGCTTTCTGATAATCGGCTTAAAAAATCACACGAGAAGACGGCGGTGGCAACGACGGCGACGACGGCGGGGGCAGCATCTTCACTGGCCCTCAAGGATTCTAACGATGGTTTTGTAAAGAGCGTATCTGCCAGCGGTGCGTTCGGAGACAATGAGCCCGACATTTCTCATCGTGGAACTCGAGAATCCATCCCCCTTCCTGCCTTTCCCTACCGTCATTCCTCTAATAGAGAAATCCCAACAGTGAGGACGCATCCCACAAGTCATCCGCCACCAGAAATACCTCCACCAACATCTGGCGCTTCGTTGGCGTTCACAGCACTCCAATTCCTACCTACTCCGTTGTTGGTTCTCGGGAGCAATAAGACGGTGGTCTTGGCAAATGAAGCTATGGGGAGGCTATTGGGCATGGAACCACCGAACCAGAATGTTAATCGTCTAGCGGGAGCGGCTGTCAAAGAACCGCCGAGTCCATCTATCACGGATCTGTTGCAAGGTAAAGATTTGTCCGAACTTGGAGTCAATATTCTGCAACGTGATAGTCCACTATGGGTTAGCTGGGAGCTGTTTCTTGAAGCTTTGGCAAAAGACATGACTGGGGATGAGGACGGTTTTGCGAACGCCAATTCCCTAATAAACAAGGCGGGAGCTACTTCACCTGCCTCGGATGCGCCACCACTTTTGCGAGGGCATCCAGTTCGGGATGTGGCTTTGGATGTATCTTTGAGCAATCATGGACACAAAGAAAGTGATAATCACCCGCGCCCCATCCAAATACAAGCAAAGATGATCGTCTCCATCTGGGTTCTTGATTCTGAGAGATACTTCACTCTTACATTTACATCCATGGCTTCACCACTATCGCCAACTGCTGTAGATGGGTCTTTTTTCCCGAAAGTAAGTGCGCCGTGCGTTGACCCAGAGCCAGCCAGGCTTGGGTCTGCCTTGTTACCAATGGGTGCTCCAGCTTCTTCAGACATATCGACATCCCCTTCAGTCCTCGATAGAATGATGCGGATGAAGGATGCAGTCCTTGATGCCATGGAAATTCCTGTATTCGGGATGTGGCATGATGGCTCGATGGGTTTTACAAACCGTGCAGCTCAAGAGATATCGCTTGCCGAAAGAAATATCTATACCTTCCACCGCGACGAGCTCCATAGGTGGTACAAGCTATACTCTGAGGATTTTGAGCGTGAATTAGAAATGGATGAGTACCCATTAGTCAAATTAGTTAAAACAAAGAAAGCCATTAGCCCCGGGAGATTCGGCATGTACTCGAGAGAGGGTAAAAAAATGGTCTTTGACGCCCATGGCGATGGGATCTACGATAATGACACCGGGGAATTTCTTGGTGGTTTAATCTGGCTGAGAGACGTTACAGAATACCAGGAGAAGTTAGTGGTGCAGGAAGAAACGAATGAGCTGCGATTCATGACCATGTGTGATTGCATGCCTCAGTTGGTAGGTTTCCATTTTCGAATTAAAACTCCACGATATAAGTCTGACGGGTAATAATTGATCGTGTGGGCTGCTGCATTACAGATATGGACCACCAGACCGGATGGATATCACGACTACTACTCAAAAAGATGGTACGATTTTACCGGTCTTACAAAGGAGGAGTCTCTAGGAATGGTAACGGTCTGGCTGCCACCTCTTTCACTGAACAATAGCGGGCTGACCTTTTCACTTATCAAGGGCTGGAAAGCACCCTTTCATCCCGTAATAACCCCTGACAGTGCCTTCTTATCCGATTGTTTTCCCTATTCCTTACCGTTGTCGGTTTGACATGCATTCAGTTATTAACCAGATCGTTTTTTTCTCCCGACAGGAAGACATGCCGTTAGTGATCAAGGAGTGGATGCGCTGTCTGGAAACAGGGCAAGACTACACCGTAGAATACCGCTGTCGACGTCACGACGGAGTGTGGCGATGGATGCTCGGCCGAGCACTGCCACTTCGAGACCCCCGGACAGGTGAAATTATCAAATGGTATGGAACCTGTACGGATATTCACGACCTTGTCGAAGCGCGATCCGAGGCCCGCCGCACTCGCAAGCAGCTACAAGAAGTTCTCCAACATTCTCAGATAACATTATGGGCAATTGACTGTAGCAACCACATCACGTTGCTGGAAGGGTCAATAATCTGGGATCTTCACAACACCGCCGAATCTTACATTGGTGTGGATATCTACGAATTGTTCCAGGATTGCCCGGAATTCCTACACCCTATCGAGAACATCCTTAACGGCAAAGATAACTTGCTATATTCAGAGACCGAACTGAACGACGGACGGTGGTTCAGGACAAAGTATGTGCCCATACTAGGCAAGAAGGGTAGCGCCGGACAATATGACCAGAATTACGTAGCAGGCATCATTGGGGTATCTCTAGATACCACGGAGGTGCATAATGCGAGCGCGGAGCTGGAAGCAAGGGAGCGAGAAAATCGAGTGTTAGCTGCAGCCGAGAGCGCCGCAAAGGAGGCGAGTAAGCTTAAGAGCGAGTTTCTTGCATCTATGTCGCATGAAATCAGGACGTTGGTCTTTCCTTTCCTGAAACGTGTGATGATGAAGCTTAGATAGTGTGATGTAGGCCAATTGCAGGTGTTGTCGGAATGGCCGAAATCATTCTGGATACAAACCTCGATACGGAGCAACGCGAATTTGCGGAGAACATCCAACGGTCAGCCAATGCACTGCTGACCGTCATCAATGACATTCTTGACATATCCAAAGTCGAGTCTGGACGGCTCGATATCGAAGAGGTTCAGTTCAGCTTACCGCTTGTGGTCCAGGATGTGACTAAGATGTTGAGCTTTGATGTCGAGAGGCGAAAATTGGCTTTTGAATGCGATGCTGATTGGGGTGAGGCTGGGGAGAATATGACAGTTATCGGGGACCCGGGAAGGATTAGGCAGATATTAACCAACTTACTGACAAATAGTATAAAGTTCACCCACGAGGGGTTCATTAAGTTGTATGTTGAAGTCGTGAAGGAGGATGACGAATCCATTGTTGTACGATTTGAAGTCAAGGACTCTGGTATCGGGATCGATGACGATGTACAACAAAAGCTATTCCAGCCATTTACTCAAGCAGATTCGTCGACGGCGAGGAGATTTGGCGGAACAGGGTTAGGCTTAACCATCAGTAAAAATGTTTGTTCCCCCTTGAATCACATTACCAACAGAGTAGCGCTAAGCATCGACACTGGAATTTAGCTTGTTGATCTTATGGGTGGTACCATTGGCCTTTCCTCTAGCCTTGGCGCTGGTACAACTGCATACTTCACGATACCATTCCATCGTCCACAGTACCAAAATGGGTGCTTGCAACCCGCAGATATTAGTAGTCTTCCAGATAGGTTGCAATCGGACGTGTCTGTGTCTTGTCGATCATCCGATTGCGGTATTTCAACGCCGCCCGAGTCTCCTATAGATATTGCTCTAAAAAGGACAAGATCTTCAAGCCATTCAACGAATTTATTAAAGAGAATTACGCCAGCACCAGCGACGGCAGCAGAGATTGAAAGAAACCTGGAGGAAAGGAAAAGAACCCATGTGTTGGTCGTCGAAGATAGTATGTTATGATGTCCAGAGTTGAGGAAGAACGGTTTTACTGATGACCAAATTTAGATGATATCAACCAACAAATTGCGATAAGGTTGATCAAGAAGCTTAATTTCTCTGTCTCGGCTGTAAGCAATGGACTAGAGGCCCTTGAGTTCCTCAAGGAAGCGATGCCACCAAGCTCCACAGAGCCCGGATCACCATTGAATAGCGATGCTTCATCTTCATCTTCTTCAACAACACGTCCACAACGGCCAGATATCATTCTTATGGATGTTCAAATGCCTGAACTCGATGGATACAGTGCCACCCGCATAATCCGTTCCGGAAAACTATATGAGTATCCAACCGAAGCTAATAAAGAAATCTCACTTTGGAGAAACCCACGAAACCCCAAACCAGCACCAAAAATACCGGACGGGCCCAGTCCCTCTTCGGAATGGTTGTCGGCAGTCCCAATCGTCGCCATGACAGCCTCTGCAATTAGAGGTGACCGCGAAAAATGTAGAGATGCTGGAATGGACGACTATCTCGCCAAGCCTGTGAAATGTACAACGCTTGAGAAAATGTTACTGAAATGGTGCCCTGGAAAGCATGCATTGCGCAGTAACAGTTACCCAATTGGTGCTCCATCATCGACGCCGTTTGCTAGTAGTGGTGACCTTTCACTCACGGGTTCTAAGAAATCGCCATTTACGATGGCGGCGATTGCACATGCTATTGGGATGGACAGCAATGCACCGCCAGGACCGGGATCAATGGCGGTGACTGAGAAGGGAATTGTGTCGAGCCCGGATATCAAGAGGGTTGTCGTGGAGCCACCGTCGCTATCGACAGTTGTGTCGGTAAACAGCACTCCGAAAGCATCTGATCGCCACGGAAGACCAGTGGAGGATCCGTTCGACTCCATGTATGCCTCTGACGAGAACAGCATGCACGGAATCAACATATCAGTATTGAAACGGCAACTTCAGGAAGAGGTTATGAATAGTGCAGCTGGGGCAAATGGGCGAGAGAGAGAAAATCTGAAAGAAACCAGCCACGGGAAAACAACACGGGGAAGAACAACAGAGTCAATGCCGCGGATAATGCATGCTGCTTCAGCCCCCATGTAATTTTGGGAAGTTTGTTATAAACTGTTATTTTTTTGAATATTTGGAAGGCTTTTTATTCGAGCGATTCTTTACTTTTCTTTCCTCAATTTGGAGTGAGCACAATGTATCATATAAATATCATTAAGTTAGTTGTTGGTTGGTTTGTTGCTTTGATTTCTTTTGGATATGTAGTCCGGTGGTTATGCGACGCATTGCATTGCGGATTTGGGGTTTTGATTTATTTACGTATTGTAATGGATTGGGATCTTTATGGGGCGGGATAGCGATTGTTTTTCAACCTCTTATTAAATCTTTCTTCCTTTTTTTTCTCTTTTTTCATTTTCGAGCGAGTATTACTTTAGCTACGCGTACATCATTCAATTTAGTCATATCATGCTTTAGCTTACTTTATAGTTAAAGCTACTAAGTGATATCTTCAATAAGTTGTAAGGTGAGATTGTGATTTTCCTTCCTGAGCCTACTGCTGAAATGAATAAATTCCCTTGCGGGGATTTTCAATTTCTTTGCAACTTTCCCCGACTCGATCATGAGCTATCACTCGATGGGCTTCATGACCGGTTTAGCTATAGAGAATGTTAAATCAACCGTAAACAGCCTAATTTAAGGTGAAACGAAATGGCTTTCTGTCCTGTAACAACTCTATCTAGGTGCGAAAATCGATGTAAAACTTTTGGGGCGGCGGTTTTCGCTTCTTAAGTCAGTCAGGCCTTGTGGAAATGGGTTGATACTAGTCTATCTTGTTCAATATCACTGCGAAGTTCAGTGTCACGTGATGCAAGTGCTTGACTGTGCTTAGGAGCTTAAGGTGATTGGTAAATACTTGTACCCTGGCGGTGAGTTGAAAGGGGCGGAAACAGAGAATATGATGAATGAAGCTTTGGTAGTATAAGGACATGGTACATCGTCAATATCCGCTCATGTGTAGAGCCAGCAGTCGCGATAGATAATAGATCGAGCCCTTTAGTCCATGAGAAAAGATATATGTATATTATGATTATACTAAAACTATCTTCCCCTAGCGAGTGCAGAGTCCCCATCTCCCAAAAGTCCACCACAAGAGGTTTTCGCTACTTGTTTATCAGCTCACAAGCCAAGATTCAATATGGAATAAAGGTAACATATATGCGCTTACCACACTGGCTTTGGCAATCCGGTTTATTAGAAACAACACAGGCATTCATGCATAGTATGTATTTAAGCTTCATACTACACTTTACGGTCGGTGTAGCCGTAGCCGTCGATGTGCTTGTACTTGTTTCGCTGGTGGTAGTGGCGGTAGATGTACTAGACGTAGTAGGCGTGCTAATAGGCGTAGCTGCAGTAGGAGTACTAGCTGCAGTATAGGGGGCACTAGTTTGAGCAGAAGTGGAAACTGGAGTAAGCGTGGTATATGTGGCGATAGACGGGTCTTCTTGAGCAATTGGAGTGCCGAGGCACAAGGCAAAAAATGATAGAGTGAGGATACTAAAGAAAATGTGCATTTTTGCGCTGTGGTGGCTGAGATTTGGTTTGGTTTGTGACTTTTTTGGACCGTTGGTGGCGAGGATCAACAGTGATGATGGAATCTTATATAATGGACGGTATCGGCCGCATGCGGTGGTTGAATATTAGGTTGGTGGGGTGGATTTGTGAGGTAGTGGGGTGGGTTGCACGTTTCCGGAATGTTACCTGTTTGGGATGGTTGGTCCCTTACTTAGGTGGATACGGTGTTGTACTTACTCACGAGACCATCTGTGTTATATCCACTTTAACCAAATCCTTTTTTTCCATTCTGTGTTTAGGGTGGACTCTGCCGGTGTAGGTCGCCCATACTAATATGCTTGGTGAATCAATTATTCCAGCTTTGCAAACCTAAAACAGTATTATATCATAGTGGTGGTGGTTAGTTGTGGGGATCGAGTAGAGTCGAGTGATGACTGATGAAGATAGCTACACAAAATTATTTGAATCATATGTAATCACTCGATACCAAGATTAGGTAGCCCTGGGATGATTAGATGGTTGGTGAATGCATTAAGTGATAGCCTTGGAGAAGCAGAGTGCTCTGGTGTTTAATCCGCATATTAATCTCTCTTTGGCCTTCATCATATTCCTCGGTATGAAGAGTCGAATCCATTCTTCGGGTCATCGATATCGGCACGTATTGACCGTGGCTCGGTGTAAGTCTAACCCTCGAAAATATTACGATTGCAACCTTAAGGGGGATACTAAGATAAGATTGTTATGATTCGCTCCTCTCGGTGGAACTAGTATGTTCTAGGTCTCCAACTGCGGAGGCCGTTCAATAGACTGTCTAAGATTCTATTCATGACCTATGAAAGATCGAACAATTAGTTGGCAAGAGGCCCTTCTATCCTATGAAATCGTCAAAAAAATAAATAGAATGCGGCATGTCTACTAGGAATTAATAATCTCAATGCATGGAGATCGGGAACTGATACCCACCACCCCGTCCCTGCAACAAAGACAACCGACAAGGACAAGCCAGCACCATTAGTATAGGATGATTGGATTACAAACGGGTGCAACCAGTCGTCGTTGAGGCTCCTAATTAAAGCCAGATTTCGAAATATCAAGGGGGAGCACATACCACACACCCCTCGCTCCATTCCGTGCCTATTAATACATGATACCTGCATATCGCATGTACCGCAATGGGAGATCTCGAAACGAATTGGGGGATTGTAAACGAAACCACAACAACGTACGGAACTGGGGAGTACCGGAATTATCAATTAGAGAGGGCCATTTGTGGACCAATATCGGAAAGTGAAGAGAGAGAATAGCGAAAGCGGGTTTGGGCCACTGGATGGACTTGAAATTAGTCACAACGTAGGCTGGTCCTAGCTAATGGGTGCTCCCATCGGACTTACCGCTCCCGGGCGCGGGTACCTGGTATGCGCCGTAAGCACTGAAGGGAGCTAGAGGAATTCAAAGCTTCTTTTGATTCACAGGCTGAATTCAATATATCTCTATTTGAAATCAGCGAAAACTATCCAAGTCGAATTCTGCACCGCTGACGGACATGATCGTGGGGCTTTCCCCCTCAATCCCTCTCTAGGAGTCCTCCAATCCGAGATAGCAGCTACATGTAGTCTAGAATTTATATATGGTAATCATGAGATAGCCGGTTACGGCAGAATTAACGGTTCTTCATAGATACCTTAGAATAAATAACGCTTCTGCTATCATGACGGTGAGATTGAGAGTGCGATTTTCTTGTACATATTCAGGTAGGTTAACTCATGAGAAAACCGAATAACTATGCAAGATGATTAAAAGAAAACCGACTCCATCCCCTTAGATACCAGGACCGTAACTAAGTAAGCTCAATCTTTCACTAACACGGCTTGGAACTTGGGGTGATATAAATGAGAATGAGCCTAGGGTCAGGACTTAAGCCATATCCTCAGGCACAAAAATGACTGGTTTCTTTGACGAGTCCTATTCATGTAATTAAAGGACTGTGTAAGTCGGATTGTTTGATTCCCCGATCCAAAAAGGCGGCAAATAATCATAGAAAATCACTCGTCTTCGGAGTTGGGGAAGAGGGGAGGAACACACGGCGCTAGAGTTATAGCGTAAACTATTGATAAGGGGGGTGATAAGCTGTTGAAGTATTGATAAACAGCAAGAAGCTTTTTGACAGTCCCGAGACTCTATTCTGGAACCGCCAACTGGCTCAAGAGCATAGATGTCTGTCTTCACCCCAATTCATCTGATGTGTGTATCGATATATCTCTTACTCGTACCCTATCCTGTATTCAATATATATCCCTTTTGTTAGATACATCTTTTCAGCCCCATCTGTTCTGTTTGAACAACTTGAGTCAGTGAAGAATCTGCAATCGATGGACTTAGCTTAGAGACAACGATCGATCGGAGGTCATTAACGTTTTCTTGACATGCGTAACCACTGTATCTCTACTATAGTACAATGGGGTGATTTTTAAAATAGTAATGTAGATTAGTTTTTTAATCTGCTTGGGTATGAGTAAACGAAAAAATTAAAGAATACGAACCTGCCAATCTCAGATACCTGTATTATTTCTGGCAGCTCGGCGACAACTTGAGTCTACTGCCCATCCGGAGAAGACTGTGGTCTTATGTTTGCGTTAGCGGGCAGCACAGCGCGGCTCTTACATGGTACTCTACTTTACATATATGCCTACCTGTAAGTACCTGGTAGTCAGCCTGGAAGAAGAGAAATGGTGGTGTCATCTTGAAGTTTCGACTCATTTCGGCTCGTGGAAAGCTTGGTTTGGTTTCGATGTTACAGCTTGGAAGGATACTGAAGATAGCTTAGGCCGATATCGGGCCCAGCCACATGTCGGTCCGGTTTCTAGGTTAGCCCGACCATCGGTGCCTAGGATAAAGTAACCACCGGGGCACCCCTCTCGCACATACCGTCCGCGTATCAATGTGTTCGTTTCCTTTTGTCCATATTTTTCTCGCTTTCCCTTACCGAGAAGCCGTAAATTGATCTAAGTAAGAAGTGGCATGATGTGCAGTTTTTCTTATTTTTTTTTCGTTCTGTGAATCTCCCGGGGGTCTGGTATTTGGGCTGCCGAAGGGAGATAGCACACTCCAGAGCAGAATAAAATCTGGAGTGTGCAAGATTAAACGGAACCCTCAGGGCCTAGAGGCCGGAGTACCTTCGATTTCCCTCAGCTCCTGGGAATGATAAATCTGCCTAAATCTAAACAGAGTCCACACAGAAGGTTTCTCCTCTTTCAAATGATTACAGATCATTAGTGGTGCGGCTCTATCCGTTTTGAGACCCTGGCTAGCACGTTTATCGCTTACGGCATATACTCGGAAGGTTCCGTGGTGGCGGCGTCAGGGTTAGCAGCAAATCGGAGCTTTGGAAATATTTATCCCCGGATTTTGAGCATTGCTTTTTCTAAGAACTGGGGATTGAGTGTCAGTAGGTACTCTAGGTGGTATTGCAGGGTGACAAAAATAACTACGCACCCAAATTTGTATGGTAAAATAACGTTTTTTGGACCTAGCTACTTCAAACATACCGCCACAAATTTCATATCAGAAAGACCAAATCTCCCAAGCTCCAGAATTTTAGAGATATGGTTATCTCTCTGATATCTTGTATACTCATGGAGTTACAAAGAATTGAAGTTGTCAATTTTTGTATGGTTGCCATGTGGGTTACTAACAAAAAGGCCGAACTTTGAAGTATAGCTATTGCATAACTATATAGGCTGTGAGAGACATAAGTGTATATGGGAGTTTCTAGAGCTCCAAAGATCTTTCCTGTAGGTTATCAAGTTAGTGGTCGCATTTTCGGAGTGGTAGGTCTAGAAAATACTCTTTTCCAATACAAACTTTGGTGCGTAGTTATTTTTGTCACCCTGCAATACATATGGGTCATGAAGCAAGATACATACTAGGCATTCTAGGTCGTGCCGGAGACATTCTGGAGGAAACCGTTGAGACAATGACATGACGAAGCACTCGTGTTACAAAGCTTGAAGGGTTAAAGGAGAGCTTCTTCTGCCGGCACACATCACGTCCATCAAGAGTACTTACTGCTCGCTCCGAGTAGGTGCTCCTGGTTCATTGCATCTTTCCAAGTTTATGGTTCTAAGAACTCAGCTCTCGAGAAATCGATTTGTCTCAGGGCGGAGGACCATAAACTAATATACTTTACCTCCAGCACTGGCCCTCTGTCTGCGGTTTGCTCCACATCGAGAGCCACGACAGTTCAGTGGTTAGATCGTTCAAGGGTCCATGACGTGTAACGGGAATATGGCGTTTGAATACATAAAAGTAGTAGGCGTTTGAGTTCTGGCCTCACACAATAATACAGCCATGCGGCTACAGCTAGTTTGAACCCAGGTTTTGGTCGTGTCGTGGGCATGTGTGCTGCAGCGCCCCGAACCGACATCAATTTTCACCAGAGATGTCGCTGCTGTCCAGCTACATATGAGGTACGTACTTGTATAGCTAACCCGGTAATAACTCTTGAGATGGAGCATTCAGTATCGTTTCACAGTCCCGAGTACCGACAAACCGCTAAAAGATCTCTCGGTAATTTCCCTGGTCTAAGTAGCTCAGGCGATCCCTCCGGGGACGAGGGTTCATCTCTCTAGCTCTCCTGATAAGGAATGGTCAATTATTGGCGAATCCAGATGTATGTAAAGATGATCTTGCTCTGCCGGGGATCCTGATGGCTATCCTAGAAAGGTAGGTAGATGTCCCCAAAGTTTGCCCCCCTGCATGAGATACGAATGTGATGCAGAATTGTAGGTGAACACATCCTCTCTGGGGGTCTAGCACACTAGGTACCACTCGAGTCTACGACATAGCTATATAGGTTCTCGCATAAGATTATCTTTGACTTTGACTAGGAATCCCTTGTTAAAGTTGACTTTGGATGTGTGTGTATCGAATACCCTAAGTGGTTACCGCTCCATGACGGAAATCAATGAACCTGAATGAAGTGACACAAAACCAGGTTGGAATTAGCTGAATACCTCGAATCAAAATCTCCAGGACCTTGAAATTGGCAAGCCACACACGAAACCTTACCCTAGGTTACGTAGTACTTGAGAAAAGAGGAGGGGGATACCCAGTAAATAGTAAGCGGCACTTTGTCCACCGGGGCTAAGGAAGAAAATGGGGTCATATAGGTCCTCTCATCTCTGGGGGGGATGCTTCTTGCATACATTTATCCTGACATAGGTGCGCGGCTGTCGGTATGATTTTAATACCACGGGAGGCGGATATTCCTTTCAACCTCACACAAACGGCTTCGACTTCTAATTATATCAATGGATCATTCTCATCGTCAACGGCAACTGACAATGTGGTGGAGAATATTGGATCGCTATTGACAATACCGACAATTACATTGATAACTATTACTTCTGTGGTCGTTTCTTCGCGGATGTATAGTCGGGCGGTTCTATTAGGATTTGTTGGCGCAGATGATTACTCAATTTTGGCTGCAACTGTAAGTTCGACTCCCATCGCACCTACTAGTTTTATTCCTATGCATATGGTGACGTGAAAGTATCTACCAGAAGTAGCATCATCTTTACTGACGAACTTAGGCAGCGGCTGTAGGATTAACAGTTACCGTTTGTTTGAGTAAGCGTGGCTTGATCTCTACATTCAAGTGTCATTCAAATCTGACTGTTTCTAGGCGTGAATTATGGTGTCGGAAAACATGCATGGGATGTTCCTATCCTGAACTTCATCGATATCACCAAGGTCAGTCAGTCCATCACTTCATATCTATGTGAATGTTAACTAACAAACTAATGCAGCTGGCCTACATATCCCAGATATTGTACTTAATCAGCCTAGGATTTACCAAGGCTTCTCTCAACCTTCTCCTCCTGCGACTATCTCCTACGGACAGAATCATCAAACTCACATGGACAATCTTCGCAATCACTACTGCAGCAACCATATCCATGCTGATGGCCTCTATATTCCAATGCACACCAATTCACTACGGATGGGAAAGGATGAACCCGATGTCGACTGTGAAGGGGACATGTGTAGGATACGCTCTACTGCAGTACTCTATACAGGGAATCAATATTGTGACGGACTTGGTGTTGTGGTTGCTGCCTTTGAGGTTAATTATGCAGGCGCAATTACCAAAGCGTCAGAAATGGGGCTTGTATATCGTTTTTATGTTAGGTTGCTTGTGAGTTTCAGAGAAAAAACTACGAGACTTAGCGAGTGAGGACTGACGGACTTTGTGTCTAGGGCCCCGGTGGCATCTATTGCGAGGCTTATCATGCTTGTTCAAATGCTGGTGTTAAAACCCATTCTGGTTGATCCATCATGTTCGTGAAGCTCTCCACTTGTCATATTTGGAGCGATGACTAACTGATACTAAATCCAGGGAAGAGTGGTGTCAACATAAGCGTTTGGTCCATGTAAGTCGATAGACCATAGGGTGGGGATAACTTAACTAACTTTCACAGCGTTGAAGTCAACATAGCCATAATCTGCAGTTCCATACCCACCATCCGTCCCCTTCTTAAAAAGCTCGTTCCCACCTTATTGGGTACTATCGAGAATATTCGTAATAGTAAAAAGGACCGCGCTAGTGGATATCAGAATTGGGCTACTCAGACAAAGGGAGATTCAATTCCTTTAGGGTCGGTTGAGAGAGTTGATAAGACGTCAGAGGGGATAGGAAATGTTGGGGTGGTGACAGTGACAAGGACAGAGGTGGGGACTAGTTTTTACGATAATCACAGTGTAGACTTCCCAGTGCCGGGGTCAAGTCATGGTGGTGGGGGCAAAAAAGAAGCTTCATGACGTGGAATGGGTGGCTTCTTTTGTTCTATCTTATTTTCAGTACTATGTAGTTGAAGCTTCTGGGGAGTTGGGTTTATGTATAGATTTGATGAAATGTAGATATTATTACTAGTATAATGCCTTTACTCGCGTGCGTAGTAATATACTTATTAGAACACAAACTCGACACCCAGCTAGGCTAGGCATGCTCGTGACAGAACAGGGCGGGGTCTACTAGCTGCTATGTAATATCATGGACCAATCACATCTCAACCTTATCTAGCTAGGTGCATAGACCACCATTTCAGTCCAAATCTTTTATAATGGCTCCTTTTATCTGTTTGGTTCTGGGGTTGCTATCAGTATAGTAGAGATAAAATTCCAGAATGCAATTAATGAATTAAACAACAAAAAAAAAAAAAAAAAAAAGATAAAATTCCAGGGTTAGGTTTAAATCCTAATAATGAAATCGCGAGTGATATTTTGTGAATCATGGAAGTTGTGTGTGCGCTTTCTGCTTTTGGGCCTATATAATTCACACTGATAGAGCAGGCTTGTGAAGAAAGAGCCAAGAAGTTCATATAAAGTTAGTGATTGTTGCTGTTATAGCGTAGGGTGCATGCATAATTTGCGAATGTGACAATTCACGCTTGAAGGGATTGATAGCCGAGTCAAAGGGCATTCATTGGGAGAAAAAGTGGTTTACAGAAATAAATGTCCCAAGTCAGACAGATGATAGGCCTAGTCCCCTCAAGGTATGAGGGATTTCAATTCCAATGACTACTACATTTCGAAACGATGCTCATTGCCCAAACCGGCCTTCAATTGAGTGAAAAGAAAAGCGCGCCCATCAACGACTCTAGGCCTGAGACTAGAATACAACCTTTAGAGACATAGCTCTGGGTTAAACTCATAGGCTATCCAAACATCGAGACCATCTTTCTTATTATCGGCTTGCCACTTATGCCACGGGTACTTGACAGCTCCATTGTCCAACCAGATGGGCTTCCCATCACGATCCCTCTCCCAAAACCCACCCTGCTGTTCTAGCGCTTCCAACGGAAGCTTGATGAACTTATCAGCTGGAACATCATTTGGCTTTTCTGGATCAACTGGAAAATCGGGTGGAACGCGCCACATGCCCGTGTTCTCTCCGGTGCCGGGAACGAGACAAAGATGTACTTCGAGGAAGGTGTCTTCAGAATGGTTATGCACACCAGCAGATACTCCTTTGCCTATATAATCTTTAGTAATAGAAATCGATAGCAGAATGTGGGATTTCGGTATACCTATAGTCCAATATTGTACGTGACAAAGATGTGTCCCATCCAGGAATCGGAAGTCGATACCAGTCATGTTGCTAAAATCTTTACCCACCCATGCTTGCCCCCACTCAAGCTCTCCAACTTGGGTGAACTTGAGAGGCTGGGGCAGTGCTAGCTCCGGGTAGCTAAATTCAAATAGGTTCTCGACTTTCACTCGGGTATCTTCTGCATGTGCTGACGTTGGTGGCGCAAGGTCCGGTTTATGCGGATTATACCCCTCCTCTGGTCTAATCCGCATGAGTATACACCCTACCTCCGGAAAGTCAAGCTTATCATGAAGAAGCAAAGCGGAAGCCTTCTCGTTTGCGGGAACATTGAGTGGTTCGCGCGGAATCTCCCCGTCTAAAGCTTTGCCGTAGAGAACTTTGGTGGCATCTCCTTTTTTTGTTGGGACGCTTGTGTTAGGAGGATGAATCTCCAGTGTCATTATATAGCCCGCAACGTTTATGAGCGGGGTGGTCTGTGGAGCCGTGATCTCTGTAGGCTTAGGGACATAGTACAACGCTTCCCCTCCCCAGACCGTACCAATAATTGTAGGCGGGCTCTTTGCGCTTTTGACAATCTCATTGGTGTAGAGTCGGATTGTAGGGTTGGGTTCCTCGTAATACTTTTCCACGTTGTAAGAGATCGCGGCAACGTCCAATTTCCCGTGATTATTGAAATCGCTGTTTTGGAAATCATGTTAGTAAAATAATCAAGCATGCAGAAACGTCATTGGTGGCAACTTACCCAATCGCAAGACGAGCAGCAGACTCCCCTGAGATCTTCCACTTTGCAAATACTTTATTCTCAAGATCAATGCATTTGTAATAGAATATCCCCTATCGGTGAATCACGTTGAACATTAGGTATAAGAGTTAACTATTCGGGGCTATTGGTATTAGTTACCTTCCAAGGAGAGGGTCCCATCATCGCAACGAGACATTCATCGTCGCCATCACCATCAAAGTCCCCACATACAACATAATGGCCGGGTCCTTTTTTTCTAATTAGCTCAAAATGCCAGGCCAGGAGGGAATTTCAGAAATACGTGCCGGTGCCTTTATTCTGCCGCTGCTCCGGAGTGCCGTATATATCAAGAACCTTACGGGTCCATGTATGAGAGTCGGGTCCAGTCTTTTGCTTTGTGACAACCGAGACAACACCACCTAATTATTGTAATTATAAGTCTAGGTCTAGTACTTCATATTTAGGCGTGACTAACCGTGAAAGGGATCAATGGTCATGACATAGGCGGAAGGATCATTTCCCAGCTTCCCAACATCAACACAAGCGGATCCATAATAGTCCATCCCAGGCTTCTGCTCTAAACCGTCTGTGATATGTTCCTTTTTCCACTTGCTGTCCTCCCAGTCTATTACTGGGTATTAGTGTCTGAGGGCCCGCCATTGTTATCTTGAAGGGACTTACACAGCCAGTCAATTCCCGAACGGGATGCAACAAATAGGGAATCACGGCCACCTTGCGCTTCGAATCTGTAGGACGTCAGGCTATCCAAGTTTCACAATTTTCAGCTGTGTGATGGGACAAAAAATACTTTTTGGGCGCGGCATCATGGATGACCGTGAAGCACTGATCGTCAACTATTGACCGATTCCATTCAATACTATTCCCATGTCAGACCTTCACGTTTGAAACAACTGTGTTCTAGATGCCTTACGCGTTCAGGGACTTCTCTGGCTTTTGAAACATGATTATAGGGACTGCTGTATCCTGAACAGAATAGTTAAAAAGTAGACATCTAAGAGGGCGTCTAAGACTCGACTTACGATATCACCCTGAGTGATTCCGTTCACAACTGCATGTGTATCAGCACTGAATACTTATATTGACACAGGGGGGACAATTCACTCACTTGGTAAAGCAATAAGCTCTAAGATGGATCTTTTTACCCTCACATCAGTTTTTGCAGTCTTCAAACCATGCAGAAAGCACATACCGCTGGGTGAAATATCCAGCTTTCAATCTATGCATAGCTGGCCATCGGCCGATTGTTCTTTCCTTCCAATCTTCCTTGAGTTTTTTCGTCTCCTTGTCCCTTCCTGGATTCTCCAACCAGATTATATCTCCACCGTCGGGATTAGCAGTCAAAAATGTTTGCCCATATTCATAGCATATGACGATGTCGTTGCGGCCAGCCCCAGCACAATTTCCAGTAGCGACGGCGACAGGAGAGTTAAGTTTTTTAACACAGTAAGATTTCCAACCTTGAAGAAATGAATTGTCAGTAAGGTCTGTTCTCATTCAACTACTGAATATCTCTCATGACTTACCACCATCAGCTTCCTTAGGACCACCATTGAGCGGGTTATCGAAGATGCATATATCACCGACTCCTAGGCCGTATCTACATAGTTGTTCAATTCCTATTAAAATTAAAGTTCATAAGACAGATATAACATGGGATTGCCCTACCCGATGAGACCTGGAACCTTATCCTCGGGATCGACCCAGTAGGTTTCGATCCAGTAACCATCTGTTCTATGGTGTTGGACGATGGATTCTTTGAATGTTGGTACTGGGAGAGTTTTAGCGCACGACATGATGAAGGTGAACACTAGTTTGGTAGGTATGAATTCCTCTCAAGATTTCCGGCAGAGTCGCTCCTATTTATGTCTGAAAGTTCCTCGAGATTTTGAAATACTTCCTTGATATTCCGAGGCTGAATCACTTCGAGGCAGAGCACTTCGATAGTGACGGAACCTTAAGGAAAGGCAGTTCTCGAAACACCAAAGATCCTCATGCCGATTTCCATCACTTGATTGGGCAAGGTTATCAGCGCCGGCAGTCGAAAAAGAAAGTGTAAGGATCGTCAATTGATCAATTGAAGACCGTTCTAGATTTTGCCATTTTTCAAGAAAGGGCGTAACTATATCCAAAGAGCGATTTTCATAGGCAGGTCTTTTTTATAATAAAAAGGGTTTAACTATATTAGGTATAGATACTCTGAAGACTACCTATCTTTCGGTGTTCATTTACCTGTTGCAGAAGATTTCATTACATTTGATATATGAACTAGACGTCAATTATTATAAAGGCTTGATTCTAGTTTAGGATGTGGAAGGTTCAGTTCAGCTGTAAAAATTCGTGAGGTGCAGCTGTGTGGTAGTCTAACTTTCAAATCAGTTACACAGTCAACGGAAATCTCGGAGCTTTGCGATTCAGGATTATCTTACATATACATATATGTACTCTACCAAGATATATTGGAAAAACAAACACTTATTAGGATTCGTGCCGATACCTGTCTTGCCTTCATGTAGTAGTACTTATTGGTCCTATTACGACGACTCAAACCCTGAAGCGCTAAGTCCCAAATTCCGTGCTGATAGGTGTAGATCTGATAAAGTTCTTTGCACTCTTAATTACATTTGATCGGCAGGCGGGGTACCATTTTCAACAAGGCTCTAACCTTTTTTTTTAAAAAAAAAAAACAATAAAAGCTATATATATATAAAATGCAAACCATATATCCCGCCGGCTAGCGCCAGATCAAAGATACTTATATAGGAAATCCCTGTTGCAGATCGATACAACTCGGCCAATCGCCGGAAGATGATCCCTGATAGAGATAGCCAATTACCCGATGTTTTGCGGTGTTATTAAGAGGGGCGGATGTTTATTCTCATTTACATACGCTGTGTTTGGAAGCTGCTGGCTGCACGGCCTTTCTAACGTTCTAAGATCTCAGCTGTCTGTTGCACGGCCTTCCCCTCTTGATGGGCAGCGCAATGTGGTACCGATAAGAGGTACATGTACCTCTCCCATATGGTTATCTTCCGCATATTCAAACTGCAATTAATATCATATAGAATCATACCAAGCGCGATTTTGAGTAGTGAAGCATGCAGTGTGCTCTCTCATGACCCTTGATCATGATATAAACAAAAAAAAAAAAAAAAACTCAAAGTTTAATTCGGAACCAGCCAATCAAAGCACCGGGAAGTAGTCACCTTGGGGCTGAAGACAGCTGAGTGCAAGTATTTCTCTTGCTTGAGCATAGAGCGGATGTCCGGGAGAACGATCATGATCAACAGTACATGCAGCTGGAAAATCATTTTATGGTCGATCGACGGCAAAGCCCATATTATGAGGTGCACGTACCTACTCGCGCCCCCGGTTTGAAGTCTTCAAACCACAGCGAGTTAATAAAAGCTCATGATTTTATCGTTTGCATTTTCTGCCTGAGAAGCTTCGGCGCGGAGGGATCGGAGTTATGTACTCTATGTTGGACAAATAATACCGAGACTTGTTTGCAATATTAATCTGATAAGAACGATAATAAAAAACTCTCAGTCTCGTGTAATCCAATATTATACAATAGTATTGATCTGGTCGATAAGCGAACATGCATGATCCACTAAAATTCCCCAGAGCCCACGTCCCACAAGAAATTAAAATCTTAATTGCAGAGCTATGAGGACGTTGTAGCACCACACCACTGCTTACATTTATAACCGCAGCGCCATAAGTAGAGTAGATATATCTATAGATCTAGTCAGCCATGGAAATGCGAATCACGGGCGTGAATTAATTCGGTATAGCGTTTTGTCCACAAACAGCGCGGAGCGCCATTGACGGACCAGATTCGCTTTGTCAAGACGCTAGTAGTACAGGAAAATAGAGCACCCTTCTTAAAATGCTGTATTCTTCAACTTCACCCTAGTAGGTATCGTATCACACCCAAAAGTTAATCACAAAACATCACTCGCTGACAAAGCATTAGTAAAGGTTCAAGCAATGAAAATATATTCTAGGTATACTGGGTGTTCGCGTCGAAGTCTAAATTCTTTTCTATGCTGAACATATACTCTACTCTTACACGGGAACTTTGCTTTTGCCTGTAGCATGGTACATGAACTTCATACATATGTAATCGTCTTCGTTGGGAAACGGTGGCATGGCGGGTAGAACCACTGTAATACGTAACTCACTTGTGTACCACCTACCTGTACCTTGCTCTATTCGGTAACATAACATAATGTGAGATTGTGTGACCTGTAACCGGGGGCGATTTTCGAACTCTAATCGGTAATAAAGAAAACACCCTTCTTTCTCGGTAGATCTAGAAACACTTAGCGGGGTATGGTAGAATTCTGCAGCGACTCTTGGTGAAACAAATTGCAAACTCTGGATGGAAGAGTCCGACTTATAATCACTCAACGCTTAGTGCTCAAGCTCACATAAGTACCCATTATCGAGAGTTGAGTCATAGGCCTCTGAAACAAAGTTTCCGAGCATGATAGTTGAGTTTCGGGTTCTGGCGATAAGTGTACTGGTTAAGTATTTACGTACCTTGCAAGCGTCAATATGCAATAGCTGATCTGCAAATTAGTCTTACAAGCCCTACATGCACATAAATTGAACTTTATGCGCTCGCTAAGGAAGTATTTGATCGGTCAAGATTAGTATTTGATCGGGCGATGTCATCGGGGAACATCCGTCGTCAAGCAACAATTAGTATGTGCATAAGATGGATCTATTACTAGCAGTGGCACGAACCGCATACAGATGAAAGAAACCCCAGAATGGACATTATAAATTATCACCAGGGGAATATGGTATGATATACTGTAAACAGGTCCTCGTCGAAACCACCTGACAAGAATGTAGAACTTGAAATCTGAGAAAATATTTCATCAAATGAAGATACTATCGGGAGTTTCTCGTATCTTAGATCCTGACCTTTGAAACATTTTATTGCATAGGTTTTTGCTATCTGAAACATCAACTAGCTGAGATTAGCTTTCCCAGTGTCTCTGGAGAAGAGCATTATAGTTTTCCAAGAGCTTTAGCTGCCATCTCTACTTCCTGGTCCAGACTATCAAACAACCCTTTTTGTTTGGCTCCCCAACCCAACTGCCTGGCCCTCTCAGCCTTTCCTCGGGAGTTGCTACCCCACTCCAAATGACCAGTGGGGGCAAATGTCTTGACTTCTTCTGGAGTCAATGATTCGACAGTGTTGTCCTGGATCAACCCCTTCTCTTTGCAGATATTGGCAATTGCCTGGGAAACCTCTCCCCAGATCTGAGTTCACCGGAATATTAGTAATCATTACAAAGGAAAAAAGAGAACAGAGAGATTGACGTACATGTTCACCATTCTCAGCAAAGTAATAGTTCTCGGGTCCCCAGGTAACTCTTCCCCCATTCGGCTTCAAAGCCTCCTCAACGAGCAAGACGTAAAGATCCGCAAGATCAAGGACATGAACATGGTTCCAATAGGTTTCTCCCTTATTGACCTTGAATCCTTTTCCGCGCTCGATAGTCCACCTAGCAAGCTGGGGTATCTGCCAGCTGACCTTCTTTCCCGGCCCAGTTCCGAGACCATAAATACAGCACGGGCAAATGATTGCAATTTTTTTGCCGGATTCGAGAACAACTTTATCGACATCTCTGTGCCACGCGTCATCGGGGAGAGAAGTAACTTCAGAGACGCCAGTTACGTCGCTGTAAACCTTGGTTCCAAGATGGGTACCGAAGCCGTGCTCTTTCCAGTCAAGAATGATAGAGGTGCCCGAGGTGTGAATCAGATAGGCAGAGTCGGAAAGTGCGGCAGTGATTGCACGAGCAGAGGCAACATGATCATTATTGGCAGCGTCTATAAAAGTAGAAGAATGTTAAATACTAACGCACTGAGGAAAGCCTGAGAAAAAGCAAGGAAAGGTAGGCGTACTGATGACGATATCCGCTTTTTTAGTTTCTTCAGTGATGTCGGGACTATAGAAGAATTAGATTCAAAATCAAAACTTCTAAAAAAAAAGGCGGAGTAATACCAATCCAAATCACCAACGACGGCTCTTGTGTTGGAGTATTGAGCAGTGATCTTCTTGGCTGCCTCAGGTGAACGCACAAGCACAGCGTACTCGAACTCTGGATGTTTCTCATAAAGTGAATTGAACACTGTTCCACCGATGTAACCGGTAACTCCGGTACTTAATTATACGGCTACTGTCAGTGTTGGATTATTGAAGATATCGAGGAAAGACACCCACAGGAAGACTTTGGTTGGCATTCTGATTTTGACTGGGTTTGGATAAAAGGTGTGTATCACACAAAGAAAGTGAAGTTCGAAAGATTTATAGGATAGCAAGCTAGGTTTGATGATTGATGATTGATGATGGAGAGCTTGATGGGGACTTGCAGATCTGGATGGATGGTGGTGGAGGGAGATGGAGAGGTGAAGAAAGTTGGAGAAAGGTTGAGGCGTGTGGTGGTGGGTATGGATAAAACCGTCCAACGCAGCCAGATTCTTATTTCGCCGATCCACACAACCAATGAATCAAAAAATTCCTTGACATAAGATAATTAATTAGCAGTTAAATATAGGATGGTTTTCCAATAGGTACATATAGGATGACAAATGTCATGTCTCGAGTGATTTTGTATGGACTCTAGTTATGTCGCATTGTAGACTAATCAAGCGAAACAAGGCATGCTCGAGGTTATCTAACTTAAAAAGGCGTATCAATAGCAAGTACCTACATGTAATAGACTAGATAAGGGAATTTGCATGCATGATTATGCCAAGAATAAAGAAAAGGGAATGCAGTGGGATCTTCTTGTGTAGCTGTAAGGCGCTGGCAGGGTTAGGGTTTGTGTATATGTTGTAACTGCCGCGTTCGCCCACTTTACCCCACAACAATGACATTTACACATGCAAATACGAGCCTTTTCGTCTGTCCATACAGCGAGAGGGAAAATTATTGTAGAAACAGGGGTCTAAAAACAGGGTTTCTATGGCTGGGCAAGCCAATAGGACTCTTCCCATACTTCTACCTCACGCTGTACATACATATATGGAGTGGCGCGGATCTGCCGTACAAAATAGACATTTGCATTTTCTGGTTCATATTCTTGTAATCAAGTACGTATGTTTGATTCTGCATGTTTATGAAGGGGAGGCCACGGATGGCATAAGCCTTCCGCTAAATAAGACTACCTGACGTAGTAGACTCAAAATTTACTGATGGAGGATGCTTGAGGGCTCCAAATCCCCTAATATATTTACAGTCTAGGGTATGTTTAAAAAGTGCTTTCATAGGATGCAGAATTCTAGCACAAAATGCAACACAGATGCCGCGGCAATGCTAAAGTAAAAAACCAACATATGCCATCAGGCCACTATACTACTCGTAGTTTTTTGGCGTTTCCGGACGCAACTGCTATTGCATACACAGAAAAAACTCGCCAAGGCTATCTTTTGTATGGCATGCAATAGCAGTTGCGTCCGGAAACGCCAAAAAACTACGAGTAGCAGATATCAATATGCGACTGAAATAACGAGACACATCAAGGATAGAAGGACTACATAATAGATGCTCATGACTGGCCTACGGCTAGTTTTTTTTATATATCAAAGTGAATTGTTTCTAGGTACAATGACCTACGGCTAGTTCTGATACTTATAATAGATATGACTATTCGACTAGCTCAAGCACCTAAAGTCACTCCGCTTTGGAGGTGTATGTCTGCCTCACCACATGTACCCACTCCTCGCTCCACCATAGAAGTACTAAGATCTGTGACGCCTTGTGACTATTGTAACTTTAATATCCATTAATCTCTACCAGCTCCTAATGACACGGATAGCACAGTGCCTAAGATGGTAATGTCGGTTTTTATATGACTTACGTATCTAGCTTCAGACTCGAAGGGCAGAATTCAACAATTGCATCAAGATGCTGCTATAAGACTGTAAACCGCTTATTTTAATAGAATTCTTTGAAATCCCCGTGACCTTTGCCATTACATATGCCAGTGTTCATAAATCGTGATTGATAAGGACAGCTACCTGAGATTTAGAGGGTGTAGCGAAAAGTGATGTAGTATGTCGATGTTACAGCTCAGAAAACAAAATTAGCCACTTCTTCCAAGCTGTTCTGCACTAGTACTACTGTATCCAACGAAGATTATTTCTTGATCTCACAATATATTGTTTGCGTACGTGTAGCTACCGCGCGGCGCGTTCTAATACGTACCATTGTTTCCAAATGAAATAAACACTGGTACTATATGTACTACTGTAACCTCGCACCCATAAATCTCCTACTTAGCAACAAGCTGCTCGCACCAGTAGGCTGTCCTGATTTCCGATGCAGTGGGTACATGAATGTACTGTACCTACATGTACATACATGTAGTTTCAGACGCTCTAGCATAATGTGGCGTAAGCTACAACTCTTCCTATACACGTAGATGTAGGTACGAACCGACAATATTAACATTGAGCTTCTTGTCCTTACATTGCCGATGCCAATTACATCACGTACTTTGATCAACCCCTCCCGGCCCTCGGAACCCTAATTTATATTTGCCGTGAAAGATCAAATTCAAACTTACTACTTGCATCGACGCGCGCTCTCTTATGTCTTGGAAATACGGAGAAGATGCATCTAAGCGTGATCTTACGTACCCAATTTACGGCCGGCGTGGAATCACACCCACAAAATGGTCCAGCACCACCACCGCGCTTATCACCGGCATTTAAAAGCTTATTTAATTCTTGGTGTTACATACCCCAGGTTTTAAGGCAATATTATCTTTTGTCTAATGCCCGATTACCCCGCCAGAATGCAACATCTGGAAACGCAATTTTGTGTGCTTCGCAAAAGCAAAACATCTTGATGGCTTGTGAAGAGTCTGTCTGTGCGTTCATGGGGACAGCATTATAGGACATGTATTTGTAAGCCGTCTCATGCATGAAAGTTCACATGCCCTGCTCACCCCCCCGTACATCAAACTTATATGTTTGATATTAAGTTAACAGTTTAGCGTATAGCGATTCCTCCTAATATAAACATCATGATATCTCACTCGGCGCCTGCATTATGGTGCTCTTCCGTGATGGAAGCGAGTGAACTTGTCTTTACTCAAAGATGGCGGAAGACCAGCTTAGGCCGAGTGATGCCTCCATCATGGAGGTACATACTTGTACCCCGGACGAAGTTGCCAAGGCCTGCCAAGACGGTTCACAAAAACGAATTCGAACATTACGCCATCCCTTTCGTTGGTTTCATGACGAACGCCAAATTTGAAACGTTCTATCTATTTTACGGCTAGGTTCTACAAAATTAAGAACTGCAACAACTAAGATAGCTAGTGCATGCAGACTAAATTTCGTTCTGAAAAGCTAATGTTTATGTTTGCCTAGTAGAACGGTTACCTTATTTGCGATTTGCAGATAGCATAAGAGAGCGAAACGATCGCATAAGCCTAAGGAGATATTAAGAATCGGCCATCATTCACTACCTGAGCGGGTCTGAACATTCGGTAACGCAATTACTCGTGTGCGTGGATGTATGCACTCATAGACTGGAATTGGTTCAGCTACGCTCGCGTGGGCTTTCGGAGTGATATTTCATGATCGAGCGCCAAATGAAATTCACTCGATGCATATAATAATGACAGCAAAGATTTCGCGAGATTCGAGACCAAAAATAATAGAGTTCTGTGTACGGCCCTCACTGATTATTTTTTTAAGTCAAGTTAGAGAATCTCATGATCTCAGATTAGGTCCTTGAAAGTCGTTATATGTGAATATCGACTCGCTGGCTTGAATCAGCCAAGAAACTTCAATTGTCGGGTTTGATATGGAAACTATTATGGGGAGTTTATTGTGCTCGGCGAGGAAACTTCATTTGTTTCGACTCTGTGATTGTCTGTTTCCTCCAGCATATTTCAGCGACAAAGAGGAGAGATAAATATCTTGATATCCACTTTTTCTGCAGAAATTTCAACTTTCGAATACATAAGAAAATATTCAATCTAGAACTAAAAATCTCAGTAAAAGAAAGAAATTATCATGACTGAGCTCCAGGATAGTCACAACTTCCTTCTTCCCGAAGAGTTTTTCCAATCTGTGAAGCGAGGGGAATTCAAGTCTCCTACAAAAATCATTTACAACCCGGAGGATAATCTTGCTGGGAACCCGGTCATCAAAACTAGGGTTCTCCTTCGCTTACAAGTAGGTGGCCAGGAAGAGCAGCCATTGTTCTTATTGCAATTCGCTCGTCCAAAGGTCTGGAGAATCAGGTTTGATCCGGAAAGTCTTGCTCCAGAACAATACGACGACTACAATTCGTATGTAAACCCTTGGTCTACTCCTACTCCTGCCTAACCACTCGGGAATTGGTTCTTTTAGTGTTGTAATTCAACTAAGTAATGTAACTCTTTTAGTCGTACCATAATCTCGGATACATTGTCAAATCTCATCAGAATCCTCGGTTGTGCTGAAAATATCGTCTGGCGTACCAAATTCGATGCAGGATCCGACCTGGACCCCTTCTACGTTTTTAAGGTATTATCTGAAAGCTCCAAGTATGAAAGGAAAAAATAAGTCTTTGATCAGGGTTTATCCTAGTGCAATGTTAATAAGTATTTGAACAGACCGTTCAATATCCCACCAAGAAAGACCTGAAGGCAGGTATCAATGGGAGAACTATAACTGAGCTCAACATTTATAAGAATGAATTTAAAATTGAGGTTAGAAAATCAAGCAGGGACCTTGAAGGTTCAGTAACGTGGTTATTTTCAATTCCGTTGACTAAATCCGTCAGACTGTGCGTTCTATCGAGGAATCGGGCCTAGGAGATCCTCCTGTTCTTCAAGGAGCTACCAGCAAAGCCGTATTCAAAAGGAAAGTAGTTTGGGAGACTACTGGAGCCGGCTTGTCTTGGAAAAAAACCGGGGCTGCCAACGCTACTCTTTTGACAGCCAAGAAACCCGGCTATGCACGCTACCTCGGTGAGCTTTTATTGTAAACCCATCGGTGTTTAAATTTCTAGATATATGCTCTTTTTAGTTTTGAAGCGCTGACTATATATTCAAGGCTGGGGAGATCGAGAGCAAGGAGGGGAGGGGTTCTCAAAGAAGAGCACACTCATGAACTACTTTAGTAAGTTAAATACTCTCAACATATTGAGTCGACTGTATAAAACTATCGTGGGTAGAAATCAAGAACTAATACTTAATCAACAGACTTCGACAACATGACTTATAGCAGTGTCTACAATCAAGGGCCGCTTGACGAGCGCGAACCATTATACCACTCCGAGCCATTTTGGTTGGAGGTCAATGGGCTCCCGAATTACAAGAGTCAGGTTGCGACCTTTCTAGACAATTATTCTCAGATTTGCGTTAATTTCAGCCTAAATAATCCTTAACAAATCAATGTTGGAACGAGATTTGGATCTTTGCAATATTTCGTTTTCGCAAGCGATAGCATTGCTGATATCATCAGGTAGGTTCTTTATGATCCCAGACAGACGTATATACATTTCATTCTCGAATCCTGGATTCTAAGCGGCGTATTTAATAAATTAACACTACTAACTACATCTTTTCACCCGAAATAGCCTCTACAGCTCGGTCATGGAACGCGCTCGTCTCAAGCCTAGATATGTTCTTGGCCATCATCAAGGATGTGAGTATGATGATTACCTCTCCAACTCACCAGACTCTAATGTGCCTTATCATACCAGATTACGGCTATGATACTCGCAAGAAGGTTCTAAAATTTGCGCATGCCTACAAAGACAGAGATACCCCATTGGATGGGATCCACATCGATGTTGATCTACAGGTACTCTTGTATCAACCTCCGAGAGATCTCACGAGCTAATTACTGACTGACTGTAATCTTTATTCAGGATGGCCTACGTACATTTACTATTGATGTGGATAGAAAATTCCCGAGACCTAAGGAAATGTTTGATGAGCTTCGGAGCAGGGAGTTAAATGTAGCACAAACATCACTCCTGTAATCAACCTCACGCCAACAGAGACTTATAAAACGCTCAATGAAGGCCTTGAGAAAGGGTAATACATCCCATCAATCATTTTAATTACTGTTTTCTGATAAAAATAGGCATTTCATCCTAGATAAGCGATACGATGACGGAAATGGTGTCATTCCTCCGCATGAGGTTGAATATGTGTGCTACGAGAACGGAATCAAGCTAAATATCGATCCAGTCAATGAGATGGGGCAGTTTCCCGGGGCTGACTAGTAAGTTATGCCAAAAATATTTCTCTTGCACCAAACTCTAAGTGTTTGTGATAGCAACTTTGTGGAATGGTACAATAGTGGGAAGCCATATCGTGGGGGAGTGGGTTATGGAGGCACACTTGGCGCGGTAATTATATAATTATCTAAATTTACAGGTTCTAGGGATAGATGAACTAACGAGATATCTCTAGCCGGGCATTATCCAAACCTTAATAACGCTGCGACTAGAAAATGGTGGGGGATGCAATACCAATATCTATTTGACCAGGGGCTTGAGTTTATTTGGCAGGATATGACTACCCCTGCTATTGCAAAAGAATATGGCGACATGAAAGGGTAATATTACTACTCGGGTTATATGTTTATGTTGCTAATCTTACTAAAAGACTTCCCTTTCGCCTCATGGTTGATTCCGATTAGTGGTCCGGTGAAGCCACTGAACCTATGAAACCAGCCCTTGGGATCTGGGCGCTTTACAGTTAAAACTTACACAAGGCTACGTATGAGGGACTCAACGCTTTAAAAGGCCGCGAGAATAAACGCAACTTTATCATCGGCCGGGGGAGCTATGCTGGGGCACACAAATGGGCTGGCTTGTGGACTGGAGACAATGCATCAACCTGGGATCATTTTCAAACTTCTGTAAACCAGGTTCGTAGTAACCCATAGTGACCCCTTAAGTATGTTTCAAACTTACTAATGACTTGTAGGTTTTATCTTTGGGTATATCTAGTAATGAAGTTATTAGTACAGATATTAGAGGTACATGCCCGCTGCAGGTTTTGCAAACGAAGGGCCCAGATATGCAGAACCGGAGCTGGTCATTCGTTAGTACTACGCGTATTCGTTACTTCCTTAGTTCCGGCAAGTTTTATCGCAGAAACCTTCTGTAGAATAAATATATCTATTTTTCGAGGCTTTGGATACTGACCTAGTCCCAGTAGTCATTATCATAGAAAGAGAAGGATGAAGTTGTTCCAAGAACCCTACGCCTTCACAGACCATTACAATTCCAACCCGTCGGTGTTCCAGAGCAAGATAAAAGCATGTGATTAGCCGTGGAACCTGTCTGCCGTTATTATGTCCAGCTCCGATACAGCTTGCTGCAGCTCATGTACGACGCGGTGTTTGAGCACCAGTTCTACGGATTGCCCATCGTTCGAGCTCTTCTGATCACCGACAGCGAAGATACCTCTCTGTTCACCGATGTAAGTCTTAATTTGACTCTATCAGTATCCCTGGATTTAAAAGCTAGGTACTGATGCAACCTGTTAAGAATGACTGGGCACTTAGCAATGAATGTGTGGTCGGTCGGGATCTTCTTGTCGCTTCTATCATGCATAAGCAAGATGAGAAGGGGGGACATCGTTCAGTATGTCTTCCTCAACAGCATCACTGGTACAGACTGAACCTTCGTATTGACGGGTCACTCGGTGTACCACTCGGGCCGAAAATCGCAGGCGGTACTAAGTTCGATGTTGACGCAACGATTTCAGGCGATGAATCATATTTTCCGTATATTGCACGATGTTTGTGAGAGGAGGTAAGACCAAGCTTGCATCGAAGCTGTATGATATAGTTAACTGACTTTATCTGCCTTTGAAACAGGCGGGATCATTCCACAGATTGAAGTCCGTCAATCTGCTGACGACAAATCCAAGGTTAACCCGGTTACCTTACATCTATACCCAGGGGGCAAAAAGAATGTAGGTTATCAGAAGGTTATCAGGTGAAAATTATAAGGAGGTGAGGATCGAACAAGTAAGGACAAGTCACTCCACTTACTGTATGGGAATCTTACAGACTGATCAATACTGATCTGTGTGAAGGAGTGGGACGTCGCAGACTTGAATCGTACCATTACAATCACTACTCTCTGGGATGGATATCACCTTGACAGAGTCCAAAAGGATATTGGGGATCACTACACGGTTATCTGACACGATGCGTATACCGATATAACTGAGAAATACTCGGAGATGGTGGCTTCTAGAATTCTGGTAGCACAGCGGCGGAAAATAGAAACGATATTTCTTCCAAGGCAAGCGTGGTCATGGTTCCTGTCGATATCCCACAGGGTACAGGAACGGTTATCATAAGCGTCGCCTACTAGGCCGCACGAGCAGACAGTCGGGCATCAAATGCCGCAAGAGTATCTGATAGAGTTCTATGCTTGTTTTTCTACTGTTGGTGGTTTTCTTATTTAAAATTACCAAATTCCATGGCCAATAATGTTCAGTTTAGGGACCTGTAGTATGTTTCTACCTTCAAATATCCAGAATAGTAGTAAGCAAGTCTTTATTCTGAAGAACTATAGCACTTGGTCGTGAGGAGCTTGGAACCTTATTGGTGCAATAATCTTAGCGACAATATCACGTGTGTTCAAAGACGTGAACATATACTTTCAACATTAACAACGGAAACGACCCAAATAGTGATTTATTGGTTCTATAATAGCAACGCACATTCCAGGATGAGTGAATCAGACAATAGAAAAAGGACCTGATATTAGTAGTTCTGATAAGTTCAACGGGGTATCTACATGCGTCCTGCCTCCCTGTGCTGAATACATAGGCGCGAGTGATGTCCTATGATCAATTATTGACATGAGTAACTAGCAAAACAAGGACCAGACCGGCATTGTAGTATTTCCAAAGAGCTACATGTACTTTCGATTTTAAAATTCGGCTCTATTCAATAGGTCCACAAAATATTCATAGCAACTTGTTCCGGCCAAGCTAAATGGCCAATTAATGGTTATCATGAACATCTAATCATAAGACTTATAGAATGCCATGACTCTCTGATTACCGGGCTTGGCATCATATGCGCAGAGGAACGAATTCTGGGAAGGTGTTGACAGTGTTCTACCAAACTCTGCAGAGCCTTTCCAAGGGAGAGATTTCGAGATTCATTATCCAATGTTGCCTACCATCAAAGGGGTATAATTGAACCCTAATAAACACCAAAAACGCACTAAATAGAGGCCTCCCCTGCAAGCAAAGTTGAATTAATATACGGTATCTCAGTCGTAAAACATAATTAATTTTCAACGAATAATATCTCCTTAGGATTATCTTTTAGATAAATATTTACTCCAGTCACAAGCTATATTGTCAATTTCAACATTCAAGTCCCGATCTTGAATGGTTGATCCCACACCACCATCACTAACTCCATCCCAGTGACCATCGATTCCAGGAACGCACTCATCCGCTCATCGCCTGCCACATCCATCTGCACATGAATATTCCGATAACTCACATTCCTATCTGTGGAATATATCTTTCTTTCCTTCTTCTTATCATCTCTGTCCTTCAATTTTGTCTCCCAGTCCAGCTCCATCACACCCGGGACATCAGCGGATGGATAGAAGCTTTGGATTCGGAGATTGTACAGCATTAGCCGTGTATCCAGGAACTCCTCGTTTTGGCCAGTAAAATCCATGTCGAAACTTAGTGCTTCCTTTGATTTTACAACAAACGGAGAAGTCTTTTTAAAACCAATGGGGGTATCTAAACAGCTCAATGAATCATTGCTTTGATCTAAACGGTATTGGTAGGTGGGTGCGAGCGGTGAAGTGATGGGATTCGGAGAAGAGGGAGAAGAGGTGGAGGTAGCAAGGGTGTAATGGTGCGCGGTAGCGTTGTTGGTTTTGTCTTCGAGTTCCCAAAGGATGATTGCTACTTCTTCCTCTTCTTCTTCTTTGCGCCGGGAGACTTTAAACGGAGTGGTTGAGATCCTCGACTCTTTAGGACACTCTGCCTTCTTCCTCCCCACGAATCCGCCAACTGGGTCGTTCGATGACTCGTTTACAATTTCAAAGACCCGGAAGTGTGAAATATAGCCCCAATCTCCTTGATAGTAAAGCCATCTCCTGAAATTATTATTCCTCTTATCATCACCTACCACCACAACCTTATCACCAATAAGAAGAAGCTCTACCATTAGACCCATCCCCTCTAGAGATCCGCTCGGCACAGTTTTAACCACATCTCCAGTCGCTACATCCCACACACATAATTGCCTCTCCCCGCCTGACGACGACCTTGAGTACGCCGCATAGTAGCAGCGAGATAGATCGCTGAGTATCTGGTAGGAATAGTCGATATATAAAAATTCGAATGTGTCGATAGTGCACATCATCGTTGCCTTCAGCTCATCGCCGTCTTCATTATAGTTCAAACGGTAACACTCCGTGCTAGTAAAGAAACGGGATCTACCCATCTCTATCACTTCCTCGGAACGTTCAACAACCAACACATCACTGCACACCTTTAGCCTGACCACTAGCCTTGAGAGATCTTCCAATTCAATCTTTCCGGTCTTTATTTTCCTACCGCCGGGAGTGGGGTCGAAATAAACGAGCGACAAGGTTGCTTTCGGAAAATGTGAAGACTGGTAAACCAGAAGATCGGAGGAGAATGTCCATATATACGCATCTCTTCTCGATTTCTTAATTGGGAAATGTAACTCTTGTTGTGGGATTCCCGACTGAAGGGCATTGTAGCGCGCAGAGATGGTGGAAAATGAGGACGGGTTCTGGATGGCACGTGTGCGGACTTCGTAGGCGCGAGGGAAGTGCGTACGAAGTGCAGCAGAGAGAAGGGATGGGCAAGTAAAGGTCGCGTGCCAGGATCTGCAGACCTTTTGGCAACGGGCTATATCGCGAGGTGTTAGGTATGGGACAAGGTGGAGCGCAATATGAAGAGGAAGAAGATCAGACATTGTTCCCAGGCTTATACCGGATTCTGTGTGTATGTAGAAGATATCGAAATGGATATCAAGTACTCAGGGCTAGAGGGGACATATGTAGTGAGCGCGGCTCTCTAGGCAGACACGCAGACAAGCATCTTCGCAGGGCTGATGCTATAGCGCTAGGTAACATACATAATGCGTAGCTTGGATTACGCGGTGAATACGAGGCGAAGATGTAGATCAGACGCCGCTGCGCCACAAAGATTAGATTACAGATCTCTTATCGCTATCTGTGGTCTTATCATAGATCAGATAATCAATAGTAAATCAATAGACACACCAGGTTAGCCTACATGTACAGAGCTACAACAGCTCCAGTGTTGTAATCGCTTGGCGGCCCTAGCGCATGTATGTCACTATTACAGTGGGTGTTTAAAGTTAACTCCACGTACCAGCTTTCTCATCGGGGAAACCAGGGGGAACTTTGTTCAGTCGAACCCACCTTCCGTATTAGTCAACATAACTACATGTAGTTTCGAACACTTCCGCATAACCATACGAGTACTAGAGGATACTGTTATTAGTTTAAGCCCTCTTCGGACGCACTTGGTATTCGACAATCTGTGGTAAACTCTCTTGCACAGTATCTGCACTGAGATCTAAATAAAGCTGAGTATTATCTAAACACAAGAGTGTTCGGAGCCGAAATATTGCTGGGTAGAGGCATGAAGATACAAGACAACCATGGGAATAAATACCCCAGAGTATTTGTTGAAACCATAGTATTTTGCGGGTTTTCATGCTATCAAAACCATCTTGCTTGACACACCTTATTCGGGATAAAAACCATGGTATTGAGATCCGTGCGAACAGAGCCTAGAATCTCACTATTTGGTGGCGTGCAAACTTGTTCAATAAACATACAGTGAAGTCCGTTCGTGCGCTACTGAAGGTCAATATCCTTTATTCAATGCGGAATAAAATTCCGTTCTCTTCTGCGAGTAGATGTATGTGACTATCACAAACGCGTAAAGAGATTCTGTTTCTCTGCGGAGTTCTGTCTTCGATCGATATGTATCTCCTCTCGTATCTGAGTGTAACTCCGTCATACACTTTGCCGTTGTGACTTCGGGCGACATATTCTTTATTTATTTCTTGAACTCCTATCTTCCGCAATATTCCTCTCTCCTTTTCATTACGTCTTGACATACCTTCCAAATGTCTAACACAGGTTCCTCCAACCCGCTCCAGCACCCGATCCAAGCTGTGGCTTCGGCCATGGGCGTAGCTGGCGCAGATCCGCGTCCCACTCAAAGGACTACGCTCTTCCAGGGCGCCAATGATGGGCCTGCCGTGACCGCAGCGAAAATCACTGGCGTTACTGAGGGTGGAAAGAAAAAGGATGATGCCCCTTATCACACTAACAATGAAGGTATCCCTTGGCCTGATATTGCACATAGTAAGAATGTGGGTGGATTGCCGTTGGTGAGCGATACCTTTTTGTTGCAGAAGCAGCAGACGTTCAACAGGAGCAAGACTTTGGAGAGTGAGTAATATTGTTTCCACTCTTGTTGAGATAAAGCGTCGTCTTCTAAGGAGATTGATATTGATCTGATGGAATGTAGGAATGGTGCACCCCGCTGGTTCAGGGGCGTTTGGATACTTTGAGTGCACTAAGGATATGTCGCATCTCACTAAGGTATATACACCTAACCCTGATTAACCCTAACCCTTTCAAGCCGGCAAATTGCCAATCAGGAAAGAATGCTAACAAACCTCATAGGCAGGTCTTTACACTGAAGTCGGGAAGAAGACTCCAATTTTCATTCGCTTCTCCACCGTCACCTTTGGCAAAGAGTTCCCCGACTCTGGTCGAAATCCTCGTGGTTTCGCCATCAAGCATTACACCGAGGAGGGTAATTACGATATCGTTGGTCTTAACTGGGTATGTCCAAGAGGTTCTATCCTTTCTTGAAAAAAATCTGATATGGTGACCTTATAGCCGATCTTTTTTTTGCCGTGACCCAATTCAAGGACCCGATGTGATCCGTTCTCAGCAGAGGAACCCGGCAAATTTTTTGCTGGACTATAACAGCTTATTTGATTTCTTGGCAAATGTCCCTGAGAGGTATACGGTTCTCCAAATATACTTTGAATGGAGATAAGGGTTAACAGGACGAATGGGTTACAGTAATCACGCGGGCATGATGTTCTTCAGCAACCATGGAACCCCTAAGGGATGGAGATACGAGCATGGTTATGGATGTCATACTTTCAAATGGTACGTCTCAAGATATCTCCATGCTCTTTTTTGCAATTAGGTTTAGCTAATCCGATACTGATATTAGGGTTAATAAAAATGGAGAATTCGTCTATATTAAGTACCATTTCATTGCAGACCATGGCCAGAAGCAGTTTACCTGGCCAGAGGCTATTCGTATGTCTGGTGAGTATTCAACTTCAATTTCACTGTTCTCATTGGATGTTACTGAGAAAGATAAGGCGAGGACCCCGACTACGCTAAGAGGGACCTCTGGCAGGCCATCGAGAGAGGTGAGAAAATTACTTGGACCGCTAAAGTCCAGATTATGAAGCCCGAGGAGGCCGACCCTGTCAAACTTGGGTTTGACCCCTTTGACGTGACCAAAGTTTGGCCTAGAGGCAAATTCCCAGTTCGTATACCCTAGATATTTCATCACCCTTTAAACAGTACTGAAGTTTGAGAGTAGATGCAAGATTTTGGTAGACTTGTTCTAAACAAAAACCCCGAGAACTACCACCGTGATGTCGAGCAAGCTGCTTTCTCGCCTGGCAGCATGGTTCCCGGAATCGAGGACAGCCCTGACATGCTACTCCAATTCCGCACATTCTTCTACCGTGACGCGCAGTATCACCGCCTCGGTGTAAATCTTCACCAGGTCCCCGTCAACTGCCCATTCATGTCGCAGTCTTACTCTAGCATTAATTTTGATGGCCCCCTACGTGCCGACGCCAACACCGGTGGCAACCCACACTACGTTCCCAACAGCTTTGATAACCGCTACCGACCTGACACCGCCGAAGCGCCATATCAAGTTGCAGATGCTGTTGTCTCCCGCCAGGGACACCACTACTCTGAGGGGACTATGAAGGAGTATGAACAGGCGCGGGAGCTCTACACTCGTGTGATGAGCCCTAAGGAGCGTGCTGATCTACACATCAATACGGCGGGAGTTCTGAAATTGGTTGATTATGAGGTTATCCAAGTGAACTACCTTTCGCAGTGCCATTGCATTGACAATGGATACGCGAAGGCAATCTATGATTTATTGCCTGAGAGGAGGTTCGACTTCCAGCAGGTTGTGGACGCTTCAAAGACTGCAATGTCCCGCGGAAAGGAAAAGAAGTTTATGCCGTTTGCTGAGCACCACCGTTTGGTCGGAGGAAAGCCTACTCTCCCGACTTATGGGGCGTAGAGAGGGAATATCTGGATATATACATACATAATCACTTATATACATAGGGAGGGTTTTCTTTTTGTGCGTTGAATAATATAGCAATGGTTATCTAAAAGTGCTGTGTTTTTCGTCATCTAGATCTACTACATGGGATGGGTGAGTTTTTCGGAAATCTAAATACTTGAACACAAGCTGCAGGCAAATTAATCTTGGAGCGACAATGAGAGAGATCTTCTCATAAACGCAATGAACCTTACCTGTTTCGTTCTTTGATTCCGTTCTGGTTTTCATAGGAAATCTGGAGATCCTCATTCCGTTCCTGAATTATAACTGCTCGGCTAATGAAACGCCTACATGGAATGAGCTAACGATTGAATCATGATACCTCACTCGGCCCCCATCCCCCTACTCTGCAAAAAGCTAGGAAATAACAGGATTTAAATTCAGCTGAATCGATCGAAACAATTTATGCATGCACAGATAGCTGTTCATGAAAGACGTTGTCGTTTCCCGAGCCAACCACCCAACCCTAACCCTCACTTCCCTGCGTCAACCCTGGTCTATCTCACGAATAGGCCAATGATCAGTTGCGCACGCACACCACCGGATCGCAGGGGATGGAAACATAATTAACTGATCGCTAAGATTCCCGACAGGTAGGGCTAAGGAATCGAACCAACGATAGGCTTCTTTGTGGCGTTCGGCTCGGCCCGTGCACACGATCTTTTTGGTCGCCGGATATATATATCTAAATCCAGCTAATTGGATCTGATCGATCATATAGGGCGAGATTCACATACCCATGAAAAACGGATAAAACCTCCATGAGGCCAGACTGTAAGCCTTATTATAAACTGGAATATCTCAAATAACCAAGGAAACAGGAACGTGTGCACATATCCGGTCTGTTCTGGGAGTTGAGCCACCCGGTAAGTTCCACGAGGAAACACGAACGGAATACTACGGGATTCTAGACTGTTTTTCATAATTCCACGAGCCGCGTCTAGACGAAATATCACTTGACAAAGGGCTAGGTAGAGTACATGTAGTGTATGTATACATGTACAGCATGTACACGCACGAACTGTGAATAAATTCGTTTTTCTAAACTGTTGTTCTTCGAGCAAGACATGTTCTCACCTACCATAAACAACTCATGTGTGATTTTTTATTTTTTATTTACAGAGCCCTGGTGGCAGCTCCTCCACAATTTAATATATGTACCCCCTAGTGAGTAGTCTAGGAGGAATTAAAATTGGGCTGCTTATGCCAGGTGGCTTCCAATATTACTACTCCACACATCAAAATCGAATGGTACTTATTGGCATGCCCTGTGAATGGAGTACCGGCCTTGAGTTCATTTGTAGGCCTACTTTCCTGGAATTGGGTCTTATTGGCTAACTGTTCTGTGAAACGAGATGCCCAAAACACAATGTCATATATCAGTATGCACCCTATTACACCATCACCGTTATTGATCCATAGAGTCGATACGGTAACATTGTGCAACACCACGAACTCAACTATCACGAGCGGGGTTAACGCGTTCTCCACATCAATGGAACGAAGTGGTGTGCCTAGTATCAAGTACGTGCACTCATCTTCGATGAGTGATCAGTAATCATCGCGAAATGCCTGTAAGCTGATATCAATGTACAAAGAATTGCTCGTGTACAACAAATATCCAGTCCATATGTACTTTAAAATAGCCCTCCCATCGTGGAGGAAAGGGCACTGCATCTCAAGAACAGCTTTCTCATCGAAACGAAACAATGTGTTGGTGCTGGCCCTGTCGCAGTCCCTGTATCTCCGTAGAAGAGGTTGATCCTTCAGAGAAATCGTATTACAGAGCCCGTCCTAATTCTAAGCATGGTCTATACGCACAATCTACCAGTTCCAAGAAGAGCAAATATCTCTCCTCCGTGAGTAGTGTTAGCTCTGATGGAAGCTCAAAGGCATCAAGCTTGCCAAAGAGTTCCTCAAAACATCACATTACCCAAAATACCACCATGACCAAGACCACGACCACCAATAGCCTTAGTACGCAGCAGGCCCCCGAGAAAGTTCAAACGAAACACAATTCTCATTCAATCAACGCTGATATTCCACCAAGGCGGAGGCCCGAGACAGCTCCTAATGGAGACAAGAAATCATCTCCATCGAAATCCCAACGTGGACGAAACTCATCTACTTCTAGTAGTGAGAGATCCTCTCGCTCAAAGTCACGGCGGGGAAGAAACCCATCCACGGCGAGTAGCCAGAGGTCATCCCTTTCAAAGTCTCATCGAGAAAGACATACATCTACTGCCAGTAGTGAGCGAACAAGCTCATCGAAAACTCTGTACTCAGCAAAGCCAAAGTCGTCACGCGGTAGAAAGGATATCGAGATAGATCCTGCCATAACGAAGAAGGCAATCTCGGAATCTGTTTCGTCTGGATCCTCTACCTTGGTTGAATCAGAGGAAGAAGGCATTTCTACGAAAAATCCTTCATCAGAGACACTTCTTGATGTGTCCCAGACTTCTCCTTCTCCTACGCCCTCACTACGTCGCTCCCGACGTAAGCTCGAAGGAAAATACACCATCTCGGATGGAAGAGCGGAGGATGCAATAACTGTGACTATCACACCCAGCGTTGCTATGCACGATCGAAGAATAGAGAATCCAAGAATGGAGGATCTAAGCATAGAGAGTCCACGAACAAGGAGTCCACGAACAGGGAGTCCACGAACAAGGAGTCTACGAACAGAGTGTCTACGAACAGAGAGTCCACGAACAGAGAGTCCACTAACAGAGAGTCCACTAACAGAGAGTCCACGAACAGGGAGTCCACGAACAGGGAGTCCAAAAGCAGAGAATTTAAGAACAGAGAGTCCAAAAACAGAGAATTCGACAACTGTGGCTATCACAACTAGTACTGCTATACGTAGTTCACCGCCCGAACGAAGGCGTCACAAGCCTACCACTCGGAGTACCCCAACGGGAGCTTTTGATCCAGTAGCGAAAATGTCACAGGAACCCGTAGCTAAAGTGAATGCTCCCGCACGGCGCCAACATCGCACCACCGGGGCTCAAGCTTCTGCCCAAGGGGAACCCTTTAACCCACTACTTGGGATGTCGTTCAACGATCCTTCTGTTACCGAAACTGCCGTAGCAGACCCAGCAGGTAAGATGATGGTTTTCTTTTTGGCTTGAAGGATTAAAACATTGCCTATGTGTCATGTACAACTCCCCAAAAACGTTTCTGACATCTCGTAGCCACATGTACAGATACTGATTCTTCGACTTCATCAACCCGTCGCCTGAAACTGGTAAATGGCCCACGATCCCCGGAGGAATTCCAACAAGACATATCAAGCTTTGTTCAAGCCATGAAATTTAACACATTTTACTCGGAAGACGACCCCTACGTGCAGAAGGTGTCTGACAAAGCGGCAGAACTTGTTAGGAGGAAGGCTACGATAACGTCTGATGATGAGAAGACTTGTATACCTGATGATATAGCCGGAATGGCAAAGGTGGCTCTTTACGACGTCGTTTTTCTCTGTGGTATGCTACAAATCGCGGTAGTTCAAGTCATAAAGGGGTTCCACTAACGCAATTATTTTAGACGATAGCGTCTCGATGCAGCAAGACAGACGAGCACCGGCCTTGCAAGAGATGGTTAGACGTATTGCCAAGATCACCGGATTGTTTGAGACAGAAGGAATCAAAGTGAGATGCATCAACTCGACGCAAGACGGCGAATTCAACAACATCAGAACTCTAGAGGACGTCGAGGCGGTCATGTCCAAGATAAGGTTCAATGGCACACACACCAGAATTGGAACTAGGCTGTGGGATAAAATATTGAAGCCATTGGTATTTGACAAGATCGACTCAAATAGTCTCACACGACCATTAATAGTTTCAATAATAACGGATGGCCAGGTAAGAATGAATCTTCGAGTACTACTTTAGTTCAAACAGCTAACTGTCTAAATAGCCTTCAGGAGAAGAACAAGATGCCTTCAGAAATACGATTGCGCAATGTCGAAGAGAATTAATGAGGCGTAGATATGACCCTTCCCGTAAGCAATATACTCTCCATATACAGTCACTAGATTCCTCGTTTTAACACTATGGATACTCCAGTTGTCGTATTTCAAGTCAATCAAGTCGGGAATGATACCCAAGCGACAAAATTCATTCATGGCCTTCTACGATTTCGGAATGTCTATTGCACCTCAGGTCAGTCCGGACCCTATGACCTAATTTTTTTCCTGTCTAACGATTTTACAGAACTCCTTGATGTGAAAATGGAGAGTTTGAAAGGAAATAACCTTCAACTTGAGAACTGGGTATGTGATCGTCTCAAGCAGTACGCGGTTTGGACTATCTTAACTAATTTCCCTCAGCTCGTTACGAGATTGACTCAAGGAATTTCCCCAACACCGGATTCGGACGAATAGAATGGTCCGGGAATATTGCAGCTGCGCTGCAGTACGCTTTGATAACGGTTTTTTTTAATTAATAACGCTCATAGATCTTAAACACAGTCCTGGTGAACCTCCACCGCTAATATTTTCTTTTGTTTATCTCCTTAAGCTTCAAACTGTAATCACCATAATGTTGTATATTACGTTTTTTTATAAATTAATTGACCTGGCGTCTACGTTTTATGATTAATTTATGTAACAATCTTTCTGCTTCTAATTATTTCTGAAACTATTCTCAATGAGACGAGACATCTTTTAAACTTGCCTTAAGACTCTCGAGCCAGCTCTCGACCCTAGCGGCAAAGATATGATATGGTGTTGGGTGTAAGAAACAAAACGGCTAGTTTCAAGCCCCAAGCTTAGCTCCAGAGGGTCTCTCAGGAGGCTCAGCGGCTATCTCGGTTAAAGGCTTTCACATGTAAACCTCTAGCAGCTGGAATTCTTTTACTACTTTCTGTCGTGTGACTAATACCCTATGAATTTGTCCAGTTCAGTTCACATCACGCCAGTACTAGTATTCATTTCATTTCTTTCTTTGTTTACCATCACAACAGACACAGAACAACACATAAAACCCTCTAAATGAAAAAGTGAATGTAAAACGCAAAACCCACAGCCTTGTGGGGGCTGTCCTGAAACCCGGTGTGTCACACTTATGATTGAAATGGCCACTTCACTAATTAAGCGGGCAATCTTGGATGCCTAACTAATATGTACTTACATAACCCAGCTATCTAACCGGTGACACATAACTAGTACTGGCTCCAAATCGAACGACGACGTAAGTATTTACACAATATGTACACCACCCTCACACTGATGTAACTCCTGTATAAGCTGTGTAACTGCCTGGTCTGAGCGACGTGTCAAACAGTAGAGTTGAAACGACCTCGACAGCCTTACTTATGTACGTCTTGATCTCGTATTCGGGGGCGAGGCTTGAGGATCGAAGAAGCATGCATACTTACATGTAGTTGTACTTGTCTGGATATCCTACTCACTTATTAGTGAGGAAGCTCGGAAAGAGCGCTCGGAGGATATAACGACAGGTCCTTTGCATGGTAAACCATCTTTGGAGGTGAGGGGTCAAGTTTCTGGCTGGGTGGATGTGTACTCCGCCGTTCAGTTAGGCCATCGATCGACTTTGTCTACCTACAGACATGACAACAAGCGTGGTACCCGGTCGTATCGATCTGGATATACATATGTGTACTCAGACTTGAACTTTATCGAGGGTGTTCAAGAGTGTCATGAGGTCGACGAATAAGGTTGTGATATCGAGGCCTTCCTGATACTTAACTAATCAGGCGCACCTTCTAGGTAAAGCAGCAGATGACAGTATGATCGCCTGGTACAAGCTGTTACTAAACAACTATGTACCCAGCATAGTGGAAACAACGGGTGGATCGATCCACGGATCCACATGTCAAAGTTAAGTGAGACATACTCAACCGACTGGACGAGGCGAAAGAGTCACGGGTTGAACATGTTTGTAGCACCTAGCGACATATTCTGGACCTTCGAGGCGTCCAGTGGGGGCCAAAAGGTATGACTTGTGTCCAAAGATCCCTTGATCTTGGTACACATATATATAGTAATCAAGCACCCCACACGAGCTTCCTATGGCTGTGGCGCTTGGCCCCCACAAAACAGAGCTACTGTGCCATATTCAACTGACAGCATGTGGATAACCAAGCCGTGTTCAACCGCTGCACCATTACACAGAAACCAAACCGTGTGATCAGGTATGATCAAAAGTGCCGACTCCACTACTACACACATGTCAGAAACTAGTCTCGAAAGTCTATCATCATCATCCGTCAAAACGTCTAAATGCAATATGTCCAAACTACGGAACAATTTGGTATAGCATGCACCCTCCCCCAACCCGTGATCACGAAACGTTATCCATGAACTAGATGTGCCGTGTGGCATGAAGGACCCGGAGATGACCATCTCGAATCCCAGGTTTAGCGCCTTTATAACCATCTCATTAGTCCCCAGTTTCCCCCCACCTATCGATTCAACGCACAAGAAGAAGAAAAAACACGCTTACCTCAAGAATGCCCTTCATCCTCGAATCTGAGATCAGCGGCCTTCGCGCTCTCAAAAAGCATGTCGAGACCTCGCACAGGCCGTTCGACAAATATGTGCCCTACAAGCCCGGGCGCAAGGCTCACTCAGGAGAGATTGTGGTTGAGCGGGAGCGCTGGGAGGAGCTCATGCTGGAGAAGAAGGGGGCGGAGGAGAGGTTGGAGGAGCTTGAGCAGTTGATCGAAGATGCGGAACGTGGTTTAAGAGAGTTGCAGATCATAGAGAGTGAAGAGATGCAGGCGAGTTTTTGGTAGGGGTTGGGGGGGGGAGCGGGAGAGCGCCATGGCGTCATGGAGGTGGTTTTTCGTCGCGGGAAGTAGGCAGTGGGCGCAGGTGGTTATATAGTAATGGCAAAGAAATAGGTGTTAATTCATTATAACAGATGATCGGAAATACGTCTTACCTATGATGTTAGATTTCATGTTGAGCTGGCTAGAAATATTGGTGCGCATCATTCCCGTAATTGCATCATACATTCTCACTCGCATGTGGACATCAGCACTTCTGGATATGTGTCGTTCAAGGCAGTAAGGTCACGGTGTCGGGACAGTAAAGAATCCGCTGTCAAGAGGAATGGTGTCATACTCGGGTTCCTATAAGATCGCTTGTATCAGCTTTAGACATCGATATCAACTGAGAAGCTCTAAGACTCGATCGTCCCTACTTTCAACACCGAGGTTAATATATAATGGTCACCAAGGACTTTTCCCACCACAACACCAATTTGATTTCCCACTGACGAATAGAGAATAGCTAATTGTAAGATGCATCATGTATGACATTTGAAACTATTTACAATTCCACTCTCACACATGCTTTTTTTTTTTTGCACTCAGCGGACCGTTACACCCACCATGCTCCCAAGAAAGAAACACCAAGAAGAAACCGAAAAAGAAAAGAAATAACAAAAGGAAAAACGACAAGTACAATCTACAAACTGTTCTCCCATGCCATCAACTCCTTGATGTTCTCCGCCAACTTCTTCTCCGCCTCAGGTGCCAACCTCTGCAGCGGCTGTCTGGGGTACCCTCCATATCCATAGTAGCTCTGAATCGCACTCTTGGTTCCCGGAATGGCCGTCTTTGTCAAGAACCAATCGCCCTTGGACAGCGCGATCTGCGCCTTCGTCGCCTCCTCAACCTTGCCCTCCGCGAACAAGTTAAACACCTTCACACACGCCTTCGGCGCCACATTGGCTCCACCAGCAATCACACCACTTCCGCCGACCAACAGTCCCTGCAGCAAAAAGTCCGCCATACCCGCAAACGCCATGTACCCGCTCCCCGCATCCGTCGCCGTTGCCGCCTTCTTCGCCAGCGCCACACGCGCAAGCTTCCCAGTGTTGCCACACGTGAACTTTGTCCCGACGATATTCGGGTGTTCCGACAGCCGCAGCAGCAGGTCGCTGTCCATGTCGATCCCCGCAACCGCACCCGGGTAGTTGTACAGCACAATCGGGATCGGGGAGCCGTCGGCCACGCGCGTAAAGTACTGGTAGATGGCCTCCTCGGTCATGGCGTAGCGGTAGTAGCTGGCGGGGATGAGCAGCACCGAGTCACCGCCGGACTCGGCGGCCTCCTTGCACAGCTCGATGGTGCCGCGGACGGACTGCTCGCTGCACCCAACCATGACGGAGACTTCAGGGAAGCCGGCTTCGTCGAGGGCGTCACGGGTGGCGCGGGTGATTTTGCGCTTCTCCTCGCGGTTGAGGTGCACAGCTTCACCGTTGGAGCCCATGGGGATTAGGCCGGCGAGGCCGGCCTTCGCAAGGCGGACGGCGTGCTTCTTGATTGTGGGATAGTCGACGTCCTCGGTGACGGGGTCGAAGAAGGTCATTGTGGGGGCGTAGATTCCGGGTCTGAGAGGTGCCATTTTGAAGATGTGAAGTGGTGGGATATTGCTAGTAGCTGGTTATTTTTTTTTTTTGCTTGAGATGAGATGAGCTGTGGGATGAGATGAGATGGGGATGTGCTGATATTTCGAGTTGGTGGAGTAAGAGATATGAGGGGAGGTTCTTATATCTCACGATGATAACTATTATTCCCCCCACGCACTCCGCTCCCCACCTCTTCTCCCCTCATCGCGGCGGGAAAACCTTCATGCAGCTGCAGTGATGCTTACCTTCCCTCTCTCTCTCTGTCTGCTGCTGTATAACAATTAGCCCGGGTATTCATCCTCATGACCAGCTTCTAGCTATTCTACCCAGCAATTTAGCCTGATAGAATACTTCTTCTACAAACTTCCCACACCCTACAATACATCCAACCCCCGCAGAGAACACCGGCAAATACCAGTAGGTACCTCCACCTACAGACACATATTTTACCTACTTAAAGCCCGCTGCTGCCCCCCGCGGGGGGGGGGGGGGGGGTTGGGCGTTAATGCTTGTTTCTCGCTCGAGCTCGGTGACGGGCACGCCGTTGCTGCGCTGCACAAAACGCCGAAGGAGGACGGGAATTCGGGGTATTGGGGGGGGTATATACGTACTGAGGGCATATATCCTATTACTCACTTAGATACCCTAAATTATTTTATCCGTCAACAAAGCCTTCTGGAAAAAAAGAAGAGAAAAAAAGTTGATTCAGTATGTAATTGCAAGTTGCAAGGTGGATTGTATTACGCCGGAGAAGGTCTGGGGTTCAGCCACTCGGGGGATATTCGTCCGAGGATGCGTTGCTGTGCCGACGTTGGGCCGAGCTAAATACTAGCAATGTCGGGGTTCGGCGGGCGGGGGATTTTGCCCGTCTGCGGAAAAACTAGTATGGGACATGCATCCTGTCTGCTATATATGTAGGTACACAGCTGTGAACGAGAGTGGTGTATGTACTAGTGCTGAGGGTGTTGCAGCGCGGATTAATTAAAGGTACTGTAATTTGCCCGAGAGATCTAGAGCTGAGAGAGAGAGAGAGAGAGAGACACTAGCTAGAGTTGAGATCGTGATGTGAAGATCTTGAGTGGTTTTTTTCTCTTTCTGCTCATGGGAATAAGACGATCGAATGATTTGGGGTGAGTGCTTAGAATGTGTTGGGCGGTGTAGATCGGATGGCTGGAGTGCTCGCGCTCTGATTTAGTCCCTGGGGCCGCTTTCTCTTTGCGCCGTTTGTCTCTGAAGACTTTTGGCACGATCGAATGACTGCAACATATGCCTCAGCTCTTTGGGTCTCTGCTCGTGCAGTTGATGATGACTCTTGCTGAAGGCGCTGAGAGGAAATTCGAAATTCATAGCTCTACGGCACAATGCACTTTTTTGCATAGGATATCACTCACGCCAACAAACACTTTTGCACAAGATGTCACTCATACTCACAAGTACAACCATCTTCACATTGCCCATATCAACAACCATTTTCACAGGCACAATTGAAGCTCAGACATCATATCATTCATTGACTATCTACATATCTCATCACACATAACCCAAAACCCAATTAATTCCACCTCTCTCCCGATCCCATGCACCACCCTACGCCTCATTCTCGGGCCAATAAACAGTATTCGCCGTGCCATTAAACTCCACCAGCTTATCCGTCGTCTCATTATACAGACAATACTTCAAGTCAGTGCCGGTACCAATCCAGTACGGCACAGTCTGCACGTTGTTCCCAATCTCCTTGTCGCAGATGGTCTTGACGTTCTTGAGCTGCGAGTCCTTGATGCGGAACTCGTCGCCAAAGTTCGGGTTGATGATGGCCATGCGGTTTCCGTTGACGGCGATCACGTTCTGCACCGTGGCGTTGCGCTTGGCCTGGTTGAGGCAGTTGCCGCACGACTGGTAGAAGGTGCCGAAGGTGTCGGCGTAGAAGCCCGTGATGTTGAATTTGCCGCCGAGGGAGTTGTCTTGGAAGATCTGGGGGGTGGGTGCATGTTAGTATAAGCTTGGCCGGGGGCTGTTGATAGAATATATATCGGCCGAGGAAGCTTGGGAGGAGGAGAGAATACAAACCTTGTCAGTGGCATTACGGGCACCACCACCGATGACTCGGAGCTGGGTGTTGAGGCCCTTGCTCGTGAGGGCGTCTTCGCAGACATCCTCCCACCACACGTTCTCAACCCACGCATCGCCGAGCGCGTGTACGCCCTCCGCCTGGTGCTTCCCAATCACCACATTCCGCAGCGTCGCTCCGGGGAGCAGGTTAAACACCGTATCCGCATCCGTACCCTACCAATTGACACCCCAATCAGCCCCTCATCCAATATACCACCACACAATTCTCAAAAAAACAAAACAGAAGTTACGGAATATACCTCAGCCTGCTCATTACAGCTCCCCTCGGCCCTCTCATACCGCTTCATGCCGCCATCAAAGATCTCGCCCGGCTGCACATAGTACGCACTCTCAAACACGACCGTGTCCTCGCGGCTCGGGTTAGGAAAGTCAATCACCGGATACGCAAATTCTGGGGGCGGGCGGCCGCCGAGGTCGCCCTGCGTGGCGTCTGAGGCGCCTTGTGCGGCGTCGCCCTGTGACTGGCGGCGGTGCAGCGAGGAGGAGGAGGGCCGGGCGAGGGCGCTGCTGGCCGCGAGGAGGAGGAGGAGTGTTGTGTGCATTTTAGGTTTGTGGTGGTATTAGGGGGAGTATGAATTAGGGATTATGGAGAAACGGAGAGAGCTGGTGAAGGAGGTGGTGAGAGAGGTGAGGGAGGAGACGAGAGTGCTGAGGACCATATTTATAGTGGGATTGAGGGGAGCAATTGGTACCGAAGGGGATTGCGGAGGGGGGTTGAGATCTGGTAGCTAATGTCCCGAGTACGAGTTCTGTCGTCTATTCCGGGGATTCGAGGCTGGAGTAACGAGGGCTAACATGTACACTGTAGAGTAGTGCACTGTGGGGGCGAGGGGAGGGGGGAGAGAGGTAACAAGCTCCCATTCTCGCCGCCGCGTGGGTAAATGGTACATGGGCGAGGAGGAGGCGTAGGGAGAATAGGTAGGTTGTGTAGTGGCATAACTGGTATCTGAGAGCCGTCATGTTGTCCACACAATTGTGCCTAGCACAAGGGGAATCTTGGCTGCGCTGCTGCTGCTATGCCGTATGCTGTGGAGGTACTATGTGGACTGGTAGGTTGGTGGTGGTGGACGTCTGCCAAGCTGTGCAAACTGTGCAAAAGCGAGCAAAAAAACGGTGGCCAAGAGACGGGGTTAATATACTGGGCTGGGCGCGGGGTAGCTAAGAGTATGGGGAAGTGGAATCTGGGGATGTAGTTCCCGGAATGAGGTTTAACTTCTGTGGGGGTTAGCAGTATTAGGGGAGGGTATATTCAATTGTGGGGATATATTGCTGGCTAGCTACGTAGGTACTTTCGAGTTGGGCAAAGAATGGAGTAGATTAAAGTAGGTCGTACAAAGCCAAAAGGACAGACCGGTACAATATAGCACGAAGAGCCAGGGCCAGGGGCGTGGGTGTCGTTATGTATGTACATTACTTAAAGCAGTGGCTGTAGTAGGCTGGGAAATACAAGCTTAAGAGAGAGACATGATCCTTACTCTTGAGGCTAAAGTGCATATTTCCCGGGAACAACAACCATGACCTGGCTCGAGCTAACCCAGAGCCTGTAATCCATGTGTGGTCGTTTAGGGTTTTTTGCAACTTGGTCTGTTCCCTGTCATCATGTATGTCGTAATTATAACCATTATCAGTAATCGTCGACGTCTGGCCTTAGACAGATTCACATAGTAACCACCACCACCACCACCACCACCATCACAGCTTTGTCCTCCTTCTGTGTTCTGACAGGTCGGCCGGCGCGGGCAGTAGAATACTAATCATGGAAAATCGCGAAAACATGTATCACACCCTGCGTGACAACCCGTCCCGTAACATGCGCATATATGCTATAGCTAGTGAACCAAACTATTGCCGTTTCAAGCATCTGTTCCTGGCAGATTCATGCTGCTTATCGATCTGGTGGCTAGCTAATTAAGCTAGGGGTTAGTTTTAGGTCGCAACCCAGCACCGTTAGGGCTTCTTACTAATTACTACACCCGTGGGAGTAAGAAATTAGTAGAACGGCTACAAACAGGTTACCGCTGACTTACTAGCTACTAGTTGAAGAGTAATAGTAGTGGTAGTAGTAGTAGTAGTGTAGTAGTAGTAGTAGTAGTAGTAGTAGTAGTAGTAGTAGTAGTAGTAGTACTGGTACCAGCACTAGTAGTAGTAGCAGTAGCAGTGGTAAGACAGCTCCTACTAATTCGACTACCACCCACACCCACGCACAACCCTCCAACCAGAACCCTCCCCTACCCACAACAAACAACCCCCCCCCCCCCCAATATCAAACCCGCCCAACCCAAACCCCCCCACCGGGTTAGGGTTCCCCCAAATCCTCCAAATCCCACCGGCCGGGTAACTAGTCCTCTCCTGCCCCCCAAATGACCTGCCATCCAATCCCTTCCCTCCCCCCGCCAAGCACGTCACTTTAAATCCCCCCCCCCCGGTCAGCTTGGCCTGAGCGGGGCTGTCTGTTTTCGTCCCTGTCAACCGCATCCATGGATCAAGGAACCTCCCGAGTGCCAAAATCAAAGAGCCGCGAGAGAAATTGAATGCGACGCCCGAGGATGTCTACAGCCTGCTGGGGTACTCGTGGGGCGAGCGTCGTCAGATAATCACAGGTAGGTGATGATTTTCAGCGTTTTTCAGGTTATTACAAACAGTTTCCCCAATTTCAAATGGGGGGAGTGGGGGGGTTGCTGGGAAGGTGGGAGAGAGATATCGCGGAGGTCTTTTTTTTTTGGTAAACGTTTATAACCCATGGCCAGGTTGTGGGGAAAAGGCTAGGAGCTGTTGGTGGTATTTGTTGATGATCTGCCCTTATCCGAGAGAAACACTATCCTAGATACCCAGCTTCTTAATCTTTCCCCCCTGCCTTACTTACCTTGCTTTACTTATCTGCTACTACTACTACTGCCATTACCACTACTACTACTACCACACATGCTACCACATATCGAACCAGCTACTACCACAATTACTATTCAAAAAAAGAAGGAACATGATCACTAACACTTCTCTCTTTCCCGGCCCGCCGCAGTCGTCCAAAAGGTCTACCAACGCCACAACATTGCCCAGCACGACATGGGCTACCGCAAGATCGACAAGGACCTAATCGACAAGGCCAAAGCCGACCTCCTCGCGGAACTGCCGAACCTGTTCAAAAAGTGCGACTCGGACTGGTTCGCCGACTGGGCCCTGAGCCGCCGCCACAAGACCCGCAACACGAAGAAGACGACGACGCCGTCGGGGTCGAGCTCGTCGTCGGCGTCGAAGAAGGACACGCAGGCGCTTGATGAGGACCAGATGATGATGCAGGCGGTGGATATGGGAGAGCAGAGCACGGGGAATAATAGTCCGGAGAATAAAGGTTAGTCTCTTTTTTTTTTTGGGGGGGGGGGCGGTGATCTTCTCTTTTTTTGTTTTCGTTTTTTGCTGTTGTGTTATGGTTGATCTCGGAGGTTTTTTGTTTTTTGAATTTTTGTTTGTTTTGCTTGTTTGTTTTTTGTTTTTTTGTTTGGTTTGGGGGGTTTTTTTTTTGCGTGCGGGGTGTCTGATTGGATGATTGGGTGGGCGGAGAGTGCTGAATGTATTCTGTGCTATGTCTACGTGAAGTGCCCCCACCCCCGCCGCCGCCGCCGCTAGCGCTGTCAATGCCTCCGTCGACGGGAATCAACACGCCCAGCACCACAACGATGACCACAACGACGGTTACTCCAACGACAACGGCGACGACGACGGGCTCGTTCAGGCCGTGGTAACTAGAGGGGCAGGGGGGGGGGGGCCGGGGGAAGCTTGTGGGGGAGCTTGTGGGGGGGAGGGGAGAGAGACTGGGGAACCTGACGCCTCACGTGCACAAGGTGAGACGAGAAAATATTTAGAAAAGACTTACTTCTATTCTACTTGGCTTGATTCATGATCATCAGCTAGCTTTCCATGGCTGGCTGTCTGTCTGTCTGTCTGTCTGTCTGTATGGGGGTGTGTTATGTGGGTGTTGGTATGCAGTGGTGGGGAAATTTAATTTTTATTGATTATTATTTCACACACGCAGCTTTCTTTGCATTGCTCGCACACACCCTTTTTTTGCAACGTCACGTCACTTCACTGTCTTCAGCGCCCATTTATTTGCAAGTACCAGCTTAAGTTCTTTTAACCCCTTCTTCTTTTGCTTCCATGCATATTGCCTGCACCGTTCGCTGTTCTAGTAATCATGAGGTTCGATTTTTACTTATCCCCGGCATTGGAGATTGTTGAGGTGAGGTGAGCATGATCCGAGGAGAATTTCTTTGCCTGTATCGTTGTCTGTATCGTTGTCTGTATGTCGTCGTCGGAAAGCACCCAAATAGCAAGTAGATCCCAACGTCATGCCTCAATTGACTGTTATTGCATATCAGTGTGGGGGATTGGCATAGCTAGATGTGGGCGTGGGTACTCTACTATAGAGTAGGTACATCCAACTCTACGAGTGTGGTAGCGGGTACCGTATCCCCGGTGGTGGGGGTGGGCAGCGAGTAAGGAAGTGTCTGTGTGTGTTCTGTCAGTATGGCGTGGTTGCGGGATGGGTTAGGTTCCCTCACGTCGGAGTCCCAGTGGAGCCAAGGGGCTGCGTCTTACTGGGCGGCCAGCGGTCGACGACCGGTCGCAATACAAATTTTTTTTTTTGCTCTTTCCTACCCTTTTCTTTTCTTCTTTTGACGTGCTGTGACGTGCTAGCTGGCGGAGAAAATAACAAAAACAAGGATCGCTCTGATCACTCGTTCATATATAACTACTTATGTAGCGATAAGGAAAATCAAAGGGAAAAAAAAAAATGATATCTGATCCTCTACCGAACCCCAAGTGAGTGGTTCACAGCCTATCACTCGCCGTCGCTTATGCGGTCGGCGATGTCGCAATCGAGTGTGCGGGGTATGTAGTCGATCATGATAGCAGCTGAGAGTCTCGACCATGGCACGGGATCTGCCTTGGAGGGCTAGGGTTCGCCGTCTGTGAGTGTTAGACATTGGGCGGCGGGATGGCGGGCTTTTTTGTCTTGTCTAGACTACTCTAGAGTAGAGTGGGGTGTCTGGGATCTATATCTGGCTGGGAGATCTGAGTCTGATCTGGTGCGGGCGGGCTGGCCTTGTGCTGTGTTAGATTTCGGGGGTGAGACATGTTGGTGGACGGCGGTGGAAACCTAACCCTGGGTGGGGATATCTACAGTGATGTTTAGTGTTTATTGTCGTAGACATAAGCTTTGAGAGATGCGGACATGGGAAGCTAATATGTTTCTAAACTAGACTGAGCGGATGTTGTGATGATGCATAATTGTTTATGCAGGTACAGTGCTCTAACGCAATTGATATCACTCTGGACTGATTTCTAAGGTAACTTGATGGTTTTGTATAAGTAAGGATTTAATTATCAAACGTTAATCATATACACATGTAGTTGCGCGATATATGCGATTATAGAAGAACGTAATCTTCACTCTGGCATGGCACCATCTACTTGCTCAATTATACCTTCCTGGCTCACTATCCAGGAATATCAACACGGCCTCACTTGCGCCCACAAATACCCTTCCATCCCGTACCACCTCCTCTTTGTACTTTCCCACCGGCGCTCCAGCGTAATACTCTTGCCCTGCCCACGTCACAAGGTGTGGGTTCTTCTCGTTCAGGCCAGGGGCGGTCATTCCTACAACACTAGTCAGCATCTCAATTACCCACACCCGAAAAACCAGCAGATTAATCACTGACGTTTGACCACCGCTTTCCTCCCCGCCCTCCCCAAATCCAACACCACCCCTGGTCTGACCATCTCTGCCCCTGTTGCCGCCGGCAAAGCTGTAGCAGTACTATTCCAGTCCCAATACGTTGAGGTTCCATTCCACGGGTCCATATTAAGTGCTACAATTCTCTGTAGCGTTCCCTTCTCCCACACCCCATATACACCCAGACTCTCAATCTCTGTTTCGATCGGTGCCAGCCTTGACTCGCCACCAGCCCCAACAGCCTCTCCGATCATAAGATATCCTACGTATGACGGTGATAGCCGGGCGGGTCCAGTCTCGGAGCTGTCATGAGGCATTATTAGGTTATATTTGCTGTAACCGGGAGTATTCGCCTGCACTGCACTCTGGAGAACGAGGGTTGCGCCGTTGTGGAGATACATTCGTTTTGCGCCACGGTAGCTATTCCTCGTGACCACTATATCAGCAACCACACAAAGATCAAGGATTTAGGGCGAACCTACGCAGCCCACAGCGTTGTATCCACAACCCACAGTGCCTGCCCGAACGTATCTGTGACATTGAGCTTCCCACTACAGCTGACGGAATTATACTCCCCGACAAAGAACTCTCCACCGGCAGCATCTGCGGCCTGGATCTGCGGGATCCAGAGGTCAACGTAGGCGGTTATGTTGGCGTGGTTGACGAGGTTCTCGAGTGTGGCCTTTTGGTTTCGGGGTGGATCGCAGGTGCTGTACTGGTACATGTGTTGCGAGTATGCTAAGGTTAAGCCGTTACTATCTGCGCCATGTGCGAGAATGCCGGTGATGTTGAAGGCACCCGAGGGGGGGTCATCGGCAAAGGTGCCGGCGGAGAAGATGGGAGTGGTGATGTTGAGGGATTCGGCGAGAGAGGATGTCCAGTTCTATTTACATTTGGTGGTTAGCAGTGGTGGAGTGAGGGAAGGGAAGAGGGAGGACGAACGAGGTACTTGATAGTGTAGGTCTCCATGGACCACGGTCCGTTGCCAGACTGTTGGTCGAAGGTGCTGGGATAGTGGTCACCCTCGTTTCCTAGTTTTGTTAGCTATGCGGTGGGGTGGGCGTTTTGAACTCTTGCTCACCTAGCTCGAAGGCATCAATCTGGTCGTGCGGGATATACTGCAGTGCAGACCGCATCTGCTCTGTTGTGAGGGCCAGAGAATTGTTCTGAAAATTGAGGTTCACAACATAATGGATATCACTTGGGAGCGTTGTGAACGACTCATACTACCCAGCTGTTAACCCCCAGATATCTATCCATTGGGAAGGGAAGCCATACCCAAGCCGGTCCCAAAGTAGTCCTATAAATCCCGCCACTCTGTACACACTCCATTAGCCATTTGCAGCTGGCCGTGCCTGCCGATATACACACTCACCGCACTCAGATCCCGCACAATTGCGGGCGCATCCTCGACAAACCACGCACTATCTGCTGTTATCCCGCCGGGCCTGATATCTGGGTGTTTTCCCGTACGCTGGTAGAGGTTATTGATTGCACGCGCAAATAGCGTGTTGGGATTGCTCAAGTTTCCGGCAAAATCGCTGAAGTCTAGTTTCCACAATTTCAGTGTTAGCAAAGCGTCGAGTGATAGCTTGTGACGGGGCTGCTTACAGCTTAGTTCGATGGATAGACTACCGAGAGCGCGATCGAGTACTGGGGAGAGGTTTGAGGGTGGGTGGGGAGGAAGTGGGAGCTTGATTGTTGAGCGGGAAGTGGAGCTGGAGGGGGCGGCGAGCGCCGCACTGCAGGAGAGGAGGAGGAGGTAGGGGGTGTACATGGTTGTTAACTTGGCCTTGGGGTACACTGGGCGGTGATAGCCTGTGTACTAGGCATCAATTCTTGTGCTGGGGCTACTTCTTATATGTAGTAACTAGAGAGCTAGACAGACATCGTGTCTAATACCAATTACAACCAACCTGCTCGATCGCCGCTCCTACAGGCTACCCCGCAACAGTCAAGCACGGAACCCGGGGATTGTCGAGACTTTGACCGACATGCAGAATCGTCAAGCCAATGCAACATTCTGAGTATAGATCCCAAGCTCAGAGCGGCCCTTAACCTTAACCAGGGCGATACTGTAGATCAGGTCATGGATCAGGGCAGGGGTCGAGTTTAACCGACTCCAAAAGACAGACATGCCATATATTCGGTGAAAGAGATACCCGCGATATGTGACGTGTATGGTTCATGCATCTTGTACTTGCTTACAAGCATATGAACCAGAAAATGCAAATGTCTATTTTGTACGGCAGATCTGCGCCACTCCATACAAATAATCCTTGACTCTCGAACTCGCATTTTCTGGTTCATATGCTGGTAAGCAAGTAATGATCATGAATTAATCAACCGGGAATTCATAACTCTGCAAGAACTTGGCAAAAACCGTTGGTTAGGCTGATCAGGGCGGGTGTGGAGTGCATGCAGCTGCCATGGTAGAGATCCTTGAAGTGGTTTGTTGCGGCAGGTGGGGGATGATCAGCCTAATTCTGGGCGGTTGTGGGGGTGTTGTAGTAGACCTCCCTGGACGGCGAGAGTTAGCCGAGCATGAGTGCCCGGGACGTGGTGTAGGGAAGCTGTGAGAGTTGAAGAGCTATTCGGGGGTGGTTTCGACACTGATGAAAGGGAGTAAGTTTGCCATTGAAGCTGTCCTGTGTAGGGTTTGGTTTAGAAAGATTGAATACTGAAGGGTTAGGTATATACGGGTCACGGTCGATGAGGCTGGCTTTTGTTGGAGAAAATCTGGTCTGATTCCCTACTTGAAGATGGACACCTTTCTAGTATCAATAACAGAGAAATAGATATTTGTCCTGTGACCATCCGATACCTTTCCCCTTGGGATCATTAAACGAAGTAACGCATTCTGGCCCTTAGGGATAGTTTGTATTCTGGCCATGGTGCTTTGCTGCTTCTAATGCTGTCTAGCGAAAGGTACATATATGCATGGGATTTAGCGACAAAATCTACTTTCTCATGGACTTTGATGGCTTCTGTGTCTAACCCAGTAGCTATAGGTGGCGTGAAGTGTATTTTTAAGATGGTACCCGGCCTCGGAGGAGGACCTGCGCCGGTCCGTATCAGCTCTCGGAGTGAAGCAAGGGGGTAGGTAAGAGAACCATAGGAAATAGGCCTTCTCACCTTTTGTTTTGAGAGAGAGAGTGAGGTTATGAGTTTACTATTACTTTTTTGCAGCCAGTCGTATCCGCGAAGCAATTTTGTTTCCCATTTGGGTTCTCAAAATGGCCAGATACATCCATATAATTTCGACTCCTCAAAGCTTGGAGACCGGATTTCATATAAACCGGTTCAAGATGGCCCTGTCCTTTTAAAAAACGACTATGATGTGGACTGCCAATCACAAATCCCCCTCTATTTCCCGCACAGGATATCACTCGACATCGGTTTGCTTGGCGCCAAGCTGATGTATTAGTGGCCGGCTGGAGTAATATCTAGGGCGGAATCCGTTCGTGAATAAAGCTTTCTATTACTTTAAAAGCCTAATTTACTTCTCAAGTCCTCTATATAAGTTCATGGACAACCAAGTTCGAGCACCTCAAGTGATAACACTTATTAGGACCCACAACACCGATCCGGCCAAATGCCCGGGTACAAACAACTCTAATAAATAGAGTGTTTTTCACCCCTGCAGGTAGATGCTCAGATCATCATGATGCGCATCTTCCAGTGCAACTCCGGGGTTGTAATGAGCCGAGCCCTGATAATCCCCCTCCAAACCCAAATTCCAAGGATTCGGCCACTTTAGCCTGTTCTTCGACCGAGTGATAATCCCATACGCACCATATCACTGATACAGCAGCAGGTACTGTGGGCGTCCTCGGAAAATCCTGCGGTCTCCCCATACACAATAACTCGTCTAAATAGCAACTCAGGGGCATAGAGTATATGAACTTTATTTATGCGGGGTAGGCAGTTGTGATTACTGGCTTCGGTATATCTCGCGGGGTAGGGTCGTCGGAAAAGGTACCGAGAGTTGTGCGGGATTGGGGTATTTATATCATTGGTATTTCCCCCTCGGTCTTGTGTTTTAGCTCTCCAAGGCAGTTGTGAATCTAGCTACCCAGATTCCAGACTTCCAAACATGAAGTTCTCAACTCTCACGCTTCAGGCCGCCTCTTTGGCGCTCCTTCGGACTACATCTAGCGCCGAACAACGTATCTCTCCCCATACATATCCCTACTCTCATGCGCATTAGCTAACACTACCCGTCTAGTGGCACCATTCAAATACGACTCCCTTCCACTCGGCTCCATCAAGCCTCTTGGTTGGCTCAAAGACCAGTTGCGCCTCTCCGCTGAGGGCCTGGCCGGGCACGAATGGGACTTCTACCGCTATGCCATGAACTCGACATGGAGCGGTGGGACCTGGGAGTATAGCGGCCTGCACGAGACTGCCCCATACTGGTTCAACTACATTGTCCCGCTGGCATGGTCGTTGGACGATGCGCGGCTTAAGGCGCAGGCAAAGGAGTTCCTGGATAGCGTCCTTGACGCGCAGCAAGCGGACGGCTGGTTGGGGCCTGAGACGGCAAAGAGTGAGAGGGGACTGTGGGCCAGGGCGTTGCTTCTGTATGGAATGATTGTAAGTTTCTTTTATCTAAGTTTCGGGGGTCAGTGGTGGCTAATAGTGGGTAGCAATATGCGGAGGCAGATCCGTCAGAGACGGAGAGAATTGTGGCGGCGATGCATCGCTTTGTAAACTTGGCCTATACCATGCTGAAAGATAACTACACAGGTCTTGTACCTGTTTCAGGCGATGTCTTTGGCGCGGGAAACCATGGCGTTACAAGAGCGCATGAGCTGGCGACGCAGTTCCAGTGGCTGTATGATAAATACCCCAACGGCAACGAGGCGAACATCTGGGGCGCCATTGACCTCATCTTTAAGGGTGGAATCGCGGCGCAGAGAGACTGGAGGGAGTTCTTTGTCGAGGGGGTGTTCCCGACGGTAGCTATGCCGGCTATTGTCGATAGGAGATTTGTGCATGGTGTGGATCTTGCGGAAGGTATGATTGATCTGATTCCTATATCTCTGTGGGAGTAGTAATACTAATAGTGTGGTGTTCCAAGGTCTCCGCTGGACCACTGCGCTCTACCGCCTTGACAAAAACGAGTCACTCACCACTCAAGCCCACGACAGCGTTGACATGCTTTTCAAGTACCACGGTGCAGACTCTGGCACCATCACCGCCGACGAGCTCCTCGCCGGCATGAGCCCCAACCGTGGTTCAGAGCTGTGCATGGCTGTCGAAACTATGTACTCCATGTCGTACTTGTACCGCTTCTACGGCACCAACCGCTTTGCGGACCGCGCGGAGTTGGTGGCGTTTAATGCGCTTCCTGCTTCCATATCGCCGGATTGGTGGAGCCATCAGTATGTTGCACAGGCAAACCAGCCGTGGGCGTTCAACATCAGTGGGAATCCGTATGTCAATGTTAATAACTATGGCAATACATTTGGATTGGAGCCAAACTATGTGAGTTTTTGATTGTCCCTCACAGAGGTCTGTGTAGGTACTGATTGTTGTGTAGCCGTGCTGTACAGTGAACCATCCGCAAGGGTATCCCAAGTTCCTGGCGGCGAGTTTTATGAAAGTAGGAACCAGTGACCTTCTGCACGCACTCCTCTCGCCGACAAAGGTCATCACAACTCTAGGAACCAATAATAAAGTTACCGGTAAATCTTCCCTTGTATATAAATTGATCTGTATATAACTTACTAAATCTTCCAGTCACCGCGGACACAAACTATCCCTTCAACCCCACCATCAAGTACACCATCACCGCCCAGTCCCCCTTCACCTTCCACGTCCGCATCCCCGCGTGGGCCAACCTCTCCACCTCCACAATCACCCTCGGCCGCTCCAATCCCGTCGCTCTTACCCCCACCACCGACAACCACCAGCTTGTCTCCGTCAGAACCGGCACCACAACCTTCAGCATCACCTTCGGCCAGACCGTCAGCGTCGTCCAGCGTGCCAACAGCGCCGTTGCCCTCCACCGTGGCCCCCTCCTCTACGCTCTCGATCTCGACTACAACACCGAGTCCTTCTCCCCGCGCACATACAACGCTCCAACGGTGCCACTCCCCGTCTACCAAGTGCACCTCCCGGAGACACAGGATCACTTCTTGAAGCCCGTAGGTAAGGACTGGGCCATCGCCATTGATACGGCCTCGATCGAGGTCAATGATATGTCAGATAGCACCACACCGCTGAAGAACCCTATCTTTGCGAAGGGCGCCCCGCCCGTTGAGTTGAAGGTCAAGGCATGCCCGATCGAGTGGGGAGTGACGAACGATGTGTTGGCGGAGCCCCCAGTCGCACCGGTGTGTACCGGTGATGCAAAGGTGGTGAGCTTCAGGCCGTATGGTAGCACGAAGTTGAGGATGACTGAGTTGCCGGTGGTGAATTTGAGCTGAGTGCGCAGCGGGGGGTGTTGGGAAGAGATGAGCAAGATATGAGAGGCGGGAAAAGTACGTGAGTGTGTGGTTGTGTATGTGCATGTATTTTAGTGTACAATTGTTACAGATTTTTCATCGATGTTGCGATGTTCCCCATGTCATGTGTGAATGGGTCAAGAAACCAGTGTGTGTGTATGTCTGTATGTACCCGGGCGTTGCGTTTACCTCTCATCAATTGATGAATTGAACAAGAAAAAAAAAATCCTCCCATCCGACTCGCAAAACCGAGTGATTAGCCGTGATCCAGGTCTCGGCCACTGGGTACATGTATTCTCTCTTCCCCAACTCTCTCACCACTATGAGCTACGGTAGTCTCGTACCCATTCCATACTCGTAGTAGCCTGCCTACTTATAGGGTGGGTCGTGGTAGTCTCGTTGCCATCTCCTACCTTTGGCGTGGAGCGTCTACATGTATCGCAGCCCACACCGACTGGTATGAAAACACCCAACCACCACCAAAGATTACCGGATGGATCTGAAGACGAGACTAGGGCCACAGATGTCTGCTGTAGATACAACTACACTGTAATTAAGTTAAATTTACTACTTAGCTGTAATATAACGATGCCACAAGAGATTATCCCACCTAGTTCGAAAAAGATAGTATTTAGTCGAGTGATATTCCATGATTTCATGGACACCCCCCCCACTCAACACGAACCACTGAAATTCAAGACACATGCGCATACTTCCAGTTTAGGCCTGCTAAGATGTGCTCTCAGTGACCTAACTCGATAAAGCACCACCTCTTGGCACTCCTTTCTGACCCTCGTTTTTCACCTTTAAATGTCGGCCAAAATCCCTCTCGGCAGACTCTCTTGGCAGAATCTGGCCAACTGTTTATAAGCAGCGCATTTCCCTGCCCCTTTGATGTTCTCCAGGAATTATGCATTCATAGCTCCCCTTGACTTGCTCTGATGGCAGGTGAAGGCGGCAATTGCTGGACGGGTCTCAGGCAGTCTTCGGACTTGTTGGAGATCTGTACGGTGAGAACTGTCTTCTCCGGTCTCAGGACTGGGAAAGGGGACCTGCAGAGTTTAACAGTGGCCCGCTGTTCTTGTTCTCCTTTGAACCGGAACATGGCTCTTCATTCGGTTTCCCCGCTTAAAATTTTTTTTGAGCGGGAACCGCGAAGCTACGGTTGCGGCATTCTTTGGTGGGTTAGGGTTTCTTTCGTGGGTAGGGTTTTTGGGCTTTTTTTTGTATATAAGTTCGTTTATGTAGTTTATTCGTTTCGTATATAGTTTTTATATAGGTTTAATTAATTTGGTATGTTTTTTAATACCAATGAAGTGTTTTTCTCGCGTGAATATAGCGTAGTCGTAGATGCCAGCTGTAGATACTGTCGTATTAAACGTGCGCATGTAAGTCTTTGTAACCCGAAAATACGTAGCCAGCTAGAGTTAAGCAGAGCCCTTCTTAAGCTCACGATCATCTTATAGTATGGTGTCCTCCTAAACTACAGCTCGCCTCAGCGCGGCGTCATTCGCTTTAACAGTCGCTGAGTTTGCGTTGGGCGTGTGGCAGACACCAACTATCACTCGCTCTCCCGGAGTGACCAACCGAAACACCAAGACAAGGTCTTACAAGCCTATGGGATGTATGCGAATGTAGAGATACATAGAGGCATTTTTAGCGGTGTATCGGTCACTTATATGGGTATACCTAATCTATTCTTGTGCTGTAAATACACTTCAAGAAACAAACACTTGTGACTTCACATCCCCGTACCGCCGGCGATTATTTGAAACGAAACAAACCAACCCCGACGTGTTTCAAGAAGATCTAGATAGGTACATATCTGTTTGCCACAGGTCTTTCGGTGCGTTTGAAACATCATCCAAACCGGAATCCGAATTTGCTGAATCAAAGAGGCGCCCTTGATCCGCAGAGCTAGAGCTATATATAGAGGAGAGGTCTTCACACGGCGGCATCAGAGTTTGCTGTCCCCACTAAAAAGCTTTCTACGTCTATCCGAGTGAACACCTAATCTCCAGTAAACGCTTCGCCGGTTTCCCAAGGAGAGATAACACCGAAACCGTGGCTTGAAGTGAATCCTCAGTTTCAACCGACCATCGTACGGGCTACGGAGGAGAAATAATCGGGAAGTAAAAGGGCTCATATAGAGTGAGTGCCGTGGTTTTCAGAACGATTGCCGTGCCCCTTTTAGTTCGCTGTTATGTCTAATTCTCACTATGTGTTAGCTACTGCCTCATGAGGTTCCTATTCCCCCAACCACCGTGCATGCATGCACTGTCGATATTGTCAAACTAATCAACTATGAATATCAGGCCATACCTGTAACCACTAGCTAGAAAAGATCTACAACCCCCACCTGCCCTCCCAATCGGAACTCGGCAATATCACCGTTATCACTTTTTCGTGACAAGCACCATAATCCAAAAACAAGCATTCCGCTTACACTATTAGACCATCGGCCTCTCTTCCCCCCCGTGCGTAGAAGCCCTCCCTCCAGCCGGAAATATGGCGGCCAGGCACTACTTCCTCCACTACATAGATCTAACTAGCTAGCTAGCATGTATTAAAGGCTTGAATCCAGCCAGCGGCGATCACCAAGCAAGCCACCTACCTATGTACCTACTACATACATATATCTCCGCCCCACATGCACGCCCCACCCCTGCGCTTCCCTTGTGGGGGACCGATCGAACGCCGACCTGGCTATTCTTGCTGGTAACGAAAAAAGGTACATAGATCTAGCTATGCAGGGCCTTTAATTCTCTCGCTCTCTTCCGGCCATGCGGAAGTCGAATGTCCATGTCGGCGAGGATCTGCGCTCTCACGCCACAGAAGCAGTCCTATGAGTTCGTCTCCGGCTCCACCTAGGCCTTCCGAGCTACACCTAGGCCTCACAACCAACTGTCCGTGACGTCCGCAATTGAGCGGAGTACCTACAGCAAGTACCAGCAGTTGTAACAGGCGGCAGGAATAAGCAATGAGGGAACCCGGTACCGGCTCCCGAACGGCCTAAGGGCCGAACCCCACACAGGAGAGTTCTGAGCATGTGTTCGGCCGGCATGGAGAAGTGAGGTACTTAAACATACAACACACACACACACACACACACACAGCCATTCGGCGACAATCTACACAAACACAGGCTCTACTGTATCAATCCACATCTCCGACGGGCGGGCGGGGTTGGTGGACTGTGGTGGGGTTACGTTAGGCATGGAGGGGGGGGGGGAAGTTATGCGGTCACAATTACCCCTTACATACCACCTCCACCGTACCTAGGCCCTAACTAAACTAGAGTACAGCGAGAGGTAAAATTATTGTAGAAACAGGGGTCTAAAAACAGGGTTTCTGTGGCTGGGCAAGCCAATAGGACTCCTCCCGTATTTCTACAATAATCTTACCGCAAGCTGTATAGACATCACTCACGATCTACTCCTAAGCGAGCTGCCTGCCTGCCCTGGCTAGACACGCTCTAGAACGTTTGGGGAAAAGAGCCAGAGATTTTCTATGATGTGTAGGTAGGTGTGAATAGAGTTGACATGTCTCGGCACCGAGATGCGGTTGTTAAATGTGTTACTATCAACAGAACAAACCCTAACCCTGTGTCTGGGAACGGACGGAGATTGCCGGTATAATTATCCGGTGGTGGCGTAGAGCTAGCTGGGGGAAGAAGTGTCGAGGAAGGATATATCGAGGATGAGGAGAACATTGCGGCGGGGAATTCTTTGGGGGCCAATTGTGTATGTGGAAATTGTAATTGGGGTGGAATATCGGGGGGAGGGAGCTGAGGGGGCTTGAGTCGATTGGGTAAATGTTTTGATTAGGCATGCTGTTTAGGCTTTTCGCCTTTTATGTGTGGTGAGTGTGTAAACCGGGGCCATGGGTTCTTAGCTTCCGGGGTTTTATGACTGTCTGGAGTAAAGCGTTGATCTGCAATTTGGTCAAGCCAATTGGTATGGTAGGTACGTCTTTTGGAGATTATTCACAGGAGGCAAGAACTCAGGTATACGTACGCTGCATATACAACTCGAGAGGCCAAAGAGACTTTTAGAAACACAATCAGGATCGAACACAGTGGGTACAGTATGTTCAGGAACATCGTTGAGATCCGAGATACACCGCCGGATCGGAGGTCCACCCAATCTGCAATTACAATTACACCATCGATATCGCCCGTTATCAACTGAGCACTCATCGCAAGAACCGAGCTCGAGACATACACACCGCGAGGAAGAAGCAAAAACCCGATCACTGGCTACACCGCCGAAATCCGTGAATGACGCCAACCCTGATTTTTTTTCTTCTCATGAGCTCAATTGCCATGCCTTTGTACTCATCTCTTTCTCTGCCCTGGCCTATACGCACGTGCATATGCAGGACGAGGAGGCGTGAGCACCTTACACATAACGTTTAAAAGGCTTCTCCGGGGTGTATTACCGGCGGTGAGATAGAGAACTCGTCCCCTCTGGGAGACGTTGTCGTGGACGGACTCGAGCAAGAGAACGAGTGATCAGCCATGCATGAGCTCGAGAGCAATGTTGAGGTTCTTTCTAAATTCTGTGTTCCTTCTCTATCTAGGTGACACCCTGTTGGGCGAGTTGCTATACGTAAGTGAAGCGAGATTGTGCAACTCACATGCGAGAACCGAGCAGGACGTCTTCCAAATACCCTTTCATGTCACTTCAGTTTTTTTGTTTGCTACACTGGATATAACCTCCCACCGCAGCGGGCGGGAGAAACCTATAACCCATCCACACACTCACACTCACTACATGCCCTGTAACCACAGCTACATACATACATGTATGTACATAGACTATCGACTGCATCTACATAACTAAATTGTAACCTTGACTAAGCTATCTCTCGCTCAGCTCTCCAATCACGTCCTCCTTTTCATCCCACTGCATACATATCGATACCACCATGGCCACCACAGGTTATACTCGATCTCAAACTCACCACATGATCGAAGTACT